ATTATCCATCTAACTAATCGAAAAAATACGATAGATTCGATATCTGGGGCCTATTTCAATTGTCCACAGATTCTGCATTCTGTGCACAGAACACAGATTCTGTGGAAATTCTGTTTCAATTAAATTCTGTGTGCACAGAATCTGTGGTGCCCGCAGATTCTGCGGAAACATCCAATGATTCTGTGGAAACATTCCGCAGATTCTGTGGATGAAAATTTCTGTGGAAAATATAAAAATCTGTGGATTTTTTCCACTGATCCACAGAATTTGTATTTCAATTATTTTTCTGTGGTTCTGTGTATTTTTTCTTCTAAATTCAAATTTTTTATTTCCGCGTTTTTGAAAATAACAGTTTTATTGAAACGAAAAATGGTTTGGACAGTTCGGTACTACCGCAGTATTAATGGTACCTGATTTTTTGAAGTAAAACTTTAAAAATTCTTAAATTAAACTGAAAAATATTGTAAAGATTTAAAAATTTTCCCTCCAAATCACATAACATCCCTTTAAATCTCTTTGATATCACTTTAAAACCGCTGATATACCGCTTAATTTTCTTGTTCATCCAATATCCTTAAATCTCCAATTAAATTAATGTCCTAAAGCAGGGTTCGGATCGGAAAAATCAGGAGATGTCGATCCGACATGTGGCTTTTTCAAACTACGATAGAAGTTGTTGCAAGGGAGGGAAATGTTTGGGGATTGTTTAGTCAGAAATTGAGGTTCCTGGAAATCGAAAATGCCTGGAATCCAAAATTATAGTCAAATCGGAACTTTAAAATCGTAGAGGAGTGATTAAGTGGGATATCCATTGATTTTGAGGTTTAATATATTGGAGTGATTAAGGAGGAAATCTATCATTAAATAGGAGGAGAGATTATGACGGATATCAATGAGAGATCATGGGAGATATCCCAGTATACGCTATACAGATATATTCTATAGATCCTGGTAAACATCCCCTCATTAGAGATATCCATGATGATTAGAACATCATAGCTCTAAATTTCAGAATCTCTCACGTTTTTTATTTTTTTATTGCTTGAATATAACAAAAACTGCGTAAAAAAGATGTACCTTTTTCAAAATTAATTTTAAGCAATAATTTTAGGTAATAAAATTATAATTTTTATATCAAAAAATAGAGAATGATTCAAACTTTAATAATCTTTAAAAATTTTGAAATTTGGTTAAGCCTAGGCCTAGAAAAAAATTGTTAAAGTTTTTCCACAGAAAGTTCGCAGAAAAAATTTTAGGGTGGATTTTTTAAAGAATTCTGTGTATTTTCCGCAGACCACAGAAATAATTGAAACAGAAATGCACAGAATCGACTAAAAAAGCCACAGATCTGTGGATTTTTTTCTGTGCACAGAAAAATAATTGAAATAGAATTCTGTGGTTTTTGCATGTTTTTGGATGTTTTGCAGAATCTGTGGATGTTTCCACAGATTCTGTGCATGTTTCCACAGAATCTGCGGACTTCTTTTTCCGCAGAATCTGTGGAATAATTGAAACAGAATTTCTGTGGTTCTGTGGTCTGTGCACAGAACGCAGACCGCAGAATCTGTGGACAATTGAAATAGGGCCCTGGCGGCATTTGGTGCAGTCCGATTAATTGTAATTAAACTTAAGAGAAGGCACATCTCGAATGGGTAGATCAGGTAGATTATCAAAATTTATACATACAAATCCTTAGTTAACACTTATCATCTAACAAACCCTCTAAACAATCTGTTTCGAGGGCAGGGTGTTATGGATATCAGAACTAAATGTCTGTGTATCCTAAGATCCGAAAAGTCCCCCAGGAATCTGCCTCATAAAAGCCTTAATATTTATTTAATTACCACAAACATAACTAAATAAATTAAAAATTATAGAAGAGAAACTATTTAAAAGCGAAAAGTAAAATTAAAAGGCAAGAAATGTCTCAATCATCCTCAGATAAAGATTATTTAACCTATGACGAGATAATAGTGAATGATTTAATTAAAATATTTAATGATTTACGAGTTCAAAGAAGCAATAATTTTGAAGAAACAACAGATTTCTTTAAACAATGGATTAAAGCTGAACATTTAAATAATTTAATTAAATTTTTAAACAATGATGAGGAGTTTTGGCAGCTAGTTAATAATTGTAAGTTGGTATCTTATCAAAACTTTACAAGTTTTGGGTATAGTTAGCCCTGGAGCTGCAAAACACAAAATACCAGAACTGGACTTTATCCTAAACAGATTTCTAAAAAGACCATTTGCTGAGTTGAATGAGATTAAATCAAGGAAGGTTCCCATATTAGAGTGAAAATATAGGCTAGTGAAAATTAGAGTTGTTGGCGACCGTTTATTAACCGGCACCCCCGGTTTTCGATTAATCCAAAATTTAGAAATACGGTTTTCGGTTTTAAGTTTTAGACAAATACCGGTTTTATTTTGGGAGAATTTTTAATAAAATCACTCATTTTCACAAATTTCCAGTTTTCGTTTTTTAAAATTTTCTAAAAACGGTTAATTTTTGGCAAAAAATTTCAACAATTCCGGTTTTAAAACAGATCGCCAACAACCCTAGTGAAAATCATGATGGGGAGAAAAGTTCATCTTTGGTAAAAAAAGAAAGGGTAAGTGATAGGGTATTCGATTGATAGCTCCAGCTTAAATCAGCCCTTGCATTTAACCAAGGGTGATTGTGGACTTGGTGTTAAGGTATGAGAATTAATTATAAGCCCTCTTTATTTCAAATCCTTCATCCAAAATTTACTTAATTTTGTTTTCAGCATTTGTGTTAGACAATTCAATAATAGAAAATCTTCTAAGAATAATACCAGAAGATGGAATGGATAGAGTAATTCGTAATATTTTAAATTTTAATTATGAAGGGAGAGAAAAAAGTGAAATGGCAATAGATTCTGACGAGGATGAAAATAAAAGTAAGGATAAAAATGTATTGAATAATAAAGGAAAATCAAAAAAGAATAAATCAAAGAAGAAAAAGAAGAAAAATAAATCAAATAAAAATGATGGAAATAAATTGAAGTTGGAGAAGGAAATTGAAGGTACATCAAGCAATGTAGGGCAATTTGAAGTTGAAGATGAGGAGGAAGTAAGAGATTTAGAGAAGAGTGTTAAAGAAGATGTAAAGGAAGAAAAGAATGAAGAAGAGGGGTTTAAGGTAAAGGAAGAGGAAGAAAAGAGGGAAGAGGAGCTGAAGGTAACGGAAGATGAAGAGAGTGAAGTTAAGAAGGAAGAAGAAGTAGAAGAAGAGAAGAAAGAGAGAGGAAAAGAGAAGGAAGGGGTGAAAGAAAAAAAGGATGAGGAGGAAGAAAAAGCCGAAGAAAAGGATAAGGCAAGCGATCTGAAAATAATTGAGGATAAGGAAGAAATAAGGAAGGTGAAGGAAGGAGAAATTTCACCAGAAAATTTTAAAGCCAAAGAGAATTTCTCAGGCAAATTAAAAATCGGGAAAGGAAAAAATTCTAAAAAATTTCAAGCAAATGAGAGTCAAAAGACATGGATTTTGAAAGAATTCCTCGGAACAGAAGGGGAAGATAAACTAAAAAATTTATATAAAACAGCCATAGAAAACCCTCAAAATTTCAAGGAAAAAAAGCTTTTGGATGTAATTGTTTATTTAAATTTGTTGGGGAAACGTTTTGATTTTTTAAAATATTTGAACAAATTCCCCCAAGTTTTTGAAATTTTATTTCCAAAAGAAGAGGGGGAAAATGGGGAAAATAAAAATAAATTAATAAAAAAATTGGAAAGAACTTGGGAATATAAATTAAATAAAGATTTTAAGAAAAAAGTTGGAGGAATAAAAGAAATTGAGAAAATTGAAAGGGATTTGTATTGTATTTTGCTTGATTTAATTAAAAGAATGAATGGAATATTTGAATTTAAATGTAAAGCTAAGAATGTTAAGAAGGAAGAGCTAGTAAAGGTTAGTTTTATGTGAGGGGTATGTCTGGGATTGTTACTAACAGAGGTGGGTCGGAACAGCCCGAGGTGTCGGAAATCGAAAATGGCTCAAAAGTCGGAACTCGGAAATCAGAAATCAAAATTTTTTTTCGGAAATCGGAAGGAAGAAAACGCCGGAATCGGAAATCGGAAGGCGGAAATCGGAAATAAAATTTTTATTTTCATAATGAAAAAATATTTAAAATTGTATTGTGGCAAATTTTGGCCTTCTTGAGTGTAATTTGAGGTAGTAAAAGTTCTTTTTGCAGCTCAAAAATAAATCCGAAGGGATTATAAGAGATTTTGTGAGATTTGGTTGATTAGACGGGATATCAGAGAATTTATAGAATTAATAGGGATATTTGGAGATTAAAATTGAGGACTGATAGAGGGATGAGATATAAAGCGATTTGAAAAAGGAAGTATGAGATGCCGCAGGCGAAAATTTTGAGAATTTTGAAGGCCAAAAAGCCAGATTTCTTCCTTTTTCTGCGCCGCAGGCGAAAATTTTGAGAAATTTGGAGATCCTTAAGCCAGATTTCTTCCTTTTTCTGCGCCGCAGGCAAAAATTTTGAAATTTTTGGAAAAACTCTAGTCGGAAATATGCTTCAATAATTCTCGGAAATCGGAAATTTTTCCAAAATTTCGGAAATCGGAAATCGGAAGGAAAAAAACGCCGGAAATCGGAAGTCGGAAATAGGAATTCCGACCCACCTCTGGTTACTAAGTCGATGAGCACGAGAATAACAGTTTATCCTAAGTATAAGTTATCAATGTAGGCTAAGTTGGAATTGGAGCAGGATCAGATGATTGCCCATTAAGTTAGAAAGCCAGAGGAGCTTAACAGGCTTCAATTCCATTCCGTAAGGTTGAAGGTCACTTCCTGCCCGTTGGCTAACTCAAAGAAAAATTAATTTTTCGAAAAATCAGTAGATATTCCCTGAGATATTCCCCCCTCCGACCTATGGCTACCAATATCTGGGTCTGAAGCTTAAAATGAGTTGTCTCTTCTGGGACCTAAATTAAATTCTGAATTTATCCTAACAATAGATGATTTATTGTTATTCACAGATAAGACGTCAACTTCATCTTGAAGCATTTTCAAGTGCACTTTCGGAAGGAAATGAGAGTTATGAAGTAAACCAGTTTGAAATAGTCCGAATTATTTTTGAATTAAATAATGAAAGTACAATTAATTGGGTAAATAAAATATCAAAACGAGCAGGGGAAATGAAGAGAATAAAAGAGCAATTGAATATGGACAACCCGGAACTAAAAGAAAATTTTTATTTGAATCCTGAAGGGTTCCAACCAATTGAAATATTTGAAAGAAAACTCGACAATGATTTTATAAAATCTTTGGGAAAAGACGAGGAAATAATTAAAAAAGGAATGGAAATATTAATTAAAATTATAAATAAATGGAAGTCTAAAAATGGATTTAAAGACAAATTTAAAATTACGGGCATTTACGAGTTTGGTATTTGGTTAATTGAAGATGTTGAAATTAATATTGTATTTGATGACCATTTAGTTGAAAAATATTTTGGTTCTGAAAAGTCTATTTGTGAACCTTTAATTTCAATAAATTGTAAAGACAATTCCCTCTATTGTTTTTTATGTAGAGAAGAATTTGAGGGGTTTGAGGTTTGGAATATTTTTAATGTATAAATTAGGGTTGCATTCCGAATGTTAGGAATTTGTCTTTTGAAAGGGATAGGAGAGTGGAATTCTAGTCTATATGTGTACAAACACCTGATAAATTTTTAAAATAAAAACGTGATTGACAACGTTCCAGATCATACCAATTCTGGTACCTAATCTTAGTAGTTTAATTCTGGGCTGCAAATTTAGAAAAAGGGGACAAATGCAGGTCATGCGAAATAATATAAAGAGAAAGTTTTGTATGCCGGGTGAATTGGTATGGAACAGGGGAGTAATTTTAAAGTGCGAAAAGCGAAAGACGAAAGGCGAAACTCGCACACCCCTGGTATGGAATGAAAAATTCTCATGATGGATGTCTAATAACTTTAAATTGTTTTGGAAAGGGATGAGGATTATTTCTATTGAATGGCACCATAATTAGAGCGATTCTCTCAGGGAGTATCTAAGAAATAGGACAGCTACTATTCAATTGAAGGATTTCCGTTGATTAAATTTACAATAATAATTTTTAAGGTCACTTTTAATCATCTACAAAAACACACAAATAAAACTCAAAAAATGATTGAGTTAAATATTGAAGGAATTAAATTCACAATAGAAACAAAGGAAGCTATGTACAAACACGAAACAAATAATTTTATAAAAGAATTACCGGATATTAAAAATAATATTAAATTTACCCAAGCTTTAATTATTTTAAACCGTTGGGCTAAAAGTATGTGGAAATTTAAAAAATTTCAAAAATTTTTCTTTCAGATAATTTAGTGAATTATGAACGTTTTGGATTTTTAGACGAATATTCAATTACTATAATGCTAACAAAAATAAATATTTTATATCCAAATGTGTCTTTAATTGAATTAATTGAACGTTTCTTTTTGACATATTTGACATGGTTAGAAAGTATTTTTTAAAAAAGAAAACTCCGCAATATTTTAACAAAATAAGTACCATTAAAAATCGTAAAATCTGAATCGAGTTAATATCTATCAAAAATATTCCTTAAAATAACTCATATTTTTTTACGATGTCAAACCATAAAAAATTATGATCCGAAAATCTGAAATTATCCAAAGGCAAAAAGATCAATGAATACATATCAAGGTTGTACCACGCATGTCTGTGTATTGGGTTACCAAACTTATCAAAGCGGGGCACAAGGCGAAAAAGTTCGCTGCAAAAATTCTTATAAAATTTTATAGTGGATAGTTTTTAGTTTAAAAATTCAAAAATTCTTTTTTAGGAATAATTCAATACCCATTCGAATAAAGGAAACTAAAAAATACAAAATAAGCGAGAATGAAGGTTCATCAATTATTGTCCTTTCCCCAACCAATCCAGAACTAAATTTAACAAAACAAATAAATAAATTTACAACAAAAATAATTGAAAAAGCAATGCTTGAGGGTTTTTAAAAATTATTTAAAAATTTATTAAAATTATTTGACAGGTTTAAAGGAAGTTAGAGAAGCAAGAAATTCTTCTTCGGAAACAATAAACGATTTTTGGAAAAAATTTTTGGAGCCAAAGAAAATTTCAGAGATTTAGAAATTTCCATGAAAATTCAATTAAAAATAATTATATTTTTGAAATTTTTATTTAAAAAAATTTTTTTATATGGAGTAGATTTTTATTTAAAAAAATAAAATTTTAATTTGATAATTTGGATGATTTTAATAAATCTAGTATAATTACAGTAAATGATTGTTTTGTGATTATTTAGAGGTTTAATAGTTTTTGTTCCTGAATTTACTATTTCCGTTAAAAAGAAACTATACTATGTAATCTTGTAAGACAGAAAGAGACTTGGCGGATAAATACGTTTGCGTTTCTGATTTTGTACCATAGCCATCTTTCCGATTACTTATCAGAATCGCCAATGTCTCCCTTTTCAAAAAATCTAAATATTTATATCAGAATGGTCCTAGAATCCCAGAAAAGGATGTTTACTTTCCTATTTTTATGTTCTTCTTTTGCATTTTCTAACCTATTATAAGATATATCAAGAAATTCCTTTGATGAAAATCACATCCCTAATGATAATGAAATTGTAAATAATAGAGACAAGACCGAGACGAGATATCGAACAAAACTATCATTTATCAATATGAAGAATTTTCGAGATTTCTTCACAAGATCCTCATAGTCCCGTCTTTAATCACACATTGTTTATGTCAAAAAATTAAAAAATTTTAGTTAGTGATTCGAATTAAAATATGTACATTTTCACTTAAAAATTCCTCGATTTCTTTTCTCCATTCATTCCATTTTTCGCTTTTTAGTGATTAAATGATAAATAAAAGCTTTCATCTTTTCTTTAATAATTTCCTCAAAATTTAAAATTTTTTCTACCAAAATATTTTGTATTTTTCCCTCAAAATGTTTATCCACTTTTAATTCAAAAAATCAATTGGATTTTCTTTATAATTTTTTCCAAATTTTTCAATTAAATAATTTACAATTATTTCATCTCCTTCTTTTACAAAAAATTTATTTTTAAATTTTTCTTTATTTGAAATAATTAATTTTATAAATTTTAGAGTGGTATGAAAGAAAAGAAGATTACATATTTTTTCTGTAGAATTGCCAGGATTTTCCACATAAATAACTTTTTTAACTAAATTTTTATTTAAAAATTATAAGTAGGTATAGGTAGGTCTAGAATTTTACTTTAAAACACCAAATTAATTCCAATCAAAATCCATTAATAATTTCCCTAAATTCATTCATAAACATTTCCAGGCTCAGTGTAAAATAATCCGCAGATCTAATGAAATTTATGTCCGCAGATTCTGCAGAATGTTTTTTGGTTGTTTCCACAGCCTCTTCAGTCATCACAGAATCTGAGTATACAGAATTTAATTGAAATATAATTCCGCGGGTTGTGAACAGAATGCAGAATCTGCGGACCAGGGGCGGGCGCATTGCGTTTTTTGCGTTTTGCGTTGATTTTTGGCCTTGCGTTGCGTTTTTGGAAATTGTCTCTTGCGCCCGCCCCTGCTGCGGACAATTGATATAGGCCCCTAAATTGAATTAAAAATATTTTTAAAGAGAAAATTAAAGCTTGTAATATTAAAAGATTTCTTCTGTATTCACCTAAAAGTTTTAGCTAAAGTTCAGACTACCGTATAACCTGTATAAATTGCCCTCCCTCAAATAATTACCCCGCTTCTATTAATTGCCCCATCCAGCGCTAGATTGAAACAATAATTACCCTCGAACAAATGCCCTAAAACACGTTCAATTTTTAAACCTCGTATAATTACCCTCCCTTGATTAATTACTCCCTCCAGCGGAAGGTCGAAACAATAACTACCCAGGGTAGTTATTACAGGATATACGGTATATCGGGTGGTATTATAAAAATCAGGTAATATATTATTTACTTGTCTCGCCAATTTTGGGTTTGAAACCAAAGTTTTGGTTAATCTGTTAACATGTTTGTATAATACCGCCCTATCATTAATCAAGTAATGTCCTTAAGTGCAATAAAATTTAAAGACATTTAAAGGAATAGCGCTCGTAAAAGATTTTTTAATTAAAAAAAAGAGAGGAGGGCAGCTATAGTATATTAATTAACAACGTATAATCATCACAAGACAAATTTTTATTTTGTAATTGATTAAAGCAGTGAGAGACATTATATAAAATTTTATTCTTAAAATTAGATTTTAAATTAGATTTAATTTTTTTAAATTCTCTTTTTGACTAAAATTGTTTGTTTAATTGTTTATACAAACACGGGAAGAGCCAACTAAAAACCCAGCAGAATTAATAAATGTAAGGATGATTCACCCAGCAGCATTTAAAACGCTTAGGCGGGGGTTAAACGATCTAAAAAGGAAAAAGAAAAAGCATTAGTCGATGCCCCGGTAGCTCAGAGTTAGAGCTCCTGCATATGGTGAGCGAAAGCGCCTAGCAACAACTTGCAGGTGGTCGCAGGTCGAATCCTGACCGGTGGCTAAACTTTTGCAAACTCTTTCTTAAACTTTCAATAGCTATCCTTTTGTAAATTACCCGCCGCTAATTGTTTACTTTTAGATGCTGATAAATAAATTAGCATTATTTATTGACTTTACTCTTTTATTTTGTTTAAATGCTACAAACGATTATAGCGAGGATTCTATTTGTAATTATTAAATAATATTTTGGAAAAAAAAAATAAATTTCAATAATTTAAGTTTCGCCTTCTGAAGAATATTATGAAAATTCTAACTTGAATGTAACTTCATCAAGTGAAGAATGGATGAAAAATGAAGACTCTTCGACTTCCTTGAGTGTAAAATTATTAATACCGTTTAATCCCGCTAATATGTTGTCCCAAACACACTTCCCTATCATTTATACATCGACTCAATTAGGCGTAAGGGATGCCACGAGTTACATAAAACCCGGACTTTTTTCGACCTTAAACAAAACCCGGACTTTCTGTCCGTTAGATCCGTGTATGGGGATGTCTCGAATTTGAAGCTTTTATTTATTAAAGGGCAAAGAAAAGCAAAATATTAAAAAAAGGAAAAGGGGCGACGAATTGGCTCTGACAACTTTATATAAAAAAAGAAGATTTCAAATTTTTCATGATTGCCAAATAACTTTATTTGGAGAATTACCAAAAAGAGAGTATTATTTAAAACACGAAATGCAAGCTAAAATTCTAAAATATTATAAGAATGAAAATTTTGACTTTAAAAGATCCTCAGAACTTTTTAAAAATAATCAGAAGCAAATGACAACTGAACTTTTGGTAATTAAATTATTTTCAATTAGCATAAGTTTTCAGTTTTAGTTAGACTACGTCCGAGTTACTCGACTCGGAACTCGGGATCATAATACTCGGATTACTCGAGTTCGGAAACTTCCTACTCGACAGACTAGGTTAAAATCTAGTATTTTTATGCCCCTATCTCGGCACAAAAAGGAAGATTTTTGGCTTAAGGATCTTCCAAAATTCTCAAAATTTTCGCCTGCGGTGCTGATGTGTATATCGAAGGATTGAATCAAGTTAGGACGAGTGATCTGAGTGATCTGGCCTTCTGATCCGGATATTTCAAGGGATCTAAAAGAATAGTGAGTGATCTGGCCTTCTGAAAATTGGGTGTTCCCACTTGGCCTTCAGTAATTCTAAAATTTAAGCAAGCGGCGCGAAAAGAGAGCGATAGAGCAACGGATCTCATAATAACCTTTCGACAATAACCTAATCCTACGATCTCCCAATTAATCTTCTGAATTTCACAGATTTTGCTCCTAATAACCCAAATATCACTATAATCGGCCCAAATCCCTCTATATCCCTTGATATCCATCTCATTCCTCTTATCACTCGATATCCTTTTAATCTACACGAATCCCCGAAATAATATCCATTGATTTTAAACCCGGAGCCCGGACGTTCCACCTTTAGGTCGGGGGTTGTTTTGGCGCCACAGTAATAAATAAATTACTTCCTACAACTTTCCCAGTTGTTGAATACCCTTTTCTTCTCGATTTTAGGAAAATTTTTATCATGGAATATGCATTCTCTATTTATATGGAAAGTTAACGCCAACTTATTTGGAAAAAACATTTAAAACGTGCAAACAAACAATTTTAACAAAATTGCATGAAAGAAAAGTTCCTCTATTTGAACAAGATTTACTTGAAAAAAATAAAGTTGGTAATATTGAAGATCTCGGTACCGCTAAAACGTTCGTTGTTTGTTTTTTAAAGCATTGATGGGAAGCAATGTCTTAATATCGAAATGGTACTTGGGGCAGGAAGTTAGGGTTAGGGAGTAAAATAATTTTTAATTTTTTTAGTAAAATGCCTAGAGAATTTGCCAAATATTTAATTATGGTTTATGATGGGTACAATGTAAGAGCCTTAGTCTAGTCTGCAAAATACAAAATTTTGAAGACTAGATACATAAGTCTTAACCATTTTCAATAAAATAAAAAGAATAATGGTAGTTGGGCAGGAAGTTGTGGGGGGGGGGGGGGGTACTTTTTTACTCCTCCTCCACCGGTCAATTTTTTTACTTACTAACTAGCAAAAATACCGATTTTTTCGTCACTTCAAATATTTTTAAAATTATCAAAAATTTTAGTAATGAAATATTACAAAATATTAAAGAAAAATTAAAAGAAAAAAGTAAAGAAAAATGTGGAGGAAAAATAGAAATAAATGGAATAATTAAATATTCAGATCCGAGAAAAGGGAAAAAATTTTATAAAGAAATTTTAAATTTTGTAAATGAAGTTAAAAATAAAATAAAAGGAAAAGTAAATTATTTAGAAGCAGTTTATAAGAATTTAAAAAAATTGGAAATAATTGAAAATAAATTTGTTGAATTTAAAATATTTATGGATAAGTTTCGTCCAATTCTCTTTGATTTTGGGGAGGAATTAAAATGGAGTTTTAAAAGTAATTTTTAAAATTTTTATGAATTCTCTGTCACTATCCTAATCTTATAAGATCGTTCGTAAATTGGAGATCGATATCTGAAAGAAATCGTTAAAAATCTGATTTTTAACTGATTTTATATGTACAGGGTGACAAGAAAGAAATGGGGCACACATTTTATGCCATAACTTTATTCAAATTAGAGATAATGGGATCAAAACAAGCTTATATGATAGCAAATTAAACAAGGAACAGATATTATCAAAAGTTTTCTAAGTGCCCACCCTTTGCTCGGAAATAGAGTTGAATGCGCGCGGAAAAATTTTAGGCAAAAGTTTGCAAGTCAAAAAAATTTTATTCAAACGGAAATTTTTTTATGAACGGAACATCTCGAACTAATAAAAATATAGTGCCCCAAAGTCTCCTCTTTCTGATCCACTTGTTACTGATTCCCAAAATTTTCTTCTTTAAAGATATAGGATGTTATTTGCAAACTGTCAAAATCCGTTGATTTTAGTGAATCCTGAAGGTTTTCGTGAATCTATGGAAAATCCTTCAGGGTATTTAACAGCCTTGGGTCCGAGGCCACTTTTGACGCCACTTTTGACGTGCCTCAAAAATTGCCACCGTACTCATTTGAGTTGAATCCGATGGATTACTCCTTTTGGTATTTTTGAGGAAAATTTTCTTCTTTAAAGATATAGGATGTACCGACTCTAAACCAAAAAGTTTAGAGTCGGTACTACAATCAACCGTCCGTGAATAAGAGAAAATCTCACCCAAGCTGGTGCGAACTTTTGCCTAAAATTTTTCCGCGCGCATTCAACTCTATTTCCGAGCAAAGGGTGGGCACATAGAAAACTTTTGATAATATCTGTTCCTTGTTTAATTTGCTATCATATAAGCTTGTTTTGATCTCATTATCTCTAATTTGAATAAAGTTATGGCATAAAATGTGTGCCCCATTTCTTTCTTGTCACCCTGTAATGTTGATTGTTTGGTGTTTGAAAGCATCTGGCTCATTTTTTGGCTTATAATCTATATTTCAGTCCATATTTTTCGTTATATAGTCCATATAAATCCCATCTTTAACTATGAAAAATGTAAATAAAATATTAATTTAGTTCTCGACAAGACTTACGCTAACCGAATATGTGATTTACTTCTATTCCGCGTCATTCTAGAATTTTTAAATTCGATGATTGTTAACGAAAAATACAAAAAATTTTTAGAGATAAAGAAGGAAGATGAAAATATTTTTGATTCTTTAATTAAAAATTTTCAAGAAAATATAGAAACGCCTCAAGTATTTTTTACTAAAAAATTTAAGAAAAGATTAGAAGTACAGACAACTAATTTGACGATAGAAAAAATTTCAAAATTTATGGAGGACTATATTGAAGGAAATTTGAAGGTTCTTATTGAAAAGGTTGTGGCTAGCAAGAATAAAGACCAGGAAATTTATGAAAACATTATGAATTTGGGGTGGAATGTTAAAAATTCAATTGAAAATGAAAACAAAAATTTTTTGGAAGCAGTTTATGAAGAAGGAAATTTCCATTTATTATTTAATTTGGATGAAGTAAAGAATGAAGGGAATGGGGAATATATAGAAAAGTTTATGAATGAATTTAGAGAAATTATTAATGGATTTCGTCTCGAATTAATTGAGAGTTTTAAAGGTGAAATTTCATTTTAAATTTATTGTTTTCAGGGAAAGTCCAAGCTCTAAAATACTCTCCCCCCCAGCCTCTATTAATCCCCCAGCCTCTATTAATTCCCCAGGCTCTATTAATTCCCCACCCTAGCGATGGGTTGAAACAATAATCCCCCTGGGGGATTACTAGAGTAAATACTGTATATCCACAACAAATCCTTCCTCTGCCTCATGATTAGGGCTCGGATTTTTAGGTTATAACCTAATTTTCTGCGGAATAGTTATGATGAATTGAGCTCAATTTTTACAACCTATTTAGGTACCTATTTTAAGATTTTTACAACCTAAAATCCCGGGCCCTATTCATGATATTATGAAACAGCCTCTCCAATCATAATTTGTCAGTGATCCTCTGCTCTAACATTTACACGCATTTCACGCAAATATCAAGTCCTTTCGTACTGATTGAACTATCAGAATGGAGTTGTGAGTAGAGATCGGACCAAACAAATATTTGACGTCGGAAAATCAAATATTTGATCAAATTTTATTTGATTTTATTTGATCAAATATTTGTTTGATGAGTTTTTGGAAAAATTTGATTTATTCAAATATTTTCAAATATCAAATAATTTGATCAAATATTTGTTTGATGGGGTCAAAAAAAGTCAAATATTTGATCAAATATCAAATAATTTGAAAATTATTTGATTTTCCCAAAAATTCAATTTTTTAGTTAGAAAATGGTGAAAAATTGTTGATTTAGCACCAAATTTTTTAAAAGTTTTGACTGTGGCGCTAAAGGTTCTACCCTATAGCGTCTTAAAAATTAAAAAAATGTTTCCCAGTACTAAATCCCGGGTTTTTTTTCAAGATATTTATCGAATATAACTTAAAGTTTAACTTATAACTCCAGTTTAACTTATAAATTAAATGATATAGAAAATTTAATGGAGGGATTTCGAGTAGTTTTATAGAAATTTTGGAGGTGTACAATATCTTGGGTAGGCTTGTTTATCAACGGGAACAATTAAGAGATATCAGGTTTCATTACAAATATTGATCTATAAATGTCATTAGTTATTTTTATGTTAATTATTCCCTTTGTAATGAAATTTATAGGTAATTCCAAAATTTTGAAAAAATTTGATATTTGATCAAATATTTGACTTTTTTGATCAAATTTTTTTCAAATATTTTCAAATATCAAATAATTTGATCAAATATTTGTTTGATGAGTTTTGAAAAAAATCAAATTTTTTCAAATATTTTCAAATATCAAATTATTTGATTTGATATTTGATTTTGCCGTTTGTCCGATCTCTAGTTGTGAGTCCGTATTCTTAAAGAATGAAAAACTATAAATAAAATTACCTACTAAGAAAGAAATGACTATGACATCCTTTGAAAGCTCCTGCCAAGATCTGTATACCCAGCCAAGCACAATATTCAATGATGGCGGCCTAGGATTGTCTGATGAAGTGAATTCACGCCTGTCGCCAATGACCATCCATATTTCGTAGAAATGCCTCACCTTCTCCTTTAAAGGTTTATTCCACGAGACATCACGTGCCTAGTAAAATTAAATATAATGAGTTTCAAAGAGAAAAACTTGAATAAATTTGGTACTTCCTTAAGCAGGCTCCAGCTTCAACTCTCCCATGACTTTTGCTGTCGCTTCACTCTTTTACATCTTTAGCACCAAGTGTATCTACGCATCTGCCTCCGAGATCGTCAAACCAAACAGCTGTTCATTTTAATATAAAAATATGAACCTTCGTATTCCTAAAAACCTCGATTGGCTTGTTTTGTATATTTTCCTTACACCCAATCTGCTAATTCTTTATCCAGATCAGTATGTGAAATTTTACGACCGCCTCCATCAAGTCTCTTACGATTTTGTCCACCTAGTATGCTTGTTCAGTTGTTCAAGTTTCTTTTCATCCTTCATCTAGTTTCTGATTATTTTTCGATCAACATTGAATTTTTTGAGGCTGAATGATTTCTTGAGGCTGAATGGAATTCTTTCCTGCGCAATTAACTGCTTCAAGCTTCTTTAGGAGATTGTACTCCTATACCTTTTTTACATTATTCGGTAATATATTGTATATGCCTGTTTTATTTCTATGATAAAAAATACAAAGTCAAATAGTAATTGCCCTCCCTCAAATAATTACCCCGCCTGCTTTTATTACTCCCTTCAGCGAGTCTTCTGCCGATGCCGAGTTCTGAAAGTGCTGACAAGATGGCATAAAAAATTTGGAATTAAAAAATTTCGGCAGAAATTTTTATTTCTCTAAAATGGAAACAAAAAGCCGCCATTTCCCAATTAGTTGTAATATTTTGCTGAAAGTTTTCAAGTGTTTATAATTTATAAAAATTTAGTTGAAAACGTTAATTATGTGGAAAATCCTGAAAACTCTGCAGAAAGAATATGTAATCTTCTTTTCTTTGATACAACCCTAAAATTCATCAAATTAATTATTTCAAATAAAGAAAAATTTGAAAATAAATTTTTTGTAAAAAAAGGGGATGAAATAATTGTAAATTATTTAATTGAAGAATTTGGAAAAAATTATAAGGAAAATCCAATTGAATTTTTTAAATTAAAAGTAGATGAACATGTTGAGGGAAAAATACAAAATAATTTAAAAGAAAATATTTTAACTTTTGAGGAAAATATTAAAGAAAAAATGAAAGCTTTTATTTATCAATTAATCACTAAAAAGCGAAAATTGGAATGAATGTAAAAAAGAAAGAGGAATTTTTAAACGAAAAAATTATTTTGGTTAACTAAAATTATTTTAAAATTAAATTTTAACTAAATTTTTTTAATTTTTTGACATAAACAATTTGTGATTAAAGACAGGACTATGAGGATCTTGTGAAGAATTCTAGAAAAATCTTCATCTTTATAGCTGAGATTTTTGTTCGTTATTTCGTTATCTCGTCTCAGTCTTTTCTCTATTAATTACATATTTTATTATCATTAGGGATGTGATTTTTATCAAAGGAATTTCTCAGAATAGGTTAGAAAATAGAAAAAAACCCACCAAAATAGGCTAGAAAAACATCTTTTTCTGTGATCCTAGAACTATTTCTGGATAAATATGTAGATTTGTTTGAAAATGGAGGCATTGGCGATTCTGGGAAGCATCTTATAGATGGCCATGGTCCAATATCTGAAACGTAAAAATATGTATCTGCCAAGTCTCTTTCTGTCTTACAAGATTACATAGTACAGTTTCTGCTCAAAGTAAATAGATATTAAGTCCAAGAACAAAAATAGTCAAAACTCTAAAAATCATCACATCCCTAATTATCACATTAAAAACATTTTCTAAAATATTTTCATTATTTATAAAATTTTATTTATTTATTTACGAGATATACATATTTTGATTTTGTCGGCATTATGTAACCCAAAAATTTTCGATAAATACTTTTTGAGTTTTTATTAAATTTCGAGTCTATATATTTTAAAAGTTAAATTTTGAGCTGAATTAAAGTAAATGCTCTAATAGGACCACACTCTCTAATAGACCACACTATCTAAAGCATACCTACTAGAGGATCGAAAAATAGAAACACATGTGGGTCTATTAAAGAATTTACTAAATTAAATGAAAATTTTCCAATAAAGGTTTATGAGTACCAGAGGTAGGTCGGAACAGTCAGAGGTGTTGGAAATCGGAACTGTCGGAAATCGGAAATGGCTCAAAAGTCGGAACTCGAAAATCGGAAATCAAAATTTTTTTCGAAATCGGAAGGAAAAAAACGTCGGAAATCGTAATTCCAACCCACCTCTGATGAGTACAAGAGGTTAATGCACAACCTACGAGGGGATCAGAGATTTGTAGCTTTCCATTAACTGTAATTATACTAGATTTATTAAAAGTGTCCAAATATTATCAAATTATAATTTTATTTTTTAAACTAAAAATCTACTCCATATAAAAAAATTTTTTTAAATAAAAATTTCAAAAATAATTATTTTAAATCAAATTTTCATAGAAACTTCTAAATCTCTGGAATTTTCTTTGGCTCCAGAAATTTTTTCCAAAAATTGTTTATTTCTTCAGAAGAAGAATTTCTTGCTTCTCTAACTTCCTTTAAACCTATTAAATTAATAAATTAATTTTTAAATAATTTTAAAAACCCTCAAGCATTGCTTTTTCGATTATTTTTGTTGTTGATTTATATATTTGTTTTGTTAAATTTTGTTCGCGATGGGTTGGGGAAAGGACAATAATTGATGAATCTTCTTTCTCGTTTATTTTTTCTGTTTTATTTTCCTTTATCCGAACAGGTATTGAATTATTCCTTTAAATTTTTTTAGTTTTTACGTGTCAGGACAATACTCTGTCCTACTGTCTACACATTAGTGAAAAATACCGTACTTCGCTTACAGTAAACAAATTTTAGAATAAAATTTTTAGACAGATTATATGTAGTAATGACCAGAATTAACAGTTTTCTTGTATAAAGTAGAGGCAGAATGAGATGAGAAAAATCACGGTTACTGAGATTTTTCGAGATATCGGCTTAGGTTCTTACGATCATTCTAATTCGGTCTCTAAGTAGTCTAAAGATTTTAAGATGTCATATAAAGACTCGGGTACACCCCGATGTACCCCGAGCTGTAACTTTGTCCAAAATTGTCAAATCCGTGGCGCCCTAGTATGGTTCGATTCAGCTGGTTGAGACGCATGAACCATACCAGCGCGCCACGGATTCAACAATTTTGGATAAAGTTATAGCCCGGCGGTACATTGGGCTCGCGGTACACTGGCCTGCTCCCAAAGACTCGAATTTATTAAATGTAAAAGTGGACAGTGTTTTTTATTCTAATATTAATTGAACAGTATTTTGCCCATCACACTAACCATGTCAAATATGTCAAAAAGAAACGTTCAATTAATTCAATTAAGGACACATTTGGATATAAAATATTTATTTTTGTTAGCATTATAGAAATTGAATATTCGTCTAAAAATCCGAGACGTTCTTGATTTACAAAATTATCTGAAAGAAAAAATTTTTAGAATTTTATTTCTAAAAATTTCCACATACTTTTAGCCCAACGATTCAAAATAATTAAAGCTTTGTTAAATTTAATATTATTTTTAATATCCGGTAATCCTTTTATAAAATTATTTGTTTCGTGTTTGTATAAAGCTTTGTCGCATTTTTGAAATGCGATTTCATTTTTCCCAAGCTTACAAAAACTTGTTTATTATTAAAATTCTTTCGTTGTAAAATTTCCCAACATATTTCCTATAAAATCTATCAGCGGATAGTTAAAAAGTGTTCATTCATTCATTCATTATTCATTGTCTTTCCCAGTTTAAAGGCTTTTTACTTTTCATTCTAATAAAATTCTTCTAAATAAAATCTACTTCGCAATAAAATATATTTTATACGCTTTCCTGTGAAATAAAATTGTTTGTGATTGTTTAAAATTGATTGAAGAAAATTGAGAGTAATTAAGAGGAAATTAAGTGTTAGAAAATAAATTTGAGTTAAAAATTTACTTTAAACTGTTTATTTTGGAAAAGCTCAGCCGGTGAGAATGTCGGCACCCTTTCGTAACCAAATCCGGCTTCTCATTCAAGAAGCGGAGGAATTATTGGAAGACCCCAAGTCCTTTGTTCTCCCAGTGCAGACTGGAAGTATATCCCGATTTCACGCACAAATACGCTCCCTTATTACTTCCCTTGACTCAGAATCCCAAATCGTGACTGAACTATTTGACAACATTACTAATGAAAATGACAGATGGATGGCCACTAGAACGTCTATGACTGGAGCTGAAAGACTGGCGGACAACCCAATTTATGATGAATTTGTCACAGACGTGCCTTATCCCACCACATTACGTAAATTAATGAAATATAACAGAAAACTCCACTCTGAGAGAGGGACATTGTCCGCAAGTTTACCTGACCCCTCCCAGACCACCGACACCCTTTTCCACCTCCCAAAACTGTCCCTTCCAAAATTTAGCGGTAAATGCGTGGAGTTTACCTCGTTCTGGAACGCCTTCCGCGTCGGAGTCCACGACCTCACCAACATTTCCGACTCCGTAAAATTTAATTATTTGAAAGAATGCTTGGAAGGGCCCCCTCTTCTACTAGTAAAGTCACTCCCTCTCACAGAAGCTTCTTACCATGAAGCAATTCGCCTAATACATGAAAACTTTGGCAATGTAGACGAAATTAACCGTACTCTCCACCATGCCATCCGAAAATTACCCGTCGTTCACTCCGTGAACGGTCCCGAAATTTTGTGTACTGAATTACGATCTTTCGTCGACCAATTCGAATCGCTTTATTTGCAAATGCTTGAACAACACTTTGATGTAAATACTCTGCCCGTTCAAATGGAACTCGAATCGAAATTACCCCCTCAAATACTTGAAGAAGTGTTCAGAGACAAAGAAATTCATGGGCAAGACTGGAACACAGACCAACTCCGCAATACACTGAAGTCAATATTGAAAAGAAAGGAAGGAGTCAAAGCCCTTAGGGACCAGAAGAAGGAACTCAACACACAGGACAGGCCCTCTAATTCTCCCAAACAGTTCAGGCAAGTTGGAAATTTTCGTTCCCCAAATATGCCCCAATCCTCTCTGACATTTTCCACCTCTAGGCCAAATAACAGACCAGGGATGTATAAATTCCCCTGTGTTTTCTGTAACCACCCCAACCACCTCTCCCACCTCTGTTCGAATTATAGCACCCTTCAAACACGAAAATCCCGACTGCGAGAAAAGAAACTATGCTTTAACTGCTATAAGCCTGACCATCTCGCTAGATCCTGTCAAAACCCAATCACGTGTACTAATTGTCGAAATTTACACCCCCGTGCCCTTTGTCCAAATCTATTCAATTCCCTACAAGAACCTCCCCCGCAGCATATAACTAATTTCTGTTCTCAGAGGATATCTGATGCAACTCCCTCTATAAGGCCTATCCCTTTATCCCTGATAAAATTTCCAGAAGATTTCAACAGTCCCACCTCCCACAATAATTCAATGGAAACCAAGACCGAACTAGTTACTTTAAATGAGATTAACCCTGGAATAAAGTCCCTTCCAATACCAGACAAGCCATTATTAATCCATAATTCAATCAAAAATTGTACACAGCTAGATAACAATCAAACCCAATTACCCTCTCCCGATTCCAGAACAAATTCCTGTAACTCACCGACTACCGCAAATACAAAATTAAAAAATAATAATGAAATTAATTCCATACACACGCCAACAAATGCAATGAAAGCTATGAAAATTAATAGGGTAAAACCAGAAACTTCAGTTCCCACAGATAATACGCCAACTTGGACACTACAGAATGAATCTTCAGGCCCCCCAGGTGATGTGCCATCAGTCAAGTCCCCTTCTCCCACTGCAACAAAAATCGACTACTCTGATCCACTCGCTCAATCACCTACTGTCAACCAACAACAACAACCACCCGAAATAGACGTGAAGGATATCCCACTTACTACCTCACCCCCAAAAGAATCTGTCCCGCCGAAAGAACAAGCTCAAACAATCCCGAACCATAAGGCCAGAACGCATCGAATAACAGTGAAAAAGAAATGTGGAAAAAAATGGGTTGAGTCGACCAAATTTCCCAGAAATTCAATGAATGAAAAAACCAAAATTGTGACAAAACCGATACCGTTAAACGACATAAAATTCTATTATATCCCGCTTATACGTTCACATTCTACCTATTCTCAATCTTGTACTGGAGTTATCTCTCATTTGCCTTCCATCTCTTTGTTTCCTGTTATTAATCAAAATTTCTTTTCTGTTGTTTTTCTACCTCATCATCAAATTAATGGACTTAATGTATTCCCTTCACTTTAACCTTGTGGCCGGAGTGTCGCATTTTTGAAATGCGATTTCATTTTTCCCAAGCTTACAAAAACTTGTTTATTATTAAAATTCTTTCGTTGTAAAATTTCCCAACATATTTCCTATAAAATCTATCAGCGGATAGTTAAAAAGTGTTCATTCATTCATTCATTATTCATTGTCTTTCCCAGTTTAAAGGCTTTTTACTTTTCATTCTAATAAAATTCTTCTAAATAAAATCTACTTCGCAATAAAATATATTTTATACGCTTTCCTGTGAAATAAAATTGTTTGTGATTGTTTAAAATTGATTGAAGAAAATTGAGAGTAATTAAGAGGAAATTAAGTGTTAGAAAATAAATTTGAGTTAAAAATTTACTTTAAACTGTTTATTTTGGAAAAGCTTCTTTTGTTTCTATTGTGAATTTAATTCCTTCAATATTTAATTCAATCATTTTTTGAGTTTTATTTGTGTGTTTTTGTAGATGATTGAAAGTGACCTTAAAAATTATTTTTGTAAATTTAATTCAAGAAAATTCCCTAATTGAATGACATCTCAGGGAATTGAATGAAAGCTCTTTTAAAATGAAGGTAAAAGGTTCTGGTAACTCAGTTCCTAGTTCTGACAGCCTAGTAATAACTGCCGGAACTAGGAGGATCAATTTACCCGATGCTAAACTTATCGCTATTTTACTGAATAACTAGAGTTCCACTCTCCGACCCCGTTCCCTAAATACAGTGCGTCCGTAAATTATACGACCACCCTGGATAATTTTGTATTGGATTAATAGGAAAAATCCACAAAAATTTCTCAGATACACTACATCCCCCTCTAAACGTTCAGAGGCAGGATGCAGGCTAATATAAACCTCAAAAACATTTCGAACCTCAAACCCCTCAAATTCTTCTCTACATAAAAAACAATAGAGGGAATTGTCTTTACAATTTTTCGAAATTAAAGGTTCACAAATAGACTTTTCAGAACCAAAATATTTTTCAACTAAATGGTCATCAAATACAATATTAATTTCAACATCTTCAATTAACCAAATACCAAACTCGTAAATGCCCGTAATTTTAAATTTGTCTTTAAATCCATTTTTAGACTTCCATTTATTTATAATTTTAATTAATATTTCCATTCCTTTTTTAATTATTTCCTCGTCTTTTCCCAAAAATTTTATAAAATCATTGTGATCGAGTTTTCTTTCAAATATTTCAATTGGTTGGAACCCTTCTGGATTCAAATAAAAATTTTCTTTTAGTTTCGGATTGTCTATATTCAATTGCTCTTTTATTCTCTTCATTTCCCCTGCACGTTTTGATATTTTATTTATCCAATTAATTGTTATTTCATTATTTAATTCAAAAATTATTCGAACTATTTCAAATTGGTTTACTTCATAATTCTCATTTCCCTCCAAAAGTGCACTAGAAAACGCTTCAAGATGAAGTTGGCGTCTCATCTGTGAATAACAATAAATCATCTATTGTTAGGATAAAGTCAGAATTCAATTTAAGTCCTAGAATAGACAACTCATTTTAAGCTTTAGACCCAGATATTGGTAGCCACTGGGTCGGAGGGGGGAATATCTACTGATTTTTCGAATTAATTTTTCTTGGAGTTAGCTATCGGGCAGGAATCGACCTACAACCTTACGGACTTGAATTGGAGCTTTTTAGGCTCCTCTGAGCCTTCTAACTTAATGGGATAATCGTCCAGCCCAAATTTCAACTTCGCCTACATTGTTACCTTCTACTTTGAATAAACTGGTAGTCTCGTACTCGGCGACCTTGTAACAATCCCATACGTACCAGGGATGGACCGGGTTGAGAAAAAATTCGGGTCGGGTTTCGGGTAACCCGGCCCATCCCATACGTACCCCTCACATAAAACCAACCTTTAATAGCTCTTCCTTCTTAACATTCTTAACTTTACATTTTAATTCGAATATTCCATTCATTCTTTTAATTAAATCAACCAAAATACAATACAAATCCCTTTCAATTTTATCAATTTCTTTTATTCCTCCAACTTTTTTCTTCAAATCTTTATTTAATTTATATTCCCAAGTTCTTTCCAATTTTGTTATCAATTTATTTTTATTTTCCCCATTTTCCCCCTCTTCTTTTGGAAATAAAATTTCAAAAACTTGGGGGAATTTTCTCAAATATTTTAAAAAATCAAAACGTTTCGCCAACAAATTTAAATAAACAATTACATCCAAAAGCTTTTTTTCCTTCAAATTTTGAGGGTTTTCTATGGCTGTTTTGTATAAATTTTTTAGTTTATCTTCCCCTTCTGTTCCGAGGAATTCTTTCAAAATCCATGTCTTTTGACTCTCATTTGTTTGAAATTTTTTAGAATTTTTTCCTTTCCCGATTTTTAATTTGCCTGGGAAATTCTCTTTGGCTTTAAAATTTTCTGGTGAAATTTCTTCTTCCTTCACCTTCCTTATTTCTTCCTTATCCTCAATTATTTTCAGATCGCTTGCTTTATCCTTTTCTTCGGCTTTTTCTTCCTCCTCATCCTTTTTTTCTTTCACCTCTTCCTTCTCTTTTTCCCTTTCTTTCTTCTCTTTTTCTACTTCCTCTTCTTTCTCGTCTTCCCTCTCTTCCTCTTCCGTTACCTTCAGCTCCTCTTCCCTCTTTTCTTCTTCATTCTTTACCCTCACCTCCTCCTCTTCATTCTTTTTTTCCTTCTCTTCTTCTTTAATGATCTTCTCTAAATCTCTCTTTTCTTCCTCATCTTCTTCACAACAAAATTCTTCAGCTCGATTTGATTTATCTTCAATTTCCTTCTTCAAACTCAATTTATTTTCCCCATTTTTACTTGCTTTATTTTTTCTCTTCTTCTTTTTTGATTTATTCTTTTTTGATTTTCCTTTATTATTCAATCCTTTTTTATTCAATTCTCCATCATTATTTTTAATAACTTCATTTTTACCATTTAAATCATCTTCCTCATCCTCATCAGAAAATGTTAAAATAAATTCTTCCTTTTCTTTCCCTTTATCATTTAAATTTAACTTGTGTAAAATTGTATCTACTACATCTTCTGGTATTATTCTTACAAGACTTTCTCTTGCCGAATTGTTTACTTGAAATGCTGAAAAATGAAAGTATATTTTAAATTGAGGATTTAATGAATCACTCGAGAATTGATTAAAAAACGTATAAGTCCAGCTCTGGGGTATCGGATTTGTGGCTTCGAGGGTTTTCAACTCTTGGACACGTCTTCGGCAATTTCAAAATATCTGCCCGGCTACGGCCGGGAATGGCTAGATTCCGGAGCCATGCCTGGTATTCGATTCAGCTCGTCGAGATGCATCGAACCATACCGAGGCGTTCCGGATTCGACTATTTTGAACGAAGTTATAGCTTTGCGGTACGTTGGCCTGCTCACATCCAAATGTACTGAAACATGTTCATTCTTGCATGCCATTTTCGCATTTTCTGCGTTTTTAAACTCTTTTTTCCATCTTATTTATAAAATACACTAGTACCAAGAATTATGTTTCCATCTTTAATCCTTCGCCAAATTTCAACTTTTTTTTACTCTGCCACGCCTGCCTTTTTAATTATTTTTTTGCTTTTTAAAAATCAGGGTGCAACAAGTTATTATACTTACAATAATTAAGAGAATGCCAAAACTCTCCATCATTTTCCAGTAATTTAATTATATTATTTAAATGTTCCTTTTTAAGCCAGAGTGTAAAATATTGTGGTGTTTCTCCTAAATTATTGTCTCTTTGATGCCGTAGATGATTCCATTTTTTATCTAAATCATCCAATATTTTATCTTCATAGGTTGAATAAAATTTTTCTGACGAAGATTGAGCGTTTTCATGCCTTTTACTTTTAATTTTCGCTTTTAAGTAGTTTTTCTTCTATAATTTTAAATTTATTTTTTTTATCTTTTGGTGTATAATTAAACCATGGAGACCGAGAGGGGCATTATTAGAGGTAGATACTTAAGTGTGTGATTGTTAAGGATTTATCGTTTATAATAACTTATGTCATAGAGCCCTAGCTTGCTATAAGCTATAGGTTCCAGTTCAGGAATTGGAACCGCATCGGTTCCGAAACTGAAACCGGAACCCCACATTAATGATCGCCATGCACTAGTATTTTATGAATATGGAGAGAGTAAATGACTTCCCTCTTACGACTTCCCTTAGAACAACTTCATATGTTGTGTGACCTAATAGAGTGATAGTTGAATTTTTAGAATTTTGGAAGGGCAAGAGGCCAGATTTCTTCTATTTCTTAGAAATAAAGTAATTCTTAGGGTGTATATTTAGCCTAGTGAGGTTCTTTGCGAGGACCAGAACGATGTTCCGAGACCCGAGGCCGGTCAATCCGAGACCGAGATTGGAAAATGGGCGAGGACTTCGGCCTCGGCGAGGCTTCGACCTCATGCAACCCTAGCTATAAGTAAGCCCATTTCTGTTTGGTATTTTGAATGCCATAAACCCTGGCCCCCTTTCTTAAATTAGTAATTTTATTAATGAACCTCTCTTTTGTATTCTTTTTCAGTTACAATAATTTCTTCATATAAAAGATCCAAAAGTATTCTATAATAATTATTTACACTATTCTCCGAAGCTATTAAATCCTCATAATTTACAACAAAATTTCTCTCATATTCTAATATATTTATATGTTTTATATTTTCCCAAAATCCAGAGAAAATCTTTTTACTATCCAAATTTCCCCAGCCTCCTTTCCCGTGTAAAGGGTTTATTTGGCCTTCCATAACTTTAAACCAAACAAGGAAGTTTGCAGCAAGTTCTTCTACCTTCCTTATTTTTTGAAAATTTTCATCAGTAATGTTAACAAGTAAAATGTTCAGATAATGCTCTTTTAGACGTTCCGTGCCAGAATATACTTTAATAAAATTAAATATTTAAGTCAAGATTAAGGCCTACATTGATCATATGTGGATCTCAAAAGGGACCTTCTCAATCCTATGTTATCCTGGATTAGATCGTTATGATTTCCCGCTTTTTTGGAGCATATGGGATCGACCGAGTAAAACTTTCCCAGTTATCTAGTTTTAACAAATAAAAAGTCCTCGCCAGTATCTCTAGAAAGTACAAAAAGTTTTTGCCATTGACGCAAGAATTTTGCTTAGTAATTAGGATTTTTTGACAAATCTACATACTAGATACCAAATCTTCATATATCATCTTGATCCCTCAATATTCCTACAAATCCATCGATATCCCCCTTAATCCCTTTTAATCCCACAACATTTCTTGCTCACTTAACCTCCTTTAACCACGACAATCTTCACTGGTTTGCATCTCTGTCCCGGATCCGGATAACAGTCGATTTCCCAGGACACACCAGCCCATTTTCCACTGGATCCGCCTAATTCTTATGCCACAAAATATAGGTGGATGTATATTTTTGGGACAGAGTGTATTCTACCTTGTTCATCGATCAGCTTCATATCTTCAATTAATTTTTTAAACAAGTCTTTATCCAAAAATAAACTAAAAATCAAATATCTGGTATATTTGCTTCTAATAATTTTTTCCCTCAATTCTTGATTATTTCCTAATTCTCTTCCTAAAAGAACAAAGTGATCGCTACTTAAATAATTTTTAATTTCGTTTGTTATATCCTCTCCTTTTTTTTATTTTAATATTTTTTATATCATCTAATAATTTTTGAACGTCCTCATTTGTTTTTAATTTCATTAAACGTGACGTATTTGAAGAGATGAGGGACACAAACTTGAAAACACTAAATAACAAAATATCATCTTCCTTATTTTTTAACAAGAAATAGGCAATTTTGTTGCCTTCCTCAAATTTTTCTTCTAACATATGTAGCTTGTCAAGTTCTTCGGTTTGTGGAATTAAAGCTTTGAAAAGCTTATTTTTTATTAATAATAAAGTTATTTGTAGACGACGCTCTTTAGTTAAATGATCCTCTCCATTTAAGGAATATTCATAATTCTCTTCTTTGTCCCCATCTTTTAATGAAAGTATATCCTTGTAAAGATATGAAAGTACTTCATCGAGGAGATCTTCTGTAATTAAAGTTAATCTTAAATTATGCAGTTGTTTCTGCTCCTTAGAAGAGCAAAGCAGCTGGGCTTTAGCTAATTCTCTCCTTTAGCTAGTGCAAAAGGTTATTCGGCGGCTGGGAGCGAACCAACATCTTCAGTAGACCGGACTGATGTGTTAGCTAGCCATTACACCACACCGCCTACTGCATAGCCTTAGGAATTAAATAGCTATATGCTTTACAGAAGCACCGGCTTAAAAGAGTTGCATCCAGTCAATGTTGGTTTAGTTACACTTGGGATCTAGCACAGGAAGGTAGCGGATCTGGCAAGCCGTAGCTTTATTTTGAATGGAGATGTTAGTATTTTGATTATTTATCCAAAGCTCTTAGGCACTTAAAGAAAGGAAGAACTTGAAGGAACCTGCACGGCCTTGAAAGTCTAAAGGCTCTAAAAAACTCGGAGGCTACGGAGTCTGAACAGGGTGGCCCTTTCCGAAACACTAAAATAGGGCGCAGCCACTCAAAAATAGGGCAAAAATAGGGCGAAATCGGCCAAAAATAGGGCAAAAAATATGGCATTATTTAAAAATCTTAAAAATAATTAAAATTTCAATTAAGAAGCTTTATTCTATATATTTTTCAGTAGTTTTAACAAATTGAATAAACGGAGGGATATAGAGGGTTTGGGAGCAATTATTAATGGATTTGGAGATTAAAAGAGTTAGCGAGGGGATTTAGGAATAACAAAGCTATCTAAAATGGATAAATGTCAGGAACTATTGTAGCTATCTAGGGATTTGTGAGGATTCAGTGGATTTGGTGTAGTAGAAACATCGGGTATTTTTACATCAAATTTTGGCGGATTGAGTGCTGGGATTGGTGGATTAAGAGAGATATCGAGGCATTTGGTGATTTTCCCCGATGTCCCTTCAAATACCCTTAATATAAATTACATCCCACTTAATCTTCTATTTACCTTTATCCTCTTAAACACAATTAATCTCTCAAATCCATTGATATCTCTCAATGATATATCTCTTTATCAATACAAATCCCTCGTTATGCAGTCAGATCCCCCATAATCCTAGTAAATCCTTCAAAATCTTCTATAGTAAAATTCTACTCAAGCCCTTCCAATCCCTCAATTTCATCCAAAGTATTACAGATTTTTCCTTTTTCAGCGCCGCAGGCAAAAACTTTGAGAATTTTGTAAGGCCAAGGAGCCAGATTTCTTCCTTTATTGCGCCGCAGGCGAAAATTTTAGGAATTTTGGAAGGCCGTGAAGCCGGATTTCTTAATTTTTCTGCCATTTCATTTACGAAATTCTAAAATTGTAAAAATTTTACAAAATGATAAAAATAGGGCAAAAATATGGCAAATGTAAAAATAGGGGAAAAATAGGGCGGAAAGGTCGAAAATAGGGCAAATGCCCTGTAAATAGGGCAAAAGGGCCACCCTGAGTCTGAAGCATGTTTGAACAGGTCGAAAAGAACAACCAAATTCCCAGTTTTGCTCAATTCCCACAGATATTTGGCGTAAATATTATCAATATTAGTAATGGAAACTTTACCTATTCTCATCAATTTCGGATATGCTTCTTCTAACTTAGATAGCAATTCGGGTCCAAGCAAAGCCAAGAATGCTTGTTTGGATGGATTTTTATTTTCCATGAAATTGCAAAACTCCTCAATATTTTTGTCTAACAACATTTTTATATTTCCAAAATTTATCAAATAAAATTGTTTGATGCAAGAAGGCGAAAGATATTTTTCAATAACTGCATCAACTTCTTGTTCATCTTGACAGTTTTTATTTTGTAAAGGCGATTTTTCATCCTAACAAAGAAATAACGTTAATAATTATTCGAAATTTATAGTTTCTCTAAACATATCGTGACTCAGGAATTTATGGGAATTTTGCATTCAAGATACCCAAGTATAGCGAAAATGACTGGGATGATGGGCAGGGATCTATTCATCAGGATCTATTAAAGACTCCGAAGAAAAATGTACGAAGAGTATCTGAACCTCCTTCTTCAGTTACTTAAATTTTTTATATCCGACTCGATATTTGTCTCGACAGCATCGTACTTCGTACTTAGGCCTCGTACCTCGTACTTTTCACATTTTTTGGCCTCGTTTTTGGTACGAGCTTCGAAGCACTGGTTCAGACAGGCTACCCAACTCCATATTTTTCTCTCTAGAAACCAGGGCTAGAAACCAGGCCAATTTTTTCTCTCTGGAAACCAGGCCAATTTTTCAAATTTTTAAAAGACGCCAAACGCAAAACGCCAAAAATCGGCCAAAAAATGGACGCCAAACGCTTGACGCTCAGCCCTGCTAGAAATTCTCGATCTCCCCACACCACTGCCATTAAAACAAAACTTTACATGTGTTAATAATTTGTATTGTGTTTTTAATTTGTCTTTGCACACTTTATTCTTCAAAATTTCCTCATCCTTAACAAATTCATCAATTAAATTGTGTATTTCACAAAATTTAATTTTTTCATCTTCCAAGCACTTTAATTTACCCTCCACCAATTTTGCTTTAAAAATATATTTATTAATAACTCTTCCAAACTCTTCATTCCACCCTTCATCATTTCCAACAAATTCTTTATAAACTTGATAGGCAGCATCACTTGAAGGGCGTATTTTAAACATTTCAATAAAATAATTATAAAATTTTGAAATTATTTTAATTAAAAATCCTCCTAATAATTCCTCATTTCCCTCTTCAAAATTTTTAATAAATTCTATATAATCCTTAGCTATTTTTAACATTTCTTCATGTTCTTTAGCTGCTACTTCGGCTAATAAATGTTCGTCACGGCCTGTTTCTTGACTATTTTTGAGTAATAAAATTATTAAATTTATTAAAAGCAAAGCTTTTTTAATTCTCATTTTTATTAATTTAATCTAAATTTTATTCTATAATTGAGTTTTAATGTGTCGGACAGTGTCTCATTTGCTCCAGGAATTTAGAGGTGAATTTAGAGGTGAATCGTCTCTTGGTTTAAGAGTAATCGGAATAGACTTGACTGTTGCTTTTTCCGTTTTCCGCCGAGTTCCGGCTTTTTAAGGAAGAGAAAGATCCAGCTGGCTAGCATTTAAAACGCTCACTAAGCGGGGATTTAAGAACTAATAAAAGAGAAGATGAAAGCAGCGTCCCGGTAGCTCAGTTGGTAAAGCACCTGTACGTGATGAGCGAAAGCACCTAGCAATAACTGCCAGGAGGTCGCAGGAGCGAAGCCTGCCCGGGATTAAACTTTTACCTCGCTCTTACTCTATTCTATATTCCGCTTTTTTAAATCCGATTTGAAAATCCTTAGCTTGAGCTCTGAATTATAAATGAATTCTCTCTCAGGTTTCCAACAATTTTTTAGTTCTGATCCCTAGAGAAGATATTGTAAGGAATGGGAGATCTCGCTAGCTACTACCCCTTACTAATTGAAAGTTTAAGATTAAAAATAAAAGAGAACATGAAAGCATCAATTAGTAGATCTCTATAGAATCTTGCAAGTCCTCTATTTAATAGAGAGGGGGGATAATTTAATTGTTTATTTTATTAATTTAAAATTTAAAGAGAATTAAAATAATATTTTATTAAAGAGAAAATAAATTATTTTATATTTGCTTTTTGAAAAATAAAAAGGCACTTAAAAAATGCCCTTTTCTGTGTTTTGAAATGGGCGGCAATAAGTCTGTTTGTCTTTAAAGTGCTTTTGAATGAGCGGCAATAAGTCGATGTAGCTTTAAAGTGCTTTTTTGGCAAATAATTCACGTGAATTTACACAAGAATTAAGAAATCTATCACTCAATAAAGTCTAACAAACATTAAAATAAAATTCCGACAATAATAAAGAAAAATTTCATCACTAGGAATGATGAAATTCCTATTTTGGGCAGGAATAAATTAATCATTTTAACCGTTCTACGAGAAAATTTTCTTAGGCCGGAATGGGGTAGCCAGATCCTGATCCGAAAAAGTATGGACATCTGTTGTGTAGTGGTGTACGGATATCTGTTGTGTAGTGGTGTACGGATAGCCAGTAAAAACATCAGTCTAGTTGGATCATACTAGCGGGGCTAGTCAATGATCTCTTTCGTCCCAGCTCTTTCCAATCCCTTAGCCTACAAATTGTTTATTCCTAGACCAGATAAACTGTTATTCTTGTGTACGTCTTTAGTTAAATCTCGGATACCCTCGGACATAACATCCGAAACTTTTGTTTAGGATATCTGATTGAGGGATTTATCACTGCTTTGGCAAAATTCATTGGATGGGAGATTCTTCACTTATATTCCTTCTGCAAGTGCGGACACAACCCTACTGTTTCAGATTTAGGACTACAGGTAACAATTTAGTTATGTTTGAATTTTATTATAAAAATTACAGTACTTGGCCTAATTTTAACGACTCTTTGCTTCATTTTTTTGTTTAAAATAATCATCTAAAGACTTTTACTTTTATCTTCTAGAAAGAATGAAACAAATTTATATACCCTAAATCCTCTATTATTATACCACTTCAGCCGTTCCTTACTATACACCCTTGAAGAATAAAAATCGTAGCTTATAATGAGGGCTATCTTAAATACACCTTCCCCCCTTCCCCGTAACTAACCAAATTAAAAATCATAAATTGAAATGTATTTTTCTTGGGTTTATCTTATAGTAAGGCTTTAAGGAAAATTCTTTGTATGATGGAATAGAACAATTGCGGAAAGGACCCAGTTGTTTTTATTTGTTCATATCCATTCCGCACTTAAATGGATTCCTTTGAATTTCATGAGCTAAGTTGTGGTACTCTAATAGAGGATTTACGAAAGAGGTAATGTTCAATAAAAGCAATTTTCTCAATTTCAATCTTGTCTAAAACTAATCTTTTCTCTTCAATTCTTTCAACAATTTTTAATCCTCTTCCATTTCCTCTTCTCCCTCAATTGTAACGGCCACGTCCACCACCGTGTTGACCATTCCCTCCATTTCCGTTACGACGGCGACGTCTTCCACTTGCTTGTTGGCTACTTTCCCCAACACTTCTAGGTGGAGGGTATTGGATGTAAAACTAATAAATATTAAAAGCATTAACGAGGATTTACAAAAATAGACAATAATAGTCTGAAGCGAGCAGGGTACGGCCCAAGTAGGCGCACGGCCAAGTAGGCGCAAAGTCATAACTTGCTTCAAAATTTCCGAATCTTACCAAATTTGGTATTAAACGATTCCTCTCATCGAGCTAAAGAGATGGTACCAAAATTGTTAAGGTCCATAAATTTTTCAGGTAGTTATGGCTTTGCGCCTACTTGGCCGCGCGCCTACTTGGGCGTGTCCCAGCGAGCATATACGTTTTTTATAAACAACCTCTCGGATTTGTGGTGGGATTCTCACTCCTTCACGGATTTGCAATGTTTCCATTAATCCATTGTCATAAACCAAAGCATTATTATTTATTTGATAAATCAATTGTGGATTTATATAAAATTGTTCAAGTTTTGCTTCCAGATATGGGCGTTCACTAACATATTGAGAATGGAGGAGTTGATATAGATTGTAGGTATTGTTTGGTCTGTCCTCCCCTTGAATAAGAAATTGGGCGAACTGTGCAAATTCTCCATTTGTTATTTCCCAAGAATCAGTTGCTCTAACTAAATTAGTTTATTACAAAATCAAATTAATAATCATTAAAGTTCGAAATGTAAGCCTAATTTGCCTTTAAATCTTTTATAATTTGTAAGATCAGCAAATTTCCCTCCTCGCCTAGTTAATAAAGCTTAGATGAAATTAGGTATTTAGGGTTAAATAAAGGAATAAAGCGGTTATTAACGATCAGTGTTGGCCATGGTAGGTTCAAGGACATCCAATCTATTCGAAACTAAGATCGTCGGTGCAGTTAGTTTGATGACCACTTTGCCCAATTTACAGAAAATGGTTGGTCTTTTCCTAATTTAATTTAATCCTCATAATTAGGACTGCCGTTTTCGATTCGAGCCGGCGTACGGTGCATTTGTCCAGCTTGGGATTTTTCGAGCGAGTTGTTTCGAGTTTAGTTTTTTCGAGTCTCATACGAGTCTTTTTCGAGCTTCCTGACCTCACTGATCACAGGGATCTAATTAAATTTAATTACTTTCATATGTGTAAATAAGCGGCAAGTATCTCTCAATCTCTCCAATATTATTTATGTTCTCATAGTCTGGGTTGGAGTGACAATGAACAGGATATCCTCCAAGCGTCAATTCCAGCTCGTCGCTTCGAAGATCTATGAACAGATTGTTGGTAGCTTAAAAAAGAAAATTCAACCCCCAACGCCTTTACAAAAACTATCACCATGTATAATACTAAAAGCTTGATTTTCCAACATATCATGCAAATAATTTGCAGTCAGTTCATAAGAATCAAAACTGGTGATATATTCAACAATTGATATTTTGAAACTAAATTTTAGTAAATTGCATTGTGTTTATGCTTAAACTTATTTTATAAACGAAGGATTAATAAAAGGGGATCGTGGAACTAAACGCGAATCGAACGACAAGTAAGGTTTTCTAGCAGATAAGGTGTGTCTGGGGCGTTTACTTACCTTACATCGGTTATAACTAGTAAAATTATTTTTGTCAAAATTGTATGGCCATATTTTGCGATTTTATTTCAATAAAAATCCGCCTCTAGTTCTAACAACCTTAATTGTCAAGGGACGTTTTGATAAGAGCAATAAGAGACTTAGAGAGAGATGAGAGAGAGAGACTTAGAGAGAGAGAGTGAGATGAGAGAGAGACAGAGAGAGAGAGAGAGATTGATGAGGGAGAGACTTAGAGAGACTTAGAGAGAGAGAGAGATGAGAGAGAGAGAGACTTAGAGAGAGATGAGAGAGAGACTTAGAGAGAGAGAGATGAGAGAGAGAGACTTAGAGAGAGAGAGAGATGAGAGAGAGACTTAGAGAGAGAGAGAGAGAGAGATGAGAGAGAGACTTAGAGAGAGAGAGATGAGAGAGAGAGAGACTTAGAGAGAGAGAGAGAGATGAGAGAGAGACTTAGAGAGAGAGAGATGAGAGAGAGACTTAGAGAGAGAGAGAGATGAGAGAGAGAGAGACTTAGAGAGAGAGAGAGAGAGAGATGAGAGAGAGACTTAGAGAGAGAGAGATGAGAGAGAGAGAGAGAAATCTTAAGAGACTTAGCTATTTAGAAATTATTTAATCCAAGTTATAAAAACATTTTCTAATTTTTTCCTAATAAAAACTTGAGAATGGTATTAAATTTTGAAAAATTCAATTTAAAAAAGAAAGGAAAGCTTTGTTCAAAACATTACTTAAATGCAACATTGTCCTCATCTACACGATCAGGTAAATTTTCAAAAAGAGCATTGTATGCATTTGAACTTTCTTGGATAAATGACAAGATCAATCTGCGTGCTAAAACATGCAATTTGTAATAGAGAAATAAATTTATCTCTTTTTGTAAAAATTGAACTAAAAAGCGTCCAAGTTGTCTTGATTCGAAATTACTAAATTTGTAATAAAATTATAGTTATTAATTTATTATATTTTCTTCTTAATTTTCAGAAAAAATAATATTAGTGTGAGTATATAGTGTGAAGGATTGTATGAGTGGTATTGAGGAATTCGAGGTAAATAAGGGTATTCTAATGGATTAGGGAGTATATAGGAGGCCATAAAGCAGCAACCCCAAAAACCTCCCGCCAAAACCAACAAAATTCCTGAAATTCCCGAAAATCAGGAATTCCTGACGTTTTTTTTGGTCAAGAATTCCCGATTCCCGAAATCGGGAATTATGTTTTACTATGTCCCTTATACTCACTCACCCTATATTGGCTCAATAAAATACACTCCAAGACATCCCATACCGTAAATATTCTAATAGAACCACACTCTCCAATAGCACATTTGATTCAATTAGAGGATTTACGGTAATTAAAAAATTAATTTTAACTTCACCCAATATTCCATAATGAAGCAGGAACTATTCCCAAATCTCGCCCTTCACCAAACTCATCTATATCTAAACCATGATCTACAATAAATTGATTATACTCATCCACTTCAACACTTTGTCTATAATCATCGAGTCTATTGTTAATAAAAATAAGTTGAGTTTCTCTATCCGAAAGTGCTAAATAATAGGATTGTAATTGCCTTTGATAGGTGTTAAGAATTCGCGTAAAATAAGTTAACACCTTTAGATTTAAAAATTTAATGGGTTGAAAAGTCAGTCCGGACTATTTCAGGACTAAATTAATCAAGAAAAATCTGGCTTGTCCCAGTAATCCGGAAAAATGTTTTCCGATTTCCGGAAAGTAATTTTCCTGGACACTAATACTTTAAATTAGGGTAGCTCCCCGAGCCTTCGGGTTCAGAAGTGTCGGGGATCGGGGTTTGCCGGGGAGAGCATGTCGGGGTTTCGGGGTACGGGGGACAGGGAGCTACCCTACTCTAAATGTATATGAATACCCCTCTTATTTTTCGTCGAAAATCATCAATGATTCGATCATTTTCCGACAATCCAGTTTCAGCTAGAACGCCAGCTCCTTTTTGCCTGAGTATGCGCTCAATAGATACAGAATTGTTGTAGACTTCATCTAATTCAATTCTATCCAAAATTTTAATCAGAAAGGACAACTCAGTTAGAGAGAACGTGTTCAGATTGGCTTGGCCTTGGCCTTCTCCAGTTCTCATCCTCCCTATTTTTAAGAATTTATTGAAAATTTTTTTATAAAAACACTAGAAATTTTACCACGAGGAGGGTGCATTCCTTCGACGAAAAGGGAATCAAATCCCATAAAACAGAAGACAATAAATGTCTTGAAGAATGTTTTAAAAAACATTCTAGAAAATAATTTTACTTAAAATTTTTGAATAAAACCTTCTTTAAAAAATTTTAATTAAAAATTTAGAAATAGCTATTTATGGCAATCAAGTAGCTAAGACTTATTTTTGAATTCTTACATAAATAAAATTAATATTAGCTATAGACTCCCTCCCAAAGCTTCTCTTAGAAAGGACATTTTTTGGGGTAATTAAGATGGGTGGGTTGTCCTAGCCTTGACTGTTAGCTAATAAAATCAAGCAAGGGCATTGGAAAATAGTATAGAAAAGTCGGAGAATTTTTTATAATATTTAATTTGACTTTAAATAAACATGTGAATAGCTAAAATAGCAAGGCATTTTATTTAGAGAGGGCCCTTTGCAATGGGGCCCACGCAGAGTTGATTCGAAATTTCGATTTTGTTTGAAATCGAAATTTCGAGTTATCGGCTGTTAGTAGCAAGTGGGATTCCCTGCTGCAACACCAGAAAGAGTGTAGCAAAAGTTTAGCCAGTGGGCAGGATTCACCTATAAAATAAATAGGTGGTAATTTCCGGAAAGTAATTTCCTATGAACTGCGAAAATGCTGACAGTGCTCGCCTTTTGTTGGAGGCAAGTCTTGGTCTCGCTTTATTGACGTTCCCTGACAAAGGAAAGGCTTTTGGGGGTCCGTGGGACCTCGGGATGAAATTTGGTAGACAGGTAGAGCATACCCTTTCTATTGTGAAATTTGAACCATTTTAGCAAAATGGTACCGTGGACCGAGTTATAAGCCATACAAATTGTCCCAGCCACAAAAATTGTCCCAGTAATCCGGAAAGCTTTTCCGGATTCCGGAAAGTCACTTTCCTAGGCACAATATTTTTAAATAGAAGTTTCATAGCTTTTTTTCAAGTCAAGAAGCCATAAATCTTCATTTTTAGACAAATTTGTATTTCAATATAACGAGAATAACATAATAAACGGTAACAAAAAATTAAAAATAAAATGACATTGTTTAATAGGGTTAGAACTTGAAGATGCCATTTCTTCTTCTTTAAGACTTTTGCCCAATATTACATCATATATAGGAAATGATTCAACCATTTCTTTCCAGAAATTTATTCTTTCCAGTGGAAAAGTGTCTTCTACTTTGTTATCATCAGAGCGAGTTTTTTTAGGTTCAAAAAACCTGATAATAGGTACCTAAAAGGTTCGAAAAAAAGGCTTAAATAGGTTGAAAAAAATTCAAAAAGTGCAAAATAGGTACAAATTTTTAACAAATAGGTTTGAATTTTTAGAAATTTTCAAATTTTGTGGTTTCAATTTATGATTTTTCAATTTTCGTGGGCCTGTAACTCGGCCCTATAAAGTCAGATTGCGCTGATTTTGTTGTTATTCGACTCCTCTCGAGCAGCTCTTTCGAATGAGCTATCATTCGAAAAATCATATTTTTCAGCCTAAAGATGGTCTACCTTCCCCTGTGGCGTTTCGAGTTTCGGGGACCTGTAACTCAGCCTTATGAAGTCAAATCGCGTTGATTTTAGTGTCATTCGACTCAGTTCTACAAGTTCTTTCGAAGAGACCAGTTGTAAATAGAACGGTAGTCTGTATATCGGCCCATAGATGAGGCCACGAGCTTATTTTGGTGCCTTTTGGCAGGATTTGACTTTGGCAATTTATGCTTTTTTGCTCCTTTTGGCAAGAAAGGAGCATGGAATTAGTGTTAATATGACTTTATCATTTTAACATTAACTATTTTTTAAGATTTTATGGCAATTTTGCTAAAATAAAGGCGATTTTTAAGATTTTTTCAAAAAACCTAGAATAGGTTCAAAAAAGTCCGAAATAGGTTGCAAATAGGTTTTAGGTTCAAAAAGGCCGAAATAGGTTTTTTAGGTTCGAATAGGTCCAATGTAGACTCATTATTTCGACCCAAAACAGTGTTTTTTGTGCATATCTCATCAAAACTAGTTCGCAAAAAAAATAGAGAAAAACCTAAAAAAACTCGCTCTGGTTATCATTCAAGTCTATATTTAAATGTAAAAATGGGCTCGAATCGGTATTCGTTGGCCAAAGGATTGTGTTTGTTGATGGATTTCTATTGAATTGAAAAATAAAAAAATATTATTCTGGCTGCCCCTCTATCCCTAAATATGGCATGCCCAAAAAGGGCAAAAAAGGGAGACGCCTAATAGCTTGCTTCACGATTTCTTAATCCTACCAACTTTAGTATCATACGATTTGTCTCATCGAGCTAGAGGGATTTTCCAAAATTGACAAGAGCCAGCCATTTTCCAGCAAGTTATGTCTTTGCGCCGTTATGGCCGCGCGTCGTTTTGGGCTGTATCTCTAAACATGCTTCCAGGTGAGTTCAAAATGGAGATCGCTTTAGTATTTCGGTTCGAGTCGTAATTAGTATATTTTTTAGATTATAAAAATCTAGTTTTTCGACTTTTCCCGCATAGTAGTACTTTTGAAAATTTGTTTTGATCGTTAGTTGTTCTGGCAACAAGTTATCCTGTTATACTCGAGCTTTTGATTAAAATTTTGAATGGACAAATAGAATCTATCCGAAACATGCAAATGCATTTTTTGCTGCCCCTAGTTAGTATCAAGGAGTCGTCTGACCATAGAAGGAACGAGTCACTCGAAACTTTTACGACAAGACAAGACCCGGAAAGGAACTTGACTCTTCGACTTTTTCTCACCCCTACCCATCCCCTGTCTCTATTCTAAAATCTATCCAAGTGCTCACCCCTCTATAAAAAAATTCTTTCAAATTTTCAAATAAAACTTGCCCATAAATAACAAAATTCGAAATAAAATCGGTCATTAACGCCTCCATTTTTAAATCATTTTCGTCATAAGTAAAATCAGAATAAGGATTTCTAAAAACATAGCGATGGTCATTATCATGGAAATTTTCTTTAAATTTTTTTTTCTGGGATTATTTCTAATTAAAAAATACTTTTAATTTTTATTTCTGATGGAATTAATTTTTTATTAATATATTTGTTAATGTAAATGTATAGAGGCCATCCTTGCTTATTTTGAATTTCTGTTGCTAAAGGAATAATAAATTGAATATCGGTCATTAACTACAAAATTATTTTATTACTCGTTTTAAAAATATTATTTTAGTGGAATCTTTTTAGTTAAAGCATCTAATTAATTTTTGCTGTGTTCGCACTTACAGAAAGAATGTAAATGAAAATAAATAGCCCATCATAGAGTTGGATGCCTCGGTTTGGGCCCTTTCCATGATAGTTCTATTCCATCTCCCATCCCATGAATTTTACTACAGCATGCATGAACATCGTACATTATATTTTTATTACCGGACTTTCTCCTCTCAAAACAAGGAGAAAAAAGAAAAATTCCAAGAGATCATCGGATAGTACCCACTAGAGATGTCCTCAAAATTTTCGCCTGCGGCGCTAAATCCCACGGCTATCCCTCTTAATCTTTTGATATCACTAATATCCCGTTAATCCACCCAAACCCTCTGAAATAATAACCTATTTTATTGATTTTCCAGAATAAATTCCCCGAAATTCTTTGAATTTCGCATAAATTTTTCGAAATTATAGATAATTGTGCTGAAGTTGACTGTGATCGTATCAAAATAACAAAAAATAAACCAAAAATTTGACCTATGGGATTAAAAATTTGGTCTTGATTTTTGGTCTTGAGTCTTGGAGTTTTGGTCTTGGTCTTGTGTCTTGGTCTTGGAAAAAATTTTGTCTTGGGTCTTGAGTCTTGAGTCTTGGAAAAATTTCGGTCTCGGACATCTCTAGTACCCACAAATTTATTTCCCTTTCCCTACTATTGCTAGGTTAAAACAAAATAAAGCGGCTCAGAAAGGGCAAAAATTGAATAGCACGGCAGTTTACCTAGCTGAAAGTTTCATTCTCACTAACTGAAAACACGGGCTCTAGTTTAGGACAAGGAAATAGTATAGTCTTTGGGTTTTAAAAAATTGTATAGACTCGGGTTTTAGAATAAATAATTTAAAAAACTAACATAAACAATCCTTTCCAAATAAAACCAATTATCCAAATTTTTTGGTTTGTCATAATTCAAATAAAAATTGGAAACATGCTCAACTACTTTTTCAGTAAAATCCCCAAAATATTCTTTTTTTATTATTTTTTGGCGTAAATAATTTTTAAATTGGTTAATTCCAAATTCGTTTAATTCATCTTTTGGAATGCCAAGATAACGAAGAGAATTATTGCCGAGTATTAATACTTGAGAAATTTAATAAACAAAATTTAGAAATTTTAAATTTTAATGGAAAGAATTTTTCAATTTTTCTTCAGAATTTTTAATTTTTACTTTATTCTCCCCATTATAAAACCAAGGATCCCACCTAAAGTTGGCGGTTTCGGGTATCCGAAAACCGGATATCCGGAGATTTCCCAGGAACCGCCATCCTTAATCCTTCCCCGCGAATTGAAAAGTACATTCATTATTTTTGGAGTCACGAATTTCTTATTCACTACTTTCTTGAATTAAAACCGACGCAAAAAATCGGCGAGAACCCACGCTACTTGTGAATTAAAAATGGTAGGGTAAATAAGGAAGTGTGATGGAGAAAGGGCATCATTTTCAAACCTTCATACTAATTAAATAATTATCTTCTAATATGGGAGAAGATTCGCTCATCAATTCCCTTATTTGTTAGGTTAGATTTTAAGGGGGAAGCGCGAACGCTGTCCCCCACACTCAAAAATTTAGCTGTGGGCCTACCCCAGTTCGGAGCCGCCCTGCGGGTCAACCTCGCCCTTAAGTGCAATGAGGAAGTCTCACCACAGACGCCATACCTTCGTGATCGTATGAGCGCCCCAGCCAGGTAAGTTTTAGAAACGACAAAAGCTCATCATCTATTAAATATTTATGAAAGAAAAATGTCAGTATGTAAGCAACGAAGTTTTCCAAAGAAGAAAAGTGTATTCACTAACATTTTTCTCTCATCCTTTCCCCTTCCTTTATTACTAAATTCTTTTACTTTTCATCTTTGTCATATACACTCTTTTATTTTCTCTAACAGGGTGTTAGAAAAAGGAAAAACGTTCAACGCTAGGGATGGAATTGAGAAAAAGGATTTAAAAATTAGGAAAAATATTTAACTAAAAGGATTTAGACAGTTATAAATGAACAAAATTTTTCAACTAAAAAATTTTTTTCTCAAATCCCCTTTAAAAATTGAGTTTTCAGAAACAGAATTTGACCGAACTGGGAGGGTCGTCATGCACTCGAGATCAACATCTCAAAAAATATCAATCATAAAAACAGATTTTCGTTTGAGATCTCGTTTTTGTCTGATCCCTAATCATATCTACAGGGCACCATTTTAAGGAAAATTCTTTATACTTAAATCTGCTTCAAAGGATTGTTCTTTCATCTAATAAGACGAATTTCTTCCTTATTTTAGTCTAAGAGAGCAGATTTTTTAGTATGAATTTTAATTTTAATTTTAGATAACAAAACATACAATATCCAAGTGGATCCATTTCTGTAATTCCCAAAATTGTTGGTTTTGGCTTTGTTTCATTAATTAATTCAATAAATTCTTTGGGCAAAAAATCGTCATCCATAATAGGCCCAAAAATATCATAATTGACATCGGGAATTGTTGAACCCTGAAATTTATTTTTGACACAGAGCCTTTGAGTATAGGGTGCTGGTTCTTGGGAAATCTTCGGATCTCTGGAACTGAATCTTTTATTTTTAAACACTTGTTCAACCAAAAAATCCCCGGTTCTTCAGTTCGTCGTGCTAAGACAACCCTACAATTAAGGCTGAAAAACGTATCTTATAAGGTGACCTTTAGGGTTGTCGGTTCTGGATCGAACCGAAAAACCGACGATTCTTCGGTTCGGTTTCGAATATCCGAAGATTTTCGAGGAACCGATAACACTAGTAACCTTAATAGGGCATATCCCTTACTCAACTCTCTACTAAGTGGCCAGCCTGTTTTTTTAAAAATGTTTCATAGATAAGGTAGAACTGAGGTAGTACTGTTCATAGATAAGGTAGAATAGTATGTAACCCTTAATACAAGAGAAAATAATTTTCTATTGTTTACCAACAATTATATCCATCGCATCAAAAAATTCCTCAATATCTTTTGTCTTTAAACACTCATTCAATTGCTCTGTTGTATTTGTGGTACAACCTAATTCAGTAAAGAGACGATTGCTCACAGAAATAACGCGGTTATTTGCTGCTCTCGAAGTAAAAATTGAACCACTCATTTGGATAGATTGTTGGAATAAATCTGAGAAAGTTTTAAAATACACTTTCAAGCAGACCTTATTAGGATACCCTTTAAGGGATAGAAATGTAGTCTCATATAATGAGTTTATCTTAAATAGAGAGTATCTGTGAGAGTTTTTAAAATAGGCTTACAAGCAGACATCATTATACCCTAAAAGAATAAAAATATTGTCTCTTATAATGAGGTTATCTTAAATAGAGAGTATCACCTATGTAGCTCTCTCACTCATTGGCTAACCAGTTTTAGGAAAACGTACATTAAATTGAGGTTGATTGAGCTTATCTCAAGAGAGGTTCCACAATCTATGTTAACCTCCAGTGCAAGCCAGTGTCCATTTAGAATACGTTTTTGATCCTGATTGTCCACTAGATTGGGAGTAGCTACACTAACGAGCCCCTATTTAATATACCACTCATTATAAGACAATTTTTTAGCCCCAAAAGGGTATATAAAAATGATGTCCGGTTATACCACCACCTCTTGTATGAGGAGAAATTCCAAGCGTCGTAACAGCAGTAGAACCAGCAGAATATCCAAATAAGGTAATTCTTTCTGGATCACCCCCAAACGCTTTAACATTTAATTTAATCCAATTTAAAGCTTCTGCAATATCCCAATAACCAAAATTCCCAGCAAGTTGTTGGTGAGGATTTCCAATGGAAGAAAATCCTTTAAAATTTTTAAGGCAATTCTTTTTTTTATTTTTGTCACCTAAAAATCCAATTCTAAATTGTACAGCAATTACCAAGATTCCTTTTGATAAGTATTTTCTTCCAATATCTTCAAAGTCCTTATAATTTTTTTAATTTATCATACTAGCGAGGATTATTTAAACAAGCGTTTTCGAAGTGATTAGTTTATCGAGAGGACTATTTTTGGGGTTTTCGATATCGCAGGATGAGTGAGATAGACAAAAGTGAATGGACCTCCCCAACCCAAATTTCTGCTCCCGCCCCCACTTCTGCTTCCGCCAACCCAAATCTCCCCAAATCATATTCAGCGCTTTGAAGGTTCCTGAACCGGGAAGGTCCCGCGCATAACTACATATCTACTAGTGATCTAGCCGACTCGATCGGGAATTCCAGACGTTTTCTTTAGGTTGGGAATCCCTATTCCCATAATCGGACATTTGTTTATTCGTTAACTGTATGGGGATACATAACGGATCTGCAATCCTAATCTATTAATAATTGCTTGAGAAATAGTCATATATTTTACTTTGTAACGTCTCATTGATTGTGTCTCAAATCCGCCTGTATATACCAAAACAAGTATTGGTAAAAGATTTTCAACTTGCCCCTAAATAATTTTTAATTCGAAAAATTAAACAAAAAAACTTCAATTCTGTGAGGAGAAAATAAATTTAAATAAAGGCAATCTTCGCTATATTGATACCAATCCCATGTCCAATTATCCAATCTGTGGTGTTGAACACAAACTTTTGGTTGTTCAAGTGCATAAATTGTTTGTGTTTCGTTTTGAATGAAGGAAACTGTTTTCTATTTTGAATTTTTTAAAGTTAAACGTACGGAAGTTCTCGATTGAAACACTCAATGATTTAACCTTTTTACCAGGCTCCTTCCTTCTTTCAAGAGGTAAATTAACCCAGAATCCTCAAGTATCTCCCTCTTTGGATGTTATATCAAAGTTGGAATAAATATGTATTTAATTTTTCTCCAAGTATAAGAGCGCCCTAACAACAGCCCTCTCATTGTGAGAGATAAAATAAAAGAAAAATTCGAGTGAATACAGTAAATAATGATCGACTTATTCCACTTAAAAGTATAGTCGGATCAGATAATAAATAGTACACCCTTTCTAATGTGTACAATTCAGTTTAAGTAGTGCATGTAAGTGTCAAATTTGGTTCGTCACTGGCAGGCAGAAGTGAGTCGGAATTCCGATTTCCAACTTCCGATTTCCGGCGTTTTTTCCTTCCGATTTCCGATTTCCGAAAAAAATTTTGATTTCCGAGTTCCGACTTTTGAGCCAGTTCCGATTTCCGGCTCTTCCGATTTCCGACACCTCTGACTGTTCCAACCCACCTCTGCTGGTAGGGAAAGCAATACCTCCTCTTATATGCCTGAGCAAATACCTCAATATAATTCGTAAAGGTAAATTACCTATTTAAAAATTTTAGAACAAAGGCGTCTATTATAAAGAGATTAAAGTTTATTTGGGTAGGAGGATAATGTGCTTGTTCGATTCCTAACTTAAAATTTCCAGATATAATCCCCACCCTCATTTAATACCTCAAAAAATACCTCAAAACGTAAATTTCCAACAGGCGGCTGAGCATAAGGAATCCCAAAGAAAATATCTACATTCATTATTTGCCCCGATTCAATTTCAATTTTTTCCACTTTTCCAATAATTTTGCCAGTCAGAGTTTGTACAGAAACTAGATTCTCATTTTCTTTTTTAATTTTGTTGTTATTTTTACAAAATATATTTAATGAAATAAATAATAAAATAATTAATATATTTAAATATAAATTCATATTATGAACTACCAAGGTATGTACTATGTATTACAATCAGATCTCACTATAAAATACATCTTTAAGTATTAAATTATTCTATCTTAAAATAAGTATAGCCTGAATTTTTAGGCAAGGGATTTCTCAGAATAAAGGTAGTAAAGTAAGACATAACTTGAAAATACACATAATTAATGCTTCGCAAATCTTGGGGAGTTCAGAAAAAAGGAAACCATCATAAAAATCCAGGCCTATTATGTAATGAGATGAGTCTTAAAGTCTTAAATGGAAGTTGAATCTTAATGCAGTGAATATTTAATTATCTAGGCAGATCCCCCTGCAGTGACCCAACATATTTTTGTAGATGTTCTGATAGAAGCCCGACTTCCGCAAACGCCCATGCCATATTAAAGCCCACTCAATGATACCTATTGAAAAAATAAAGCCCAGGGCTTATATTAAAACATTTACGTTATTATTCTAATTCTGTAGGTATTGAGGTTCGTGAAGTTACAGTGACTGAAATTTTATAGTAAAGTTCGACTAATTTTTAAAATTAATTTTAGTTCAAATTTTAGTTAATTTTAATGGGTTGCTAAATTAAAATTGGTGAGAAAATTCCAAAATTATCTTTTAATTGAGAGAATAAAAATTTATATTTAAAATGTTGATAACAGAAAAATCATTTTATATTAATTTTATGTTTTGTTTGGCCACGTTTCCCCCTTTTTTCTTCTTCAATTTCTATTATTTACATAATAAAAGAATTATTAAAGATGCAAACGTGAAATTGAGAAAAGAAAAATCTGTCAATTATTGGGGAGAATTGTAAATATTTAAAGATGCTTTATGTAATAAAATGCGACATGTGAAGTGATGAATAGGGGTAAACACGGAACAGGCAGAACGCGGAACGACAAAACGATGTCTTACCAAAACACGGAACGACCAAAATACGGACTTACAAAAACACGGAACGGTTTTGTCCGTTCCGTGTTTTGTCCTTTATGAGTTTTAGCCCGACACGAATTGTGTGGTGAATAGGGGTAAAGCATATTCAGTCTATACAGGTACTCTTTTACTTATTCAAGTCTATACAGTACTCTTTTACTTATTTTTCGATTTTTCTATCTAACAATTTTAATTTATTTTGTGCTTTTTTATTTACGATTTTTAAAAAATGCTTTTATACTTTTATCTTCCCGAAAAATATGAATAAATAAAAAATTTAAATACCCTAAATCCTCTAGTCTAATACCACACTATTTTACAAAATTCAAGGGAAAAGTATCGTTTAAAATTCATAGTATGGAAGATGGAATAGAACCATAATGTAAAAGACCACATTATGCATATGCCCGGACAAACGCCTTAGACAAATGTCTTGCTGTGGAAAAATTCATTGGATGTGAGATGGAATTGAACCATCACGGAATGACCCAGACCGAAGCACAACTGACTGTGCCACCATCCACCCCGATGATAGGGTATTTATTTTCATTTAGTATATTCTTTCTGCAAGTGCGTACACGACAATTCTGAGACATGATGTAAAGGACAGTAAATCAAACTATGCTACGTTCTACAAATGCCCGGACAAACGTCTCAGAATTTCAACTTTCTGTATTTGTCGGCTGTATGGTACTCTAATAGAGGATTTATGAAAGAGACAGTGTTCAATAAAGGCAATTTTCTCAACTAAAATTTTGTAAAACTTCTTTTCTCTTCAATTCTTTTCTCTTCAATCTTCGATCCTCCTCAATTTCCCGAATCTCCATTTCCTCCTCTATTACCATTTCTGCCTCCAGTGTGACGGCGACGTCCACCACCGCGACTGCTATTCTCTCCACCTCCGTTGCCGTCTCCTCCATTGTTACGAGTGCGACGTCTTCCAGCGGCTTGTTGGCTAATTTCAAAAAGGATTTCGGCTGCTTCCGTTTGTTCATCATCGGTTTCATCAACGGCTGGTTCAGGTTGAGTGCGGGGGATGTGAAGCTGTTATGATCAATTTAAATGAAGAATGACCGTTATTTCTATATTTTTGGGAGCATAATTTCAAGAAATTTTATGCTCCCAATGCTCCCACACCTTGTATATTTAAAAATAACCTCTCGAGTTTGTGGTGGGACTCCATGTATTTCCCGTAATTGACGGTGATAACCCAAAGTCTCATTATTTAATTGTTCAGCTATTAGGGTAAGCAATTGTGGATTTATGTAATATTCTTCAAGTCTTCCTATCAGATTATTATTATTCCGGACATAATCAGAATAGAAGAGGTAGTATAAGTTGTATGTATTATTTGGTCTGTCCCCTCGAACACGAAAGTCTTCAAAAGCCAAAAATTCATCATTTGTTATTTCAGGTGTATCAGTTTCTCTAACTAAATTAGTTGAAATTAGTAACCATTTAAGTTCTCAATGAAGTTTCCTGGGATCAACATAACATTAAATACCCAGTAAGACGTTGGCCAAATGCCTTAGCCATGTGTCCATTTATTAAGTTTTATTTAATTCTCATATGTCTCATCCTTAAATCTATATCAGGGGTGATCGCATTGCGTTATTTGCATTAAATTTTGCATTGCTTTGCGTTTTGCTCATCATTGACGAAGTTAACGCAAAAATCCATCTAATCTGAGGATACCTGGTAACCCCATCAACTCGACAGAATATCCACTTAACTTCAAATATCTCCCCAACTCCTTGACATCCTCTATAATACCCCTGTATCTCTTTAAAACCCTTTAATTCCTTCAAATCCCATAGACCAACGATATCCCTACAGAGCACTATCCACGCTCCAAAACACTATCCACTATCCAACACTATCCCCTTATACATATCACAAAATCTACACGGCATTGGCTGATATTTAGTGACTTCAATTTTTAATTGGAAAATTTTTTTCCCATTCTTGCGTTGATTTTTGCCTTGCGGTGCGCTTTTCCCGATTATCTCATGCTCACCCCTGGTCCCATGCTCATCTCCTGACGAGGAGCAATCCTAGTTGCTTTAATTATAAATTATTTTATTACTTGTGAATGTATGAATAAGCTGCACATATGGCAAAAATATCCGAATTCTGTTTATATTCTCATAACGCGGGTTGCTTTGACAATGGACAGGATACGTGTTATTTCCTTCATCTCTCAACAGTAACTCGTCGTTTCTAAGATTTGTGGATAAAATGGACGTTTCTTAAAATAGAAAATTTAAAGACCACGGCTATTCTAATTTAAATCACCATATATACGACTAAAAGCTTTATTTTCCAACATATCATGAAAATTGTTTGCAAACACTTCATATTCATCAAGAGCCTTGATGTATTGCAAAATTGATATTTGGAGTCTAAAATTTAATTAAAATACAGAAATCTCGATTAATTCTCCTCTGTGTATAGTAGTGTGCAGTACTGGGTATGGCTCCGGGAGCTAGCTCTGAAGCCTATGCTGAGCTTTTAAAATGCCGGAGTCAAGATTTTTAAATGTCCCAGCACTGGTGGTATTACTATAGTATAAAACCCGTATCAGCGTCATTTTAGTTGGAGTATACTAGCCCAAATACTAGTCCCTTAACTCTGTCTGTTCCAATCCTTTTTGTTCCAACCAATTCCACCTTTTAATTTCCACCTTGTAATTGTAACTTTCTACCTTGCATAAACTGTTATCCTTGTGTTCGTCGACATTGAAAACTCTCGGATACACTCCAAGATACCGTACACTCCAAGATACCGCAGAGCTGTAACTTCGTTCAGAATTGTCATATCATACATGGGCGTCCAGGATTCGTCCAGGATTCTGGACGAGGTTATAGCTCTGCGGTACCTTAGGCTTGTGGTACCCTGGCTGCTCCTCTCGGACATAACATCCTCCCTCAAATAATTACTCCGTAGGTATTATTCAAAACATTACCTATATGGTCTATTGTTATTTCTGTTTAGGCGCGTATGTAATTCTTCGAAAAAAGTCAAGTATGCATTTGAACTATCTTGGATAAATGACAAGATCAGTCTTCGTGTTAAAACATGCAATTTGTAAAAGAGAAATAAATTTTTTTCTTTGGGTAAAACTTTAATTAAACGTCCTTCAAGTCTATGTAGTCTTCTTTCGCTATAAAATAATATACCGTATTTACTCGATTAATTCCCCTGGAGAATTATTTTTTCAACCCATCCGTGGCATGGGGAATTATTCAAGGGAGGGGAATTATCTAGTTTTAAATCTGAACGTGTAATAGGGTATTTGGGGGAGGGGGATTATTGTTTTAACTCATCCGCAGCAAGGCGAATTATTCAAGGGAGAGGAATTAATTGAGTAAATACATAGGTAAAATGATTTATTATACTTAATCACAAAAAATATTAATAATAAATTAATATTAAATACACGTTACACCTCAATTGAGTCCCGACTCAATTGAGTCCCGGACCCTATAACTTATGAAGGGATGGTCACTTTTTTTGATCGTGGTACCATTGGATAGGGCATTAAATAGGCTACAATATACCAAAAAATCAAAATTCCTGACCGACTGGTAAAAAAGTTATAATCGATAAAGTGCCGAAAAATCGGATTTTTTTGAAAAAATTAGTTAAGAGATCATAACTTTTTTATCGATTAATCGAAAATTTTGATTTTTTGGTATATTGTAGTCCATCTAATGCTCTATCTAATGGTACCAAAAACATTATAAATTATCAACCCGTACTTGAGTTATAGGGCCGGAACTCAGTTGAGCCGGACTTAGTTGAACTGCTCCGTTAAATACATGAAGAAACTTTACCCAATATTCAATAATGTATGTGGAATATTGTCAAAATTCTCTTGATCATCTAACTCTTCGCCATCTAAACCTCTAATTAGCTCAATATACTCCTCATTTCCAAAAATTTGTCTATAGTCATCAATTCTTTTATTGATAAAACGAAGTTGTGCTTCTCTGCCCACTTGGTGATAGTTTCGTATTAACCGCCTCTCATAATTTACAAGTATTTGTGTAAAATAATTCATCACCTTTAAAGGTTTAAATCCGGGTTAAGAATTCCAGAGTAAGACATGGACACGCATGTCTTACTATCCGTGTCGTATCCGTTATACATATCCGTCCAAGTTTTGTGTCATCCATCCGCGGATATCCTCGGATATATCCGTTTTTTCTCAAAATGGTCAACTTGACTAAAATTTTCAAAATGGTCAATTTCATTTAAAATTTTTCAGCGTCGCAGGCGAAAATTTTGAAATCTAAAGCTCCTTATATAGGGAGGATGAAAGACAAACATTAGTCTATTAGTATTCCTTTCATATTCCGCTATTCTCGGCTCTATACTGGGTATGAATTAAGCAGACTTCCAAATATAACTTTACTCACCTCTTCAATTTTAAGTCGAAAATCATTAACCATCGGATCCTCTTCGGATAACCCAATGTTGGCGAGGACTTCACCTCCTTTTAGCTCAAAAACATTTTCAATACTAGATTCAGAATTGTAGTAAATTTCGGGCAAATGAATTCTATCCAAAATTTTCATTAATAAGGACAACTCAGTGAGAGAAAACGTGTTCAGATTGACACGGCCTTGGCTTCCACCAGCTTCCATTCTCGCTATTTTTAAAAATTATTTGTTGAAAAAAATTTTTTTAATATTTAAAACCGCTAGAAAAAAATTTACTACCAGGAGGATAGTGCATTCCCATGACAAGAAGAGGAGTAAATCCAACAAAAACGAAGACAAATATTTTTGTTGGTGTAAAAAACATTTTTTGAATAAAACTAAAGAAAAAATTTTTTTATTATAAATTTCTAGCTAATCGCAGGGATGATTCACATAGCAGCATTTAAAACGCTTAGGCGGGGATTAAATGATATAAAAGGATAAAAGAGAAAGCATTAGTCGATGCCCCGATAGCTCAGTGGTAGAGCTCCTGTATGTGGTGAGCGAAAGCGCGTAGTAATAACTGTCAGGAGGTCGTAGGTGCTCGATGGCTAAACTTTTTCTATAGGCAACACATATACATAAGTAATGTCATTTAGTAAAATGGTCCTTAACTATTAAGGTTGTGTTTTTATAACCGATGTAAGGTTGGTAACTAGTCTTTCGCCGGAACCGCAAATTTGGCCGGAACCGGAACTTCTGGCGAAACATTATTGGTAGCTGACCAACCACTCACTCCTTATCTGCTAGGAATAAGGAGTGATAACTGTCAGGAGGTCCCAGGTTCTAATCCTGCCCTGTGGCTAAACTTTTGCTAAACTCTTTCCTAATCTCCCACATTTTAAAAGGGAATAGAGAGGAGATATTTTAAAATTTATTAAAGAAAAAATTTTACCAGGTAAAGAGTGAAGGAATCCATTATTTTAAAGGAGAATAAAATAGGTGGAGAATTAGCCCTCCCTAAATGGCAATTTTACATTGACACGCGTAATAGCTATAAAATTTAAATAGCAAGAAGGAAGTAGCAAAAATTATTTCCTTTTGCAAGGCTAAAAAAAATTATTTCCTTTTGCCAAGCTCCATACACCCACTCAATTACGCTGGCAGTTCCGGTTGCGCGACCTCTTGATTTTTTCTAGTTCCGGGTTGGTTGCAAAATTGTCAAGCAAGAGTAGGGTTGGTGATTCTGGATATCCGAAGCAGAAGAAAGTCCGCAATTTGCTTCTAACTTATGGTAAGAATTTCACTGAACCTATTGGCAAAATCTTCTCTGAACATTCAGTAGTTTAAATGGAATAAATCTGGCTCCATGGCCCATCCATTTGCCCTCTCTGTCCCCAGCCTATTTTCACTACTTAATAAATTTTCGGTTATGGTTACGAATATTTGAAGACTTCCCAGGAACCACCAACATTAGGGAAGACGAAGAATAAACAGCGGCTCTTGGTACATAGGATGATTCCAGCAATGGATTATCAACCTGGAGAGTGAACATCCTCATTAGATGTGGATTTTTGTCCTTGAATACTACTCACATTTCGATCGGTCCCTAAGAGCTTGAGAGATAAACGCTCGATAGATCACACAAATAGTACATATGTGCTTCCCGAAACATCTTTAAAAGTTTCTCCAGCATGCGGGATCCCGCAAACACAATCCTTCCGGTCTCTAGGGTGGACCGAGCGGACTCAATCGTCCCTGGACTCAAGTTTGTGTAATTAAATGTGGACTCAACTGAACTGCTGATAGAAAAATTGATTTATCTGCAAAAAAGTTTAAAAAATTAAAAAAAAATTTAACTAGAATCCTACTAAATTTTTTTAAAAAATGTAAAAAAGTTTACAAAAAATCCCGTCATTACGGGTGTATTTTTCCCGTTTCGTCCTAAAATTTATTTTATTTAACAGCTACTTAAATATTAAAAATCTTTCTTTCTTCGATGAAAACCATTTCTTTAAGTATTCAATTTCAAATTTACAATTTTGATAAGATTTGTGACACGCTACAATACAAAAGATGCCCTTTGCATTTGACAAGTAATCTTGACGGCAGGCTTGTGCACTCTTTCTCTTTTTATCCGTGAAGTCTCTTCAGAGCTTCTGTGATGACGGCCACTCTCTCACATGAAAAAGACGCAGAAAATTTGTTTTGGAAAAGTGAAGGGAAGAGAACGATTCTCTGGTCGCAGCTGACCGCGGGTCAGTTTTTCTGCGTCCTTTTAATGTAGAGTGGCCGTCATCACAGAAGCTCTGAAGAGACTTCACGGATAAAAAGAGAAAGAGTGCACAGGCTTGCTTGACGTGTTTTTCATTGTTTTGAATAATTTTCAGGTCCTCGACACAACCATCAAGGACTTCCCAACGTTGAATGGGAGTTGGTAGTATATAAAGTATTGAGCTCTAATGAGGTTGGGATTTGGCTTCGTCAAATGGGGCCAAAAAGCTTAGATGATCTTGTAAATACAAAATATCACATTTATGCGATTAAAGGTGACCAACAGATTGATATTGCCAGGTTTGTTTTTTTCTTCTCCAAATCTTCATTTTATTTTAAGGTCAAAAAATGAACTTGAAAGCCAAGAAATATTGGGACACACTACAATTCCTTTGAGCAAAATACTCGATCATGGAGCCAATTTAGGCCTACTGGATTTGAACTGTGATATTGAGGCTGACTGTTACAATCCTACTGAAAATCTGAAAAATAAATATCAAAAAATGTTTGAAAAAGGGACATTCTCTGACTGTGTTATTAAGGTTTGCGAAAGACATAGAAATACCAGGCCCAAGACGACGCGCGGCCATAACGGCACAATCTGGCCCTTCTTAATTTTGATACCAATTTTCCTAGCTCGTTGAGAGGATTCGTTTTATACTAAATATGGTAAGATTAGAAAATATTGAAGCAGGGTATGGCTTTGCGCCGTTATGACCGAGCGCCGTTTTGGGCGTTTCCCAAATACCTCCCCCCTACCAATAGCTCCCCCCCCTACCTATATGATTTTTTAGGTCGGCGACGAGGTTATAAAGGCACATCGTTGTGTTTTGGCAGAAAATAGTCAAGTATTCCGAACTATGTTTGAGCAGACTGGCATGATCGAATCAAAGAAGGTTTGTTATTTTTTATTGATAGGAATCATTTGGAAATTGGGATTTTGATAATTGAGGCAGCAAAAATCAGAGGGTTTAGGCTCTATAAGAGAAATCAAAATAGTTAAGCTAGAACTGAGTTCTTCCTCGATCATTTCGATACATATTTCAGGGATCCTGCAGACTAGGGTTGGGGTTTGCGAGTCGGGCCACATTTTTTCGAGTCATTTTTTCGGGCCGTCCCGACCGAGTCATTTTCGGGCCAAAATTCAATGCCCGACTCGATCATTCGGATAGGGCCCTTAACTCTACTGCAGATCCGATTCCCGAAAATCAGAATTTCCTGACGAATCGGGACTTCCCGACGTTTTTCAGTAGGGAATTTTTGAAATTGGGAATTTTGTTTTTTGTTGGCATAATCTTTGACATATTTTGTCCATTCCCTTTCCTTTAATATTTTTATAAAAATATATTTAGGGGGAAGTCACAATTACCGATGCTGATCCCGAATGTGTTCGTGCAATGTTGCAGTTTTTCTATAGTGGCTGCCTTCCTTCTTCTATCACATGCGTTGACGGAGTTTTTGTTGTTGCACACAAGTATGAAGTCGAGCCGTTAAAATATGAATGCGAAATTATTATATCTTCACAAATTTGTAAGTATATGATTTTTTGGGGGAATATAAGGTAGTTAGTTAATTGCTACGTCCAAATGGGAGACGTTGTGATGTAATTATAACCGATCAGCGGAAGATGCTGGTTCTTTCCCGACTGTTTATTTCAGCTTGTATTTAAGCCTAATGTTTTGGTTTTATAATTTTTGGGGCATGTTTTTTGGGGGCAATTGAGGAACAAAAACTAATTTGAAAAATTTCTGACTTTTAAAATTCATTTTTGTTTTAGCTGAAAAGAATTTTCTTCAATATTGTAAACTTATTTCTTTGTACGGAGCTCCAACTGTGGAAAAGGTTGCAAGTTTTAAAGAAAATTTTTAAAAATGGTCTTCACATTCCGATCTCTCTCTTTTTTCGAAAGCCAAACAAAACAGAAAAAAACGAGCTTTTAAATAATATATTTTTCTTCAACTAAGGCTTGCATAAATTACATTCGAGACAACAGAAAAAGTTTTCTAAGTAACAATGTATGGGAAGAAGTGAAAAATACATATCCAAAACTGGCCCTTCGATTTTTGGAATTACTCGTAATTGACGATATAGACAAAGAATGAAATTTTGGAATTTTTTGTGAAATTATTTTTGATTTATTGAAAAGACCTCTCTTATTTAAAAAAAATTTTATTTTTATTCCTTTTCTTCTTCAATAATTGTAAAAATTGGCCCCCTGTCATTTTCTATTCTCTTCTTTTCCAATTCTTTCTGTTTAAGTTCTGCATATTTGGAGAAATTAAAAATATCAGAAAAATCATATCCAGCAATTTCTTCCTTTAAAAAATTATTTTTTTTAAATTAGCTCTAGTTTAATGAGTCCAATCAACTTTTCGAAGCTAATAAACCTAAAGATGGGAAATGTGGAAACTCAATCGTGCCCTGATTAAATATGTATTTGGCCACTGAGTCAAGGAAAAATCAAAAAATCTGGAAGTCTAAGAGAAATAAGGGATTTGATTCATATCCCTTTATATGAAGCTATTGTATTAATTAACAAAAAACTTTTTAACCAAGTAGAGATCGAGATTTTTGAAAAGCCTGGGCCTGTTCCAGAATTTTGTGTTTGATTTATTGACCTGGGCTGGATCCTAACCTGTAGTCCAGGAAAAATCCAGGCCCAGGAAAACCCAGAGAGATCAAAAAAATGCATGGACTCTGGGTACAGGAAAAACCCATGTCTTAATCCAGACCCAGCTCGATCTCTAGTGTCGTAATTTTATTTCTTCCCTACATAATTCCTTTAAAAAATTACTTTTGTAAATTGTGGAGAACTCATAGCAATAATATGCTCAGTTATTGCCTTCATTTGTTCATTTAATATTAAAAATTTATTTTTTGTTGATTTTTTGTCCACAGCAATTTTTGTCTCTAAAGCTTCGTAAATCTGTTTTGGAGAACTTTTTCGAAAAATTTTTTATTTTATTTTTACCCTATGATTTGCTTTAATTAACCCATCAAATTCTTTAAAACGCTCGTTTCTTTCAAATTGATCTTTAAATAATTCAATTTCAGGTTTTAACAATTCTGAATGGAAAAATAATTGTTGAGGTTTAATAGGGACGTTTCTCTGAATTTCGTCTAATGACATGATGAAATCCTAAATTTTTTAATAATACAAAGGAGAAGGAAATTTTTAATTTGAAGATTGAGTCAAATAAAATTTTAGGCTCTATCTGAAAGGAGGTGCGGGATCATATTTTTTCCTCCTTCCTTACACTAGCTTCCATTTTTCCTTAATATGAAAAAATGGTCAGTCTTTACCTCAACCTTAATTTTTCCTGTGGCATATTCAAATGAGAGACATTAATATGGAAAGGATTAATTTTTCTCAATGCCATTGTCAGGACGGAATAGACAGGAGACGGAACGACAAAACAGGTCGGACAAGTCACGATCTTACCAACTCATGGAACAACGAAAATACGGTCCATAACAAAACACGGAACAGACAAGTCACCGTCTTACCAAATCACGGACCTGATCTTCGGTCCATTTTCGGTCATTCCGTGTTATGATCGTTCCTTTAGTACGACGATGTTTTGTCTGTTCCGTGTTTTGGCATGGTCCGTGTCTTGTATGTTCCGTAAATTAGCCAGACACGATTCAAAAATGATAAAAGACGACCTTTTCATTTGAATATGCCACAAGGAATTTTAGTAAAATAAGGAAGGAAGAAAGACTGACCATTTTTTCATATTAAGGAAAAATGGAAGGCTGTGTAAGGAAAGAGGAAAAAATATGATGCCGCACCTCCTTTCAGATAGTGCCAAATTTTATCAGCTGATTACTAAAATTCTTGAAATATTTTAATTGTTTGATTTTTTAGAAATAGAGCTTTTTATTAGTTACCTAAATGACTTTTTGTGTTAAGTTGACATTTTTATTTGAGTTACCATAATGACATTTAATGCATTTACCAAATTGAAATATTTTTTCATTTTGTCTTTTTCATAAAATATATTAAATTTCGTCAGGATTTGGAATATCTCGAAGGGATTTTACATGCCAATTCGGGAATTTTTTTAAATTTACTCATCTAAATCTTGTTCCGTGAGAGAATCTCAAGGAATCCTGCATGCGTTGCCAACACGGATTTGCCTACTCCTATACTTGAGCTTTAACTAGATACCTTCAAAGTAGTTACCCTCCAATAACCGTATCAAAGGGAAATGCCGCCAACCTATTGAAGGGTCTGGTTGGGGGAGGGGTCCGCCCCCATAAACGTCAGCCTATTGAAGGGTCTGGTTGGGGGAGGGGTCCGCCCCCATAAACGTCAGCCTATTGAAGGGTTCGGGGGAGGGTGTAAGGGGAAAACCTAGTCCTAGTGGGGTGTTTTAGAGTAATTAGGGGGAGGGGGTAAGGGAAAACAATTTGTTTTACTAATTGGTTGGGGTTGGGTGTAAGGGAGTGTTAATTGTTCTTAATTGGTCTGGGGAGGGGCTAAGGGGAAACAATTTGTAATTACTAATTGGTCTGGGGAGGGGGTAAAAGGAAAATTTTAAGGTGTTGATTGACCGAGTGCGCGAACTTTTGGCGGACTATGGACAAATTGATTGACGATGGATAATTGTGGATGTTCTTCAGTAAATTAACCCATAAAGCTCTCTTTAGAGCTACAAATTTAATAAGTGAAACGAGACATTACTAATTGTTTTTTTATTCGTTATTTTAATAAAAATAATTTAAATATTTTTTTTGAAGAAAGGAGGGAAGGCAATGAGAAAGGGAGAGAAGATAAGTACAATGTGAAAAACGCTTGGCGTCTTTTCTATCTTCCTCTTATTGATTCGTTATAAATATTTGTTTTTAAACAATTTTTGTTCATTATTTCAATTTATTTAAAAAATTTTTTAGAACTTTTATATTTTGAAAATAAAATAATTAAGATTATTGAGGGCATAGAGCATTCAAGTCTGGTGCCGAACACTGTCAAAAGTCTAAATAATTATTAAATTGCAGAATTTAACTAAAAATGGAATCTACAGACGATGAAGACTATTGTAATCTTTCTTTAAAAAATTTTTTAATAATTTAAAAATTATAGATGATAATTGTGGACTGCGTATCGGTTAAAAATTTTTAAAAATAAAATTTTATAATTAAAATAATATTTAAAGCTAATGGTAATAAAGCTATTGTGAATTTTTTTGAAAAAAATTTGGAGGCTCAAGTTGAAAAAAATTTGGAGGCTAATTCTACAGGTTTAAAATTTTTTGTAAAACTCCCAATTAGTAATTAACTAAAATTAGGAACAAATTCAACAACTCAGCCACACCATTATCATCAGATTCATAGGGAAATGGAGGCTCTACGTAATTCTGATGGTTTATATTTTATTTATAAAATTCCTAAATATATTTGTAAATTATAGAAGGAAATTCGGCAACGACTGGACAGTTAATTTACAATTGTGGTGGAATTGATACTACTTGTGAAACAAATTCACAATCTAGCATTGCTCATCAGGTTTTATAAAAAATTATTTTAATTCTAAGGGTTTCTAATTCTGATTGTTATTTTTATTAAAAATTCCAAATAAAAATAAATCATTATTTAGGGTTATAAATAGTTTTTTAAACAATTTTTGTTCATTATTTAATTTATTTTAAAAGTTTTTTATAATTTTTATATTTTGTAAACAATATAATTAAGATTGTTGAGGGCATAGAGCATTCAAGTCTGGTGCCGAACATTTTGCCAAACACCGTAACTGATGGTTAAACTAATTCTTGTTTTATATTTTATTTATAATTTATAATTATAGTTCTGCTGGGACTAATGGGACCAGCTAAAAAAATTTCTAAAACCGTGCCAGGTTAATTTTCTAACGTTTGTAGTTTTATTATATTTTTAGAAGTCGACCTAGAAATTAAGAAGAGAAAGGTTAAGAAGAGAAAGCCACCAGGAAAAAGAACACCCAAACCCGGTGAAATTTATTCTTGGTTTTGAAAATTCTATCTTTATTTATTCAGTCTCAAAAAATATGCCTAAAACTGTTAAGGCTTCCTCTTCTTCTTTGGACAATGGTGGAGTTGTTGGTTCATCAATTGGTTAATTTCTTCTATCTACTTATGATCTAGAAAATTTATTATTTAGCCTTAAATACTAATTCTTCATCTTCATCATCTTCTTCCTTAGGTAATGGTGGGATTGTTGGTGCTTCTGTTTCTTCAACATCGGGTAAATTTCTTCTATATAATTATACCTAGAAATATTATTTTATATTTGAAAACTAAATATTTCTGTAAACTCGCAACATAGTTCTAGTTCTAATTTAAATATTTGTATTCTAATTGTTTATAATTTTTAGAATTTTTATTACTAAAAATAATTAAGTATAATTCAAATAATTAAAAAATTTGAAGGGTTTGCAAATGGCGGATTTCGAAACGGTATCATTATATATTTTTTAGTTGGAAAACTAAATATTTCTGTAAACCCGCTACACAGTTCTAATTCTAATAAAATATTTGTAAAACGCATAATAGATAACAAATCTCTAAAATTTAGAAACAAATCCTGCTACGACCGGCCATTTAATTTACAAATGTGGTGGAGTTGATAAGAGAACAGTTAAAAAAAATAAAATAAATTATTCTCATGAAGAGGAAGAAGAAGAAGAAGAAAATTCTGATGGGACTACTTCTAACGGAGGATTTGGTGATGGTATCTAAAAATCAAAATAAAATTAAATAAATATCCCTCCATTTAAGATACTTTCTTTAAAGATTGGTTGATCAATTTTTAAAGATATGTCTAAATTATACCCTCTATTTAAGATACACCTCATTATAAGTCTTTTTATTGAAGGTAAATGTTTTGCTAAAAAAATCTGCGCAAACACGCGTTTTTCAACGATTGTGTCGAGCGGATTCAGACAGTGCAAGCACGCGCCAATGGCGATAGTGTAGAACTGTTTGTCTTTTTAGTTAAATATTTTACTGTTCAGTAATTAAAATTATTCTAATGATCTAGTTTTGTAAGGTTTAGACAGATCTTTATAAATGGTTGACCAATAAAAGTATCAGTCTGAATTATCCATTAAGTCTGAGCGGTCTTCAAATATCCAGATTCTATTCTTCCTAGTTATTAAAAATTTTTTAAATTAAAATTTTTCAGACTCATCATCACATAAGTATCAATTACGAAAGAGAAGTAATTTAATTTGTTCCTTATAAATAAATAATGATATATTAAAGAAAGTCCGCAAGTTTTGTCCGCAAATCCGAAACCAGTTCAAAAGTGTCTATGTCTGGATCACCAAAAGATTAAATGTCCTCAATTATTAAATAAGTTTGCTGAAAGAAATTTGGCTGGGGTAATTCTTTAAATTTAATCTTTAAATTTAAATTTTTAATTCTTTAAATTTATATTGGGGTATGTATAGACAAGTCCCAATTTTCATAAGTACTGAAAACTAATTTATGGTTTAATTTTAACAGGAGTTGGTACTGCCGGACTCCGTCCAAAATAATCAACCTTTTTGGACAATTAAGAAAATTTTGGATCAGGAATTAGACGAGGAAGGCAATATTTCCAAAATACTTGTTCAGTGGGCCGGCTTCACGGAGGCTGAAGCGGTCTGGGAACCGTTTTCTATTATGAAGGATTGTCTTCATATGGTTTATGAATTAGGGGTTGACGACGGCATAGTGGATGCCTTAGGTCATTTGTCAGGTAAACTTCAGAACGAAAGGGTCCAGAAATTTCTGGATAAATTCGCTTCTGTCAACCCTACAGTAGATATAAATTTAGTCTTCCCATTTCGTTCAGCCTTAGGAAACAAAAATGTAGATGATTTAAGTAGAAAGGAGAAACAAAAGATGAGACGAAATTTCTTAAAAATGAATAAAAGTGCAAAAAAAAAAGGGGCTTAATGTTCCCTCAACATCATCCTCATGATTTTGAGGTAACATTAAGTCCATGCTTTTCATTGTTTTGAGGTATAAGTATTTGCTAATATTAAGTAATATTGCACTTTGATTCATTTTGAAGAAATTTCGTCTCATCTTTTGTTTCTCCTTTTTATTTATCTTCGAGTTGTTTCGAAACAAAAAAATCTTTTAAAATTTGGAAACAAAATTTCAAAAAGTTGAAATCGAAGATTGAAGAATAACTTTTAGCTATTAATACTGTTTCGAAATAAAAAAATCTTTTAAAATTTGAAAACAAAAAATTCCAAAAATATTGAAATCCAAGATTAAAGAATAATTTTTATTTTATCTTCGAGTTGTTTCGAAACAAAAAATCTTTGAGGTTGGATATCATAAATACTTAAAATTATTGAAACCGTATATGCTTGAATAATTACTTTGTCAAATTTAATTCAATTTTCAAAACTTAGTTTCTCTATCTGTTTTTTCGCTATTATATTTTTTGAAAAAATTAAACTTTGGTATTTAAATTCAATTTTAGTCCAAATTCTATTAAAATTAATTTCTGATTTTATAAATATTAATTGCAATTATTATAACTAAAAATTGCAGAAGTTTTAGAAAATAATTCAATTTGGACAAAATTTTTAAAAATTGTTCTTCTTTGGTTTTCAATCTATTGTTTTTTGGACAATTATTGGTATTTGATTTATTTGCCGTTAATCTAACTATCATTTTTGGACAATTATTGCTATTATAATTTTTGTATTTCAATTATTTTTTCAATAAAAATTTTTTAGTTTTTATTTATCAAATATTATACTTATAAATATTGGAATATTATGAACACTAGATACTAAGAACTTAGAGTAAGTAAAAGAAAGTTAGAAAAAAGTACATTTAAAATTTATTTTTATTATTAAATTTAACAAAAATTTTAAAATAATTTTTCATAATTATTTTAAAAATTACTTTTTTCCCTTTCTTCCTCATTCCTCTTCACTGCTCGTATCGTCATTCATTTCCTCATCAACAGGATTCTCAGCCTGTTGTTGTTGTTGTTGAGGAGGATCCACCTCCATATGCTGATGCTGAAGTATCAGCTCTTCATCAACTGGCGGAAACACCCGGTTAAAATTTCCAATTGCGGTCTTAAAAAAATATAAAATTTTTTAAAATTCAAAATAGCTACCTGTACCGCCCAATGTTCGAGCATTTCAACTCGAAACAGGAGGTGCCGGGACATTTCCCTCAGAACGTGTATCCGCTGGCGCTGGCCAGCTATCACCAGGTGTTGTGCCTCCACCTGGGCACGCAACTCCTCTTTCTCATCTTTCAAATTATCAACTTTTAGACTAAGTCTATCCATTAATCTGGCTAGACCCAAATCTAAATCCATATTATTATTGTTGTTGTTCGCCATTTCCTTTTTTATTGTTGCTAATAAATCTGAAATTAAATTTTTAAAAATTAAAGAAAAATACATTTAAAAATATAAATTATACTTAAAAATATTTAAATAAAAATTTTAAATTGTAACATTATTTGAATGAATTACACATGATCTTTACATCCTTTTTTCCTTCCAATCCCGCAAAGGTCATAGGGGAATATTAAAAATAACGCCAGCTGTTTGTATGAAAGAGAAAGGCACGCAATAGAAAGGCGGCATCTTTTGTAGAGATCAAAAGAACTAGTGGACTGTTTATTATTATATTTTATAACTTTGTACAATATTTAAGAATAAATAAAGAGGGACTAAATAATTTATAAACTAAATAATTAAAAAATAAAAACTAAATAATTTTATCTCAATTTTATTTAACATAATTGGTATTATTAATTTTAATAAAATTACATTTCTAATTATTTAACATTTTAAATTTTCTTTATCAGTTTTAATCGTCTTCTAACGTCGTTGGGGCACAATTTGATCTATAAAATTTTTTATAATTTAAGCATTTCAAAATTAATTACCTGAACAGCCTTGTGATGATGTTAATTGTTGTTGTTGTGGTACAATCTGATCATGATTTCCTATTTAAAAATTTATTAAAAACAAAATTTTAATTCTAACCATTTTCTTGTGGCGGTACACTTTGTTGTTGTTGTTCTTGATTAAGTACTCTCGCTCTTATTCGAGCGGTTACAGCCGCTATTCTTGGCCCCAAGGGAAATAAAGGGTGGGGGAAATTGTGCTTTAAATAATAAGTTCATTAAGTAAAATTCAAAGATTCAAACTTCCTCTTCAGCCCAATTTTCTATTTGTCGAAGACGTAAATACAATATCCCCACATCTCGTGTAGTTGCGACAACATCAGTAGAAAGATCTTGAATTTCGCTCATTTCAAAATACTAAAACTTGATATAAAATGAATAAAATAAGAAAAATAATAATTTAAGGTGAATAAAAAAGAAAATCAACTGCTCAATAATTAATTTACATTATATCTTACTTACCTTTTGACCGTTCCCAAGGTCATTTGTTTCTAATTATACGTGCGAGAAAGTAAAGGGACCATCTTATAAAATCTTTAATTAAATAAAAATACAAATTATAAACTTGTAACATTATTATTTGAGGGTGATTGGAGGGGTATATAAACCCAGTTTTTTAAGAAAATTCATTCATTAATCTTTCAAAATGCGTCATTTAATTGATGAATGCGCAGAAATTCTTAATTGCCACCCAAAATCTCTTCGTGACCACTTAAATCACCCGGCAAAGCGTGCACTTCTTCATTCAAAACTCAAAGGAAGGATTGTCCGAACGCTCTATTCGGATCGGAACGACTTCCGCAAGACCTTCACATTTCATGGATTTACCCATAAAGGTTCCTAATCATTACACATCAACATTAATTTTAAATAAAGGAGCACATACATTAATGGCTTATGGGGCACTGTCTCGTCCATATAATGTCTCAGTCACAGCTCATTACTATTCTCGACATAGGATTCGCTTACGTTATCCTTATCTCCAATGTGTGGTTGAGAAATTCCCTCGACGTTGCGAGGATCGTTACTATCCACTTGAACTACTTGAGTTGGTCGATGATAAAGAAGAGGATTATATTGGGTTTCCAATTGTAAACAATGACAAACCACTTTATGTCGATGTCTCCGACAAACTTCGAATCGACAAAGCAAATTCTGATTCAGACAAAAATGACGAGCCATTAGAATTTGATATGCTCGATGAGATGGAAGGTTGGTAAGGTGAGCACATGGATATATTTTTTAATTTTTATGATTTTTTTCGAATTTCAATTTCGTTGAATTAATTCTGCACTTTTACCCCTTATAATGACCACTTGTATTTTTTAATTTTGAAATAAGTTTTTTAAAAATTTAATTTTATTTTCTATACACTAATTATGCAATTTTCCCCCTAAAATATAATACTTCTCTTCTATAATTTTAATATATTGTTTTCTTTTCCTAAATTCTGCAATTTTACCCTTAAAACCAATCACTTCTCAACACTAATTTTGCACAATAAATTTTATTAAAGTAAAAATAATAACAAAAATATATAAGTTAGAGAAAATAGATACAATAATTAATTAAAAGTGAAACCATAATCAAGCACAGTAAAGTCGCTCGGGCGTAAAACACCCTTGCCGACAAAAGGTTTGTACAATTTTTTCAAAGGTTGAGAAATTACAGAACCTCTTTTTACAGTAGGTCTGAGAAAGTTGGGGTATACAATATTTATGGGTGAGCATTCTTCATTAGCAAAATTTAAAACTTTATCCTTAAAATTTTCATACTGCATTCCTTGATTCACGACAACGTCCCAGTTCAATGTAATTCCGCGAATCTTGAGAACATATTCAAGTGTTGCATTCATTTGATCTTTCCGTTGTAGTTTAAGTCCATATTGTTTAGCTCCACCCGAACAATACTCGAGAATGTCGTGTCTCGGGTACTCATCGGTAAATTGACCGAGATGAGGCCCAAGTTGGAGCGGACAGGATTCATTTGGGTGGGCGAAAATTAATGAATCCGTATCTAAAAATTTGATAATTAATCAAAATTTGTCAAATTTTACCTGTGTACAACAATGTACATCCCGGCGAACGCACAACCTGTTGCATAGCTCTCAACAAATGAATACGCGCAGCGGATGTAGTCCACAAAGAGATTACTAAAAAATTTATTTCAAATTTAGAATTAAATTTATGTAACTTACCAACATTGGAGCAGTCATGCTCCTCAATCCAATCCTTCTTTGTCAAGTGGCTGATGAGCACAACCTCCGGAGTCAGCTCATCTAATCCAGTTACCTCCTTGCTCGAATCATCCATTAAACTGCGAACTTTCACGGGATCATCTGTCACCGTACACTGAGAAAGTCCAAAATTTCTCAGTGAAAATCTGCCCCCTAAAATTAAAATTATTTTATTTCATATAATTTAACTTACAAAGGTTGTTAAGACAAAGTTTTGCCTGGGTCCGTTTTCCCTTGTTTGGTACCTAAAATATTAAAATTAAATAATTAAATTTAAAATTTCACCATTTTTTCTCGTTCGATCTTAATATCGAACATTTCCTTGCACTCCTCAATAAACTTGTCCTCTGCCTCAATATTGCCTTTAATTGAGTCATCGAACCCAGAAGAATGGATCTTCTGGGCCATAAACTCGGCAATATAGGATCGAAAAAGCCCCTCATCCGACGAAGTGTATTCAAGGACTCGGAACAATTTTGTGACGATGTAGCCCTAAAATAATGATCAAATTAATAATAATATTTAAAAAAAACCTCATCAAGTGCCGTGTTGAGTTCCAAAGAGGTACAGGTACTCACCCATCCTCGTTGTTCGTCGCTATGTTGGCAGTTGTAGTTCTCCTCGACTTTCCCCTTCGGATAGAGTCGAGCACAAGATGCGCACAATGGGAAAAGTAGACGATCATCGAGTTTGACAGGTAGGACGGGCACATCTATTTTGCGCGGAGGGATTACAAATACCTAAAACTTTAATATTTTTCAAATAAATAAAAATACCTTCAAGATGGACAAATCATATTTGTTGTCAGTGGAACAAGTCCACGAGACATCTTCATTCAGTATATGGACAGTGGGGTGTCCAACAGGGTACTTTGTTGAAACATTTATAAACGGGTACAATGAAGTTACATCAAAGTAGCTAATACGTTCACCAGTTTTTGGTTTGTAGAAAAGCCGAAGGGGACCGGTTCTTCCACCAAAGAAGCTATTTCTAATTTCCACTGGTCCATTATCAATATAAGATTCAAATTTGCGCCGCATCTCCCTGTCTTTTTTCAACATATTTTCAATCTCACACTCCCAGTATACTTCTAGTTGTCGAATTTGGGATTTGATGAAATTAAGCCTCTGTTGATCTAATTCACGTTGTTTGCCTGCTGTTTTACCATTGGGTAAAACAATGTTGTCGTCGGGGTAGCATTTAGAGCAGCCATGCCAACAACAACCGTTGACTTCAATTCCAAGCTGCTTATCTTCCACCCAACCGTCCAGATGGTAATTGCCAACTCTAAAAATAATTTGTAAAATAAAGTATAATTTATTTACCTTTTTTCTCCGCCTGCTGAGATAGCAGTCTGGACTTTAACATTATTTGCTTCCTCATACCATTCAAGAAATTTCAAAGCCATTTTGCTTTGGTTCTCAATGTTGTCGTACCCACGCTCTGGCACAATTCCAACATGATCAGCCTTGAGATGGTTTGTTCGAAAGTGTTTCATGCACGCCGAGGCGATTGTCATGGCTTCACGAAGCACGTCAATCCCCTCATGTGCCTTATCTGATGCCGGTCGTTGTCCAGCCTCACGTTTCGAAACCTGAAAATAAAATAATTAATAATCTAAAATAATTTACCTCTATAAATTCATTGCGGAACGCAATGAGAGCAGCCAACAAAATCTCTACGTCGTTTGTACAATAAGACGCAAGGGCCTCCTCCAGATTGAAAGGTTCATGGCAATGTTGTTGATGCCATTCGTCAAACAACTTCCTTTTTTCCGGCATCATCCCATCAGCAAGATATTCTGATGGGGCTGGGAAAATATCTTTTCCATAGTTCTCCGGGTGGTTGGCCAAGTGGGGAAAGAAGGGTTTGTCCTCCACCTGAAGAGCAAATGCCGGAACAAGAGCTGCAAGAGACATAGGCATCAAATTGAATGAATCACGAAAAATGATGCTTCCTTTGTTCTTTCCACGTGAGATGAGCTTCATCTCATACATTTTATTACCCTTTTTTAGCATCTCGGGAGTAAATCCTAAAAAATTTTTTCATTTTCTTTCAATAAATTAAGTTTACCTCTCAAGAAAAGTTCTTTAAAGACAAGTACCATATCGAAACGTCCACCAAAATGAGAGAAGGCAATGGTATCAAATTCTTGCGGAAGTTCATCGAGGAGCCAAACAATGAAAGCTTCTAGAGGATTTGGAGTTACAACCATTTTGTCTACAGTTGTTCTCGTAAAGGCTTTATGGGAGAAGGTAACAATCCTTTTATCCCCACAGACTTTACATTCCTCCTCCTCCTAAAATTTTTATAATTATATTAAATTAAACTTTAAAAATTTACTTTCAAAATACATTCAGGACACGTGACTTTGGCGCAGATGAAGTTAGGCTCATGCTTTTTTCCATTACCAGAAGGTTGATGCTGCATTGTTTCTAGGTCGAAAGCGACAATGCGATATTTTTTGTTGTCTTTAGATTCTAATGGTCTGATGAAGCATCCTCTCTTTGGAATGTGAAAATCATTGCAAGTTGAGCAATGACGTTCCCCACAGACATGACCTTTACGTCCTCGCTTGGTGTTGTCTTTTACATTCCAGATCACACCACACTTCTCACATTGTTTTGATTTTTTGCAAAAGCCAGATTGAAGATGATGCTGATAACAGTTGTTATTATGAAAAATTTTGCTGCATAAAGCACAAAGTTTATTAAATCCGTCGATTATGCTGCAGGGGAAATTAGGTCCTACCCTTGAGCATTTGTTGCACCGGGACTTGCAGCTAATTGAATGATTAGCCGGTTTATCATATACTTTTTCGCAAGACAAACAGTAACACTTTCCAAATATTCCTGAAGCACTCTTTACACCATCAAAGTGCTTGTTGTCGTAGTAAAGGATGATCGGAATATCAAAGTCATTAGCACCATATTTGAAGATGGGTGTGTAATGACCGAGGGAACCGAACACAAAAACTTTGAACTTGTGTTGCCCTTTATACTTGTTGTTCCAATAGTCAACTACAATAGGAACCCATTCCTCAGCATTATAATCTTGTTGTAAATCTGGTGCTCCAATTATTTCCATCAATTCCATTGTGTCTTCTTTAAATCGGTTTGCCATTCCATGCTCACTTCGCAAATATCGGGAAAATTTGACCCTAGACCATTTACAGATGCCATGTATCAGAGTTGCAGTTAGAGCGTAGAAAAGACAGAAACTGTCTTGGTTGCGAATCTAAAATAAAATAAATCAATAACGTTGTGTTTTTCCCTAACCTAATATTTCATTTCCCACTTTAATTTTCCCACTTTGCTTTTATCAATCTAAAGATTTTTATATTAGAAATTTAATTTAAGTTTTAAATCTTATAAATCTTTAAAAACTTGGAAACTGGCCTTAATCAATGATTGATCATTGATCCGGTGATGAACAGGTTGAATATTTCGACCAGATCCAGGAATTTGTCGTTGTTTCGGCAGTCCGCTTTTGTTAACAGTCGTAACTGTAACAGTAAACGGCTGCCCCCAGAGGGTGACGTTTTTCTGTCGAAAGCTTTGAGCCACAAGAAGAAATCGGTTGAGGATTGCCTCAACCATATTTTCATTCAAATCTCTGAAAAATCGCAATTTTATTATAAATATTTTTGTTAAATCTAAACCAACCTTACTGGTACCCATATATCATTATCTAATAAAGGACTGCTTACAACGCATCCTAACTGTTCCGGCTCTATACCACGTTTCCGACTTTCATCCAAAGCTTCATCAATTAAATGTTGAAAAATTCCTAAAATAAAATCAATTTAATTTATTAAAAAATTTACCTCTTAGTAATTCTTCCGGATCCTCGGGCAATTGCTTTATTGAAAATTTGGATTGCGATTTAACAAAATTAAATTTAGCGTTGTGAGATAAATCATTTTCTAGACGTTCAACATATTCTTTAGGCTTTTTCGCACCACTTCCTGATTGAAAAACAGAAAGTAAGGACTGAAGTCCTAATAAATTCTCGATAGTGAATCGAGTATATTTCTTCGGTGGCTGATTATCCATCTAACAAAAAACTTTTTAAACAATGAAAAAATAACAAAAATATTAAAATGAATAAAAACAATAATAATACAAGGTTTAAAAAGGACGCTAAATTATATTTGAATTTCCTGTTCTTTCCAGTTTTTTAATATGCCATCTGGTGTTGGCGGGGTCTTTATAAGAATCGAAAATTTGAAATTTTTCTCACTCTTCTTGAATTTTCAATTCCATTCGTTCCTTTTCTTATGCTCAAGGTCACTCTTCCTTTTTATCCTCGCTTCATTTTTACTCGCGTTCAAAATCTGCCAGCTCACGCCACCGTTTCTTTTCTTTTGTTTTTATTCAAATAGCCGCTGCATGCATATTTAATTACAGCATGCTTTTTTATTAACCTTCTTTCCTTTACACTCACGTGTTTTATTTTTCTCTTGTATCGTATTTTTAAAAGTAAATACCATAATCTAATAATATTCAGATAAATTAATTTTCCTTATTATCTGAAATGACACAAGAAGAAGGGACCAAATATTTTGAAATAGAGGTAGTACAACATTTTTAAATTTAAATTAAAAATATAATCAAAGGGATTTTGTCAATACAAGTCTTGCTTAAGACATGGATATCTTATAGCTCTAAACTCATCTCTGAAGAATGGAGAAAAGCTTGATAAGGGCGCTCGATGTAGTTTTATTTACCATTATTTCATGGGTTTCCATTGGTGCGAGGAATGTCTGAAGTTCAATCTTATGAAGAAACAACGAAAGACATTAATACCAATAACGAACAACTTATTCTTTTACTCATTTTGGCTTTGCACTGATTGTGCACTTTTTGCCACAACACCTTTATAATTTAAACATTAATTCATTGTAACAGTTTATTTACTATTTTAACTACAAATAAATCTGGATTCTGTTTCGTGTCTAATAATTCTAAATATTCTTCAAAAGATAGACCTTGAGATAGAAAATAGGTTAAAGAGATACAATGATGAGCGCAAGTTTTAGCTAAGGGGGATTGATAAGGTTTAACATTACGTTTAATATAAGAAAATTTCTTAAGAAAGGAATTAAAAATACAATAGCTGATAGGTAAAGCTAAACTATCAAAATAGTATATTTTATTAAAATTTATATAAATTGTTATCCAATGGGATCCTTTCATTCCTCGAGGATCCAAATTGACAATGTAAATTGATTTTTTTAAATCATTCTTTGGAATTAAATCACACGGGAAGCATCCCTGAAAAATTTGCCTTGTTTGTTGATTCGAGTTCAATATCTGGGTTATTTTGTATCCGTTCATCGATTACTTAATTTAAAAATAATTTTAAAATTTAATTCAATTTACCTTCAAACTCTTTTGCCTTTTTTCTCGGTAATACTACTTTAAACCAAAGTATTGAGCGAAATTGAAAAATGATAAGACTAATTATAAACAAAATGTATAAGACTATCATTCCCCAACAAAATATATGTCCATATATATTATTTTCACCGGGGCTTTCTTTGCAAAGTTGAATAGTGGGGAAGTTTGGGAAATCCATTTTAATAGGAAAAGATGTAGATGTTGTTGTTCTCTTACCCAAATATTCAGAATATTCGGGTAGATTTTCCACTTTTGAAATATCATCAATACTTAAAGTCTCAACAAGAGGACAAAAAATTCTTACAAGAAAAATTATTAATGAAATTTTATTCATTTTAAAATATTATTAAAAATATACAATGAAAATGTGTTTATATAGTAGTGTCACTGGCAATAGTGCGATTTTTATCTAGAATAATCAATGAATCCGCTTCACCCATAGCTACAAGCATAATTCCTCCATCGGGAACAGGCTGACTGAATTTAATATTAATGGCAGTTGTCCCGTTCTTTATTAAATCAAATAATCCTCCCTGGTCATCGCCACTATTTGTCAAAGCAAAAACATAAATGCAATGAGTACTACCGTACTGTTGATAGGTAATACCATTGCTTTCTGACGAATTTGAAAGTCCTATGGCCTCATTCATGTCGTTAAATGCTCTAACATATTTTCCATTCATATAATCAAAGTCATAAGGAGCTTGGGGATAACTTCGCCCGTTCGCGATTATAGTAATTTCCCGAACGTTAAAGTGTTGGAAATTGAAGGGACTACGACTCAAATTTCCAACATAATCAGTGTTTGCTACCAAACCAAGTGTTATTCTTCGGGGAATTTGGTCCATGAAGAGATTGGCATTAAATTCGTATCTTCCTTGGCTAATGAAAAGAGGCTTCATCATAGTCTTTCTTATTGCATAACGGGCGGGTTTTGTGTCAAGTTTTCGGGCAATGTCCAAAGCTAAACCATCCATAAGATCCATCTTTTTTACATAAAGTTTACAATTCACAACCTCAAAATGGTAACGTGTAGATTGAGCAAGACCCAGAACAGGAGGGGCAATTAGGACGAATTTTGTGTCATTTGGTAAAATCTCTATATCTATCTCACATTGATTTATTAAATAAAGCGGCTGATTAAAAATATCAGCATCAAGTTTTGTAATAAATTGTGTTGTTTTACTATTGGAAAATAATCTTTTCCTAGCCTCATATCCATCACCACTTTCTAGAATTGTACCAGAGTCAAAGTAATACCCAGACGAGTTGAGATGCGAACTTTTTGCTCCTTGGGAATACGAAAGTTCATATGATAGGTAGGTTTTGTAAGCGTAAAGAGAGTTTGAATTGAAGATTTCGCGCCCATTTACACTAACTTTCATATTATTTAAGAAAGTTTGCCCTATGAGCTGAATAGGTGCAACATTGTCTGTTGCAGCAAGATTAATTAGTTGCCCGTTCTCATTCTCTTTTCTTATTCTAAGTTCAGTAAAAAGATAACATTTTGACAAGTCAATATAATTTTGACTTGAATGGATTTTAAAGTGGTAGGGTGTATCTGTAAGAGGATTACTGGTAAGAATTTCGAATACTTTAGAAGAAGTCACTGTAACATTAGTAGGTGGGATTTGAAAAAAGTCCAGAGCACTTGTAATAGAATTAATACTGTCACTATCAATTTTGTGGAAAGCCATTTTAATAGAGACCAAAAGCGTCCGATCTTAATCTTTTTTTAACTTTTTTTCCAATAAATGTTTGATGTGCAGGCATTGCATTCCTTTTTATACCCTTTTTACGACCAGTCCCAAATTGTTTTGGTAATCCCCCTTTCTCCAATACGGTGTCAATACCTTTTCTTCCTTCTTCTTTGAGTGCCGCTTTAAGAGGCTCTCCTTGATTAACCCTCTCCAGCACTCGCTGCCCTGTATTTAATGCTTCTCCAGCTACAGTAGTGCCCGCTTGTTTAATTATTGGAAGGAAAAAACGCCAAAGCCCTCTCATAACATCTCCTATTCCTGCACCTTTTTGGGAATTACCGTAACCTCTTTGAAAAGGTGAAGAACCCTTGAAATAATTGTATTCATCGGATATTCCACCTCCTTTCATAATTGAGGGAATAAATTCTTCATACCCGACTGATCTTGTATCAAAAACAATATGTACCATTTTAGAAAATTTTACTTCAAATTAAATAAAATTACAATTTTGAGGGTATTTATATAGACACGACATGTGAACATTAAAAATTAATGACTTTTTTAAAGATTAAAACAATCATCACTGTCCCAAATGCAAAAGGGACAAGTCTTCCTCCATCCATTGTTCTTAATTCTATTTCAATCTCATTAATTTCCTTAGGAAGCACACGAATATAGATTGGTGAGTCATAGATTTTTTCATGATATTCTCCAGGTGTTGCTCCTGAGACAGAAACAACTCTTAGTAGAGAACTTAGAGAATTTCCGACTATCATATTCTCGGTTAGACCCTTTGAGTATACAGCAAAACTTGAGAATCCTCCTCTCAAGTCACTTCCGTATTTTGCAATCTCATTATTCATAACCATATTCGAGTTTTCAAAACCCAGCACATATCCAAGCTGAGGAGAGAAAGATAAATATTTAATATTTGGGTGAGAATATTCCATTTTAAAACGTTGAAAATCTTTGTGAAAGGACAGAGAAATAGAATCTATAATTTGTTTCTGGACGGTAGCAGTTATTTTGTCTTTTCTTAGATAACTATATTTTTTTAAAAGCCCTTCGATCATTGGTAAATAACTTTCTCTTTGAAAATCAGTAGGGGGTTTTCCTATTACGTGGGTAAGAACTCTTTCCATATCATCAGTCCATTTTATTTTTTGTTGAACGACTGATTTATTTTGTTTTAATGGAAGAGCTTCAGGGAGTGGAGGAAGAGTTTGTATAGGACGGGGTAGTGATTCCGTTATTTTTTGAGGAGTTGTAGTAGTAGGTTTTGGCGGAGTAAGTAATTTTTGAGGTGTTTTTTTTTGATGAGAAAGTTGTGTAGGCAAAATTTGAGGGGGTGGAGATGGTGGTTTTTGCGACAGTTTAGGGGGTGAATAAAGTTTTTGATTAGTTTTAGGCCCAGGTGTTGGTTTTTGTGGTGTTAGAGGTTTTTGAGTAGTAGGAGAAGGTGGTTGTATAATAGGAGGTTTTTGAGTAGTAGGAGGAGGTGGTTGTGTAATAGGAGTTTTTTGAGTAGTAGGTGGAGGTGGTTGTGGAGTAGGAGGTTTTTGAGTAGTATTAGGAGGTGGTTGTGGAGTAGGAGGTTTTTGAGTAGTAGGCGGAGGTGGTTGTGTAATAGGAGGTTTTTGAGTAGGAGGAGGTGGAGGTGGTTGTGTAATAGTAAGGGGTTTTTGAGTAGGAGGAGGTGGAGGTGGTTGTGTAGTAGTAAGGGGTTTTTGAGTAGGAGGAGGTGGGGGTGGTTGTGTAGTAGTAAGGGGTTTTTGAGTAGGAGGAGGTGGAGGTGGTTGTGTAGTAGGAGGTTTTTGAGTAGGAGGAGGTTTCTGAGGAGTAGGAGGTTTCTGAGGAGTAGGAGTTTTCTGAGGTGTAGGAGGTTTTTGAGTAGGAGAAGGTTTCTGAGGAGTAGGAGGTTTTTGAGTAGGAGAAGGTTTCTGAGGAGTAGGAGGTTTCTGAGGAGTAGGAGTTTTCTGAGGAGTAGGAGGTTTCTGAGGAGTAGGAGATTTTTGATGTTGTGTTGTAGAAGGTTGTGGTAGTCTAGGAGGCGAAGGAAGTTCGGGAGTTGTAGGTCTTTTAATTTCTTGAGACGGAGGCGCAGGTTTCTTTGTTGGCGGAGTAGGTGACGATGCTTTTGCAGAATCAACCAATCGTGGAGGAGAACCGGGCTTTATCCTTGGAGGCGATGGTAGAGTCTCCTCCAAACTTCGTTTTGGGCGTCCAACTCTTGGAGGTGAAATTAGAGTTGGCCTATCGACAAAACTATCAGTTTTATTTTGAGGAGATTCTTCAAGCGATCCACTCTGGTGTTGTAAAGTGGATGTTAAAAATTTTAGTAAATCTTCCGGTTTATTGTGTGAGCCTCTTGGTACAGGTACTCTTATTATTTTAGCCATTCCTTTAAAATCTGTACAGTGAATAGCAATCCACTGCTCGTCAAGTGTACCAATTGTTGAAGGCCATGAATATGGGTATGAGATGCTATGTAAACCGCATACCCAGTCTCCAGAAAAATAAATTGGTTTCGGGAGATGAACTCGAAACTTATTAGGCTGATTATCGGGATAATCAGTTGTGTTACTTAGTAAACAAACGTAAAAACTGTTTGACATTTTTATCTCAAATAAAATTATACAATGTGAAAATAAATGCTTTTATACTAATTGATTCTCATGTATCCATTCTCTCTCGGGGTAACCTATATATTTTACAAGTAGTTCATATGCACCATCCGGTCGCTTTCTTTTTTGATATACCTTCTCTATTCTGTACTCGGTCCCCGCATCTTTTTTCACTTTAGTTAGTTCCTCATTGTAATACGATCCCTTGTACTTATCTCCTTTGTCATCTACTAATTTGTAACGAATGGGTCTTGACTGATCCTTGACTTTGTCAACTTCAGCTATTACATCACCCCAGTTTGGAATATATCCCTTTTCAAACGTTCCTTTATTTATACTCATACGAACAAAATCTCCTTTATTAAATTTTGGTTTGGCTTTTTTAATTTTAGTAGACAATAAGTCTCCATAAATCTTCTCCCACACCTCTTGTGCATTCGCGAAGTTTACATCAATAGGGCGCATTCCGTGAATCCGACTCCTTGCTTTATTGATACCGTCTAAAATTCTTGGTAAAATTTCTATCCAATTAAGTGTTTTATAATGAGCAAAATATCTATATAATCGTTGTTTAACATTTCTAATTGAACGCTCCGCGAGCGAAGCTTTGACTGTTGAATGGGTAGCTTCAAACTTTTCAATTTCTTCTTTTTCAAAAAATTCCTTTATTTGTCTATTTTTAAATTCTAGACCTCTATCAGAGAATATTCTATGTGGCTTCATAGGCATCTGCTCAATTAATTGGTTAAAGGCGTCTAACATATCTTCGGCTTTCTTTGATTTTACGGCTATTCCAAAAACACGCTTAGATAAAACGTCAATTCCCAGGAGTAAATATCTATTTCCTTTATTATGCCTAGAAAGTGTTTGAAAATCCGCCAAGTCTACTTGAACATCTGTCATAAAACCTGAGGCTACAGTTTTGCTGCGAGGAAAGTGAATTCTCTTAGGACGCATAAGAGTATAAGTCCGGTGTCCCTCAAGAAAATCTTGTACAACACTTCTAGGTAAATTTTTAAGAACTTTGCGGGCTTCGTGCCATAAACTATCAATTCCTGAAAAGGCTGCAGGAGATTCAGGGTCATTATAGAGATGTTGCAAAAGTTTTGTATAATCTGCCATTTTACCATAAAGAGGGTTTGAAACTATTTATATCCTTTTGAGAAGGTTTTTTTACAGCCCATTTCTTTCCAATTACTTTTTCTCTTACTCCTGTATGTCTTGTACTTATATCTTCTTGGGTAGGTTTTTTAGTTGCCCATTTCTTTCCACTCACACGCCCTTTTATAATATTTAATTTTTCTACCCATGCCTTTGATAAACGCTCAGACTTTTTCTTCGAAACAGGATGTTTTATCCTTTTATAATGTAACAAACTGGTTCCTTCGGGAATTTCTAATTTTCTTTTTGAGCGCTCACGTGGTATTGAAGGAGACGGGGATCTACCTTCTCTCAATACTCCTCGACGACGACGAGATCTTTTAGCTCTATCTAAAACTTCTGCCTCCTCATCTCGACGTATTTGTTGAATTACACTATGATCAAGAGGGACTTTGACATTTTGTGATGATTTTCTTCTCCTTAATAGTTCTTTCTTCTTTTGCGTTTGTGCAATTCTTTGTCTTAACCTAATTTCCTTATTTTCATATGTATTCTTACTTCTCTTGAACCCTTCAGTATTACTTGAATCTTGGTCTCTTTTTAATGCTACAGGATTAGAATCCATTAATGGAGCATTCTGCGCATCAATAATGGGATCTGTTTTATTAATTGACTCAACTATTGAAGTTGAGGGTAAAGATTGGTTTGCCGTCACTCTTTTCTTTTGTTTCTTTTTAACAGGAATTTTAGACTTTTTGATTTTTTTAACGGTCTTCATCCTTTTTGTACCATTTCCATTTGTTTTCTCTTTCCTTTTTACAAGTTGCCGTGGAGTCGGTGGCGTTTCTTTTAGAACGTTTATATTTTTAGCTAGGGAAGGTAAAGACGGGTGGTACGAGGATTCAGAGAGAGGTGGTACAAAATTATAGGCTCTATTTGGAGGTTCTCTAGGGTAAGCTGAGAATGAGACATCATCACTCATCCACATTTCATCATCATCCTCGGCTGTTGAAGGACGCGTTTGTTCATTACTCATAATAGCCCCTTTGGGTGAAGCGACCATTTCAACTCTAACTGGTCGATTTTGACTTTCATTACGTAAGTGTAGGTATCGCCTTAATTCCTGGTTATAACGGATGTTTTTAGCACTTGGATGTTCTTTTCCTTTTTGTGTTTTATCTAGAGTTCGCCGAACATCGTCAAGATTTGGTTCACCGGTATCAAATGTTGTAAGACCCCGATATATTTCTTGAGGAACGAGAATAAATTTATTAGCCATAATTGAATAATTAAGTGATTGATTACATTAATTCCCGCTTTTTATAGAGCGCGCCAGTTCAATGAGTATAGGTGTAAGGAGAGCAGCAAATGCGCCAACACCATTTCCCTTCTGCAAAGCATGTCTTGCTCCCCTTTCGCTTCGAGCCCTGCTTACTTTTCGAACAAAACAGGCATAAGGCATTAAACGTTTCTTTTGACGAGTTGTCAACATGAACCGAGACTTTACAATATTAAGACAAATTTCTACTAGTGTTAAAAGTTGAGTATTACTAGCAAGTCGTAAAAGACGACGAATTTTTCTTCGAGATTTTGTATGACACAGAGTATTTAGGAAATTTGAATTTTCACTAATTAATTGACCGACCATTTTAAATGCCACTCTTTGGAGTGAAAATAATTTTTTCGTCCTCCTTAAATATTCCTGTCCTAAGCCTTAAGGTTGGGTCAGAGGAGGCATGCATGTCAATCAATAGATATCCATAAGGTTGGTTTGTTGATTGATTGTAGGCATCCAGGAAATAATCTAGCCTTCCCGGGAAGAGTTGGACTCCTATATTTCTTACTGCGAGAGCAGAATTAGGTGAACGCATTAGTACAATATATTGGGCATTTTGACGAGCGACTTTAATCTTTCGGTCGAATAAATTTTGTGTAACAAATATAACAGAAAAATTTTGATGGTGCGACTTTTTTGTAAAAAGTTCAGATAGGTATTTTTCATCTATTGATAATAGAAGGTCATCCAAAATTAGCAGAAGTGGTTTGGGTAGTGTTTTTATCAAGTCTTCAGGCGGGGCTCCGACAAACACATTAACACCAGATTTTTGAAGTATTGGTACAATACTACTCATTTCGCCAAAACAATAGAGTATGCTCTTTGGTTCTGGTTCAATTAACTCTTCTACCTCTGAGATAAATTTGAGCAAAAAAGTACTCTTGCCACTAGAACTAGGACCTGATACAATCATACCAAAAGGCAATTTAAGTTTTAAATCTTTATTTGAAAATGTCAATGCTTCCATATTAAATGATAGGAAAATTAATGAAGTTAAAAATTAATTAACTTAAATACTTTGCGAATTTAAAGAGATGATTGCAAATTAGTTTCTTTCATCTCAGCTATTACTTCATTCTTAACCTCTGCGTCCGGAGAAATTCCCATAGTAACAGCTTGCATAGAATCGAAAAATTCCATAAGAACGGCATCGTCCTCATTGGGTTTTTCCATAACATTTGAATCCTTAATAGATGTTTCAGTAATAATAGGTGGAGGTTGTTCGATATTTTGAACATCTTCAATCAGTGGTGGATCTACTACCTCTTGGAGAGGCTCATGGGGAGGAGATTGTAAAGGTTCGAGTTGGGTAGTAGCCTCACGCTTGCGAGAATTTGTATTCTCAACCGAGTGGACATTTTGTGAACCATACGGTATATTTAAAACACGGCCTTTGTTTTTAATCTTAAATTTAAAATTCAATAAAATTATTGTGGGGAAATGACCTTAAAGAAACAATGACCCGGGAGGTCATAAATGCAATCAAATGGCACTAAACGAGGAGTTGACAGGCGAGTACAATAAATTGTCACTCCCTCCTTTGTAACAATAAAGTCCAATTCTACTTCTGTGCTTTTACATTCCCGGCACCGACCCCCGTGTTCAAAAGGAATGAAACGCGGGGTGGTGATTCGCTCACTAGTAATGGTTATCCCATTAGTAGTTATGTTGAAGTCGACTTCAGGGATAATCTGGGTTAATAATGATTTCTTGTCATTCATGTTGAGGGCCATTTTATTAAAATTTTTCTAGAATTAATTAGATTTGTTTAAAATTTTGAGTTTATATACCCGTCTCTCGCTCCCGTAGGTGTCTATACTCTCTAACCCTATAGTATCTCTCAACTTTATGTATCTATTTTGAACAAAACACCAAATTTGAAAAAGCGAAGCCAAGCCATTTTAAAAGCGAAGCCAAGCCATTTTTAAAAAAATCGATATTAAGCCACGCCCACTTTTTACTAAAAATCCATAATCCTTATTTCTTAAGATCATTCTATATAATTTACAACAAATTTTTCCTCAATTAAATATTTAATATTAAAAATATGGAACAAAATAACTCATCATCTGAGAAGATTGGTAACTTTTCCTTTTAAAAACCTGATTAAGTTTCTATTTTAAAAGATGGGGACTGTGAGCAAAACAAGGAAATTTCCGTTACAAAACCTGTGAACTTAGAAAAAAAGAAGGAATCAAATTCTAAAAGCTCTTTAGGTTTATAATAAGATAATTATTCTCGTACTAATTTTTTAAGAGACAACTATTGCTAATCCACCAGTGGATCTAAATAAGATAAAAATTGTTGAAGAACAAGTTGTTAAACAACAACAACTTTGGAAACTAATTCGCGGAAAATTCTTAATTACATTCTACCTGTGTCAAGGTAATAAAATTTAATATTTTATTCAAAAATTAAATTTTTAGACTGCCAAAACAAATTATTTTATTCAAAAGATAAATTTGAAGAGAATCCTTCTTGTGTTACTGTGAAGATAGGATTATGCAACAACTGTGTCAAAGCCAATAGCATCGCTACAGATGTTTTGGCACCCTACAAAAAGATTGGTAGCAAAAGAAAAGCAGAGTGAAGGACATTAAAAAAAAACATTTGATAACTTTAAATATTTGAAAATTTTCATTGTAACATTTACATGTTCAATTAATTAAATAAAATTTTGTTAAATAAAAATTTGGACATTTGGACACCCCTTCTCTCTCCCCTCTCTCTCTCTCACCTCTCTCTCTCCACTCTCTCTTCTCTCTTCACTCTCTCTCTACTCTCTCTCCCCTCTCTCTCCCCTCTCTCTTCTCTCTCTAAACTCTCTAACCTATCTAACTACTGTTGTCTCTCTAATAAATACTTCATCCCTAATCTAACCTACATAACTCATTTTACTTCCTATCTAATTTTTACAAGAAAATAGAGACTACAAAATATCATAATATTTACTTACTTTAAATGTGAAACAATTATTTAAATTTATTTAATTTTTATTTTTTAATTCATTTTATTTTTTAATTCATCTATATATTTTCTTTTTTATTTTCTTCTTCTTCTTCTCATCTACAAGGAAGAATGATGAGCCTCCTTGGAGACTAACACTTCCATTTTCTTTAATGTTTCCTCATGTCGAGGAGAAAAGATGGGAGCCTTTTTCTTCTAGAAATTAAAAACTTTTTAATTTTTAATATTTATTAATTAATCTACCTCGCGGCGCGAGTCAATAACCATTGGTGATGGTTGTGTAGGCGCTCTGAGCTCACATAACTCAATTTGAGGACGAGTAATTGGTCGACGAGTTGTCACGTGTCGACGTCCCCATTTATTAAAAACCATCAAAGCGAATGATGCCGCCTAAATTATAACAGATCATTTAGAGAGAATTAATTGTTTTAGGTTCGAATCCTGCCCGGTGGCTAAAATCAAGAAAAATTATTACTTGAATAAGCAATGAAACCAAAATAATGCAAAGAATTGCATTAAGAATTCCCACATGTGTGTTTGAGCAATTATATGTCAAAAATTCCAAGGGGTTTTTGACATAATTTTCGAATTTGTCCACCGGAATATTTTCAGGAAGACAGAACGTTGGCTTAGAATACATTTCAGGTCTAATACATTTCAAATTAGATGGACATGTACAGTTAGTGGGAACCCAGATCATTTTTTAAAATTTTATCTAAAATTACAACAAATTTAAAAATTTTTCAGAAATAAATTTTTTAAAATTGACTGATTAATAATACTAATAATTGCCCAATTCACACATTAGCTTACAAAAACATATGTTTTACACTATTTTCAACTTTATTTTTAATAATATTCATTTCTTACGCAACTTTTTCTTTGTTATTTTTGTAAATCTTTTAAAAGAAAAACAGGCAAAAGACATTCCAAAAGATCAATACCTAAATAATTTTTTATTTGTAGGTGATCTTTAGGGTTATCCCACCTACCAGATGTTATCTCTCCTTAACCAAAATCAAATAAAAAATAATATAAAATTTTTATTCAATGAAAAACAATTAGTAATGTCTCGTTTCACTTATTAAATTTGTAGCTCTAAAGAGAGCTTTATGGGTTAATTTACTGAAGAACATCCACAATTATCCATCGTCAATCAATTTGTCCATAGTCCGCCAAAAGTTCGCGCACTCGGTCAATCAACACCTTAAAATTTTCCTTTTACCCCCTCCCCAGACCAATTAGTAATTACAAATTGTTTCCCCTTAGCCCCTCCCCAGACCAATTAAGAACAATTAACACTCCCTTACACCCAACCCCAACCAATTAGTAAAACAAATTGTTTTCCCTTACCCCCTCCCCCTAATTACTCTAAAACACCCCACTAGGACTAGGTTTTCCCCTTACACCCTCCCCCGAACCCTTCAATAGGCTGACGTTTATGGGGGCGGACCCCTCCCCCAACCAGACCCTTCAATAGGTTGGCGGCATTTCCCTTTGATACGGTTATTGGAGGGTAACTACTCTTCAATTTGTTTGTTCTATAATTTATACCCAAATACTTTTATACTTTGTTTAACCTATTTAATTTTATTTACAAAGTTTTTGTTTTTCAGTTTTTTGATTAAAAATGGCAAACTTACCCGTTTCTTCTTTAATTCGGCAAGGAGGACCGTTTGGCACAGAAGACGGAATCGAAAGTGGGAAACGAAAATCTAAGGATGAGTATAGAAAACAAAAAGATTTGGAAGAACAACGAAAAGCTGGTACAGCCCCTGCAATGGTTGACACTGAAACTGGACGTGATATTAATCCACACATTCCCGAATTTATTGAGAAGGCACCTTGGTATATACCGCATAGTGGTCCTACTCTAAAGGTTTATATTTTATTTTAATTTGGGATTTCAATTTTTGTCCAATTTATTGTTAGCTTGACCTGAATTTAAAATTGGAGATTATCGACATCTCCTATGGACTTGTACTTTTTTCAACTGCAGGAATCTAGGGTTATGCTCTTTCATGAATCTGGAAATGTGATTATCTGATAATTATCCATCCCTTTTTTCAATTGAAAAAGTTTTTCCCTCCATTTATTTTGTGGGTATTTTTAAATTAGTAAAATTGATTCCCGGTTAAGCTTTCCCGAACTGAGTTAGTTGATGAATACTAATTTATCCCATTTACTTCCGTAGTTCCTCTGATCTCTATAATTAGACACTGATTTTGCCAGTTCCAAATTTTTAAATTTTAATCTTTATTTTTAGCATCAACGTCCTCAACCTGATCGTCAAAAAGAATATAATTTAATTTCTGAGTGGTATCCTAAAGTTTGTATTTTTTATTTAATTTATTTCAGTTAGGTCTCGGAAAATTTTTAAAAATTCCTGATTTTATAAGTTTTTATTTCAAATTACTTCAAAAATTAGTTTACGACTTCAATTTTTGCTCTTCCTTATTTTTAAGACGTTTTTCTAATTTTAGGGAACAACTGATCGAGTGGCTTTTAAATATCGAGAAGGTGCCTGTGAAAATTGTGGCGGAATGGGTCATCGTAAAAAAGATTGTTTTGAAAAGCCGCGTGTTGTCGGGGCCAAATGGTCCAACACAAACATTGCTCCAGATGATCACACCCTCCCTAAACTTTCTTTGGATTGGGATGCTAAACGTGACCGATGGAACGGTTATAATGCTGATGACTACAAATTTGTTGTCCAAGAATATGAGAAAATGGATGAGACCCGAAAACTTATTCGAGCAGAGCAATTAAAAGGAACTGAAGAAGAAAAAAATTTAGAACAAGATGAGGACATCTACGCGGAAGATGCTTCTGCTCCGGGACAATCAGTTGATATGGATTCGAGGACGCGTATTACAGTTCGAAATTTAAGAATTCGTGAGGATACTGCTAAATACTTGCACAATTTGGATACAAATGGGCCTTTTTATGATCCAAAAAGTCGATCTATGAGAGAGAATCCGTTTAAGGTTTTTTTTAAATTTTTACTTGTAAATTAGATTAGTTTGAACCTTTTTCCGTCCCTTTTACATTTTTGTTTTTCTAAAATCTTTCTTGTCACTTGCACGTAGACTACTATTAGTTTACTTGCAGGTATTTTTTGACACATATAGGAGCCAAAAATATAAGGTTAAACATTTCATCAAGGAAATAAGATAAGTCTATCGATTATATGTAGTTACTAGTGATCGAGCTGGGTCTGGACCAAGGCCTGGTTTTTCCTTTACCCAGAGTCCAGGCCCAGGCATTTTTTGACCTTCCAGGGTTTTTCCTGGACTATAAGCCTAGGATCCGGCCCAGGTAAATGAATCAAATTCAGAGTTCGGGAACGGGTTCAGGCTTTCCTAAAATCTTGATTACAACTAGTTACTTTACCCTTTATATTTTATAATATGAAAATACAAGGAGATTAAAGATTAAATTAAAGATTAACCTAAAATTAATTAATTAAAATTTTATAAAATAAGGCGAGAAATAGAAAATTGGTGCCAATAGTGACCATTTGAATTTTTTGTATTTTACTAACAATTACACTTTAAAAAATAAATTTTTTAGGACATGCCAGGAAAAGAACAAGAAGCAGCTCAATATGCTGGTGAAAATTTTATGCGTTATACAGGCGAAGTCGCAGAAGCAAATGAAGCACAAGTTTTTGCATGGCAAGCGCGTTGTAAAGGAATTGACATCCATTCACTTGCTGAACCTACACGATTGGAATCACTTAAAAGAGAATTTGAGCAACAAAAAGAACAGAATAAATCTAGTGTGCAAAATGAATTGTTGGAAAAATATGGAGGAGAAGTTTGTTATTTTTAAATTAAATTGTTTGATATTTTAATTTTCTTTTGGCTGGAGCATTTTATTTTTGAGTTTAAATTTTCTGAAATTTTTTTAAATTTTTCGTTGGGACTAGGTTTGAGGTTTTCATAAGATTAGTCGGTTAACCGAGCCTGAGGGTTCAGTTTGAAGTCTGAAACCCTTTTTTCGACATGTCTTTTTTTAGTAAGGGTGGGAAATTGGAAAAATAAAGAGTTGGTAGAGTAGTGATCAAAAAATGTTTTTTTTGCATACGGATACTAAAACTCCTAAAAATTTTTTCACCGGTGCCAAAAAGGAAAGAAATCTGGCTTTTCGACCCCAAAATTCTTAAAATTGTCTACGCCCCGATAAATATTTTTCGGCGCCAAAATTTTCAATAATGATCCCTTGAAATTTCTTTCTTGGTTAAGGGCTTGGTTAAGCCTACTGATAAATTAAACATAGAGGAGCAACAAGAAGTTGTTTAGCGTTCTATTTATTTATTTTTTTATTTTAAAGGAGCATCTTAGCGCCCCACCAAAAGAATTGCTTCTTGCACAATCAGAAAATTATGTTGAATATAATCGGAAAGGAAAAGTGATTAAAGGAGATGAAGGCCCTGCAGTAAAAAGCAAATATGAGGAGGATGCGTATGTTTTTATTTAAAAGATTTTTTAATTTTTTTTCAATTCTAGTTTGATAAATAATCACACTTCTGTTTGGGGTTCTTATTGGCGAGATGGTCGTTGGGGTTATCGTTGTTGTCATCAATTTTTACGTAATTCTTATTGTCTCGGTGAGCAAGGAATTTTGGTTGAACAAGCAGAATTGGGGCCTTCTGGAGCAGCTAAATTTCCTTCAATTGAACAACAAAAATCAACAAAAACTTTACAGCCTTCTAATGCAATGCAAAATGCAATTAAAAATGTTTTTGAAGGAAGTTCTAGTCAAGTGAAGCAAAATGAAAAGGAAGAGTCTCCAGATGTTAAGAGGTTTAAAATGAAAAGTTTTTTAAAGTTATTTTTAAATGTTTGAAAGAAAATAAAACTAAATTCTTCAAAAGGTTATTATTAGGGTATAGTAGGGATGGGTCGGGGTCATCCGAAACTGATACTTTTTTTGACTCAAAACCCGACCAGAAGATTTTTTCCAAGACCCAACCCGACTTTTTTCTCTACATACCAAGTGAAAAAATCTTAAAAGAAAATCTTTGGTTGACCCATCCTTTAGTGTATAGCTATTAGAATTGTTTCAGAGGAGCTTCTTTTTCAAAATAATTATGAAATTTTAAGTATGGGGATAAATTTTGGCTTATGAACCTTTCAAAACATGTAAAATTGAAGCAACCCTAGAGTTCCCATAACATTTTATGTTCAAAGTTAGGACCAAAAATAAATAATAAGTTTTCAACTTTTACACGATTAACAAGTCATTTCATTAAAAATTTTGTTCTCACAATTAGTTGGTAAATTTTATTTGTAAATCGAAAGTCGAGTTTTATTTTTAGAAAATTTTGGTTTTCATTAATTAAAGTCCCTGTTTCTTTTTCAAAATTTTCCATTAATTTTCTTTTTAAATTTCAATTTAAGTGTTGCTAGTTCAAATTCTGATAATGAGGAGGAATCTGAAGACAATGAAAATGCTGAAGATGATATTGAACTTGATGAAGAAGAATTACGTCTTTATGAAGAACAATTGGAAAATGAGAAAAAGAAAAGTTTGTTTTTTAGTTTTTTAAAGTCAAAATTTCTTTATTTTGAAGAATTGCGTGATGAAAAACGTCGAGAAACAAAACGAAAAAAGCGAAAAAATAAAAAAGAAAAGGCAAAACAACGAAAAGATGATGGAGGGAAACGTAAGAGGCGTAGAAAGGACAGTTCTTCCTCTTCTAGTAGTAATTCTAATTCTGATGAAGAAAATGAGGATTCTACGTCTGATGGTAAGGATAAATTTTGCTTAAAATAAAATTTATAAAAATTCCTTGTAAAATAAAATCCCGTAATTTTTTTCTTTATTTTTTTCTCCATGAAAAATTTGGTGAAATATTAGGGTATCAGGTTAGGGTATCAGTGTTGCCGCGGGTACAAAGAATCTTCGGGTAAGGGTTTCAGGTTGGAGCGTTTTCATTTCGGGTCACGGGTTTCGGGCGGCAACCCTGGTATGTATTACCTTTCTTAATTAAATTTTCAGAATTTACGAATTGACTTAAATTTTCTTAAAAATTTTTTTTGTTCTTTCGGACAAATGATACTTAACAATAGGGTTAGGGGTCCGGTCCGAAAGATCGGGTCAAGCATATAATTTTGGCCATAAAAAGACTTGGTCGATCAGGTCCGATAAAAATGAGGCTCGGAAAAATGACTTGAACGTCGGCCCGTCGCGAAACCCCCAACCCAAATTAACAAATACCTGTTAATATTTAACCTAAAAAATTTTTTTTTCTAAATTTTTTCTTTTCAGAAGATTTATCCTTTGCTTCTGGTTCGAATAAAAAATTCTCTAAAGAATTGAAAAAGGCAATTAAAAAACAATTAGATGAACGAAGACAAGGGAAAGAAGTGGCAGAAATGGTTTTTTTAATTAAAATTTTTTTTATTTTTTTAAATTTAAGGGAGAAAGAAAACGCAAATTTCATAGTGGTTTGGATGATCAATCAACACAAAAACCTTCAGAAATTGATAGAGAAGCATACAATTTAACTCGTATTCATTCAGCTGATCCTATGGCAAAAATGATGGAAGAAAAGGAACAAAAAAGAATGACAAAAAAAGCAAAAAAGGGGTGAATTTGCTTTCAAGAATTTGCTTTCAAAGAAGGATCTTGGAATATTTTTTTGATAAATTTTTAAATATAATTCATTAATAAATATTTTTTGATATTTATTAGTCGAAAAATTTTTGGGTTTTAATTCCTTATTTTGTAAAGTTTGAAGATTTTTGCAATTAATACTTTAGATTTTTTTATTTTTTTCAAGTTATTTGATGTTTGAAAAATATTTTGCAGTCTGTTGCCGTAATGCCAAAACGTCGAAATACCAAACAGCCAAAATGCCAAATCTCCAAAAGCCGTTGAAATACCAAACGGTGGAAATGTCGATCTTTTTGTTCTTTGCAGGCTTATTGTTAATTTTAGGACATTTTTGTTTTGGTTATTATTTAATTACATAAATGACATCGAGAATTCATTCCAAATTATGTCAATTGTTGAAAAGACAAAAAAATGTTGATAAAGAAAAAGAAGTGAAAATTGCGCCAATAGAGCAAATAAATGTTGAAGAAGAAGGATTAAATGTTGTTGAACTAGATGTGGGTTCTACCCAAAAAGGAGGATTGTCGTTGTGGTATAATTGTGGGTATATTTACTTTGGCTTTTTTATTCACTTAGAAAATTTCAGCGTATCGCTATATATTTACATCCAAAAATTGCAAATCCTGGCGCTGCTCCGATCGGCCTTGTTCGGCAAAAGTTAGTGTGCTTTCAATTGAGGGCGATCATGCTCGAGGTATTCTAATGGGAGAGCATGATCATGTTGGAGATCCTGTTGGGCTTGAGGTTTTTATTTTCAATTTTACAATAAATTTTGGTAAAAAGCTTCGTATCCCCCCTCTTTTTTGCTCCCACATAGAGGGAAAAACCATGTGTTTCAATCCTTACCTACGGCGATAAGTACTCGGCTCTGCTTTTTAGATATAGACTTTTATCTGGACTAGTAGACTTCGTGGAAGCAAAAAAGACGGGGGTACGAAGTTTAATTTTACCGGAATTTTTTGTAAGGTCGAGAAGAGACGTAAGGTTTTCAATGAAAGAATACGAGAAAATCCAACAGTGAAGACTAGGAATTTGGCTGAAGAGTTAAGAAAAGGGACATCTGAAGATACGGAATTGTTAGTTAGGTATGGGAAAAATGATTTGGGTCAAATATTTTTTTCTGTTTTAGATTTGGCACGGATAATGCAGTCCAACAACGAGCAGCAAGGATGCGCAAAAAGGCAATTGGACGTGTTACTAAAAGACAGTTGGAAATGGGAACAGCTACAAGTTTTAAGAAAAAGAATAGTGAATGCGAAAAGGATGATTCAAGTCTTTTCGATTTTGCCCAGTCTTTGTATAAAAAGTGGGAAGAAATGGGACTTGTACAACTATGGAACAATGGAGAAATTGAAGGGAAATCGGCAAGAGAATCTTTTCGGTAAGTTTTGTTTCGTTAATCGTCGTTTAAATTATTTTTCAGTTGTCTACTTGCTTTAACTTTAATCCCAATTCAACATGTGCGGCGGGCTTTTTGTTTACTAATGGAGGAATCTCCACTTGGATTAGAGGACTATTTTGCATATTTTTGTAGCGCCTACATTGGAATGACAGAATTTGAGAATCAGTTGGGTTCTAGCGCTTTCAGACCAGGAATTGAAATGGAACGCGCCTCTCATATTGGCTTTGGTTTAACAACTTCCGCATCTCTTGCTGAATGTAAATATTCCTGTTTGTTTAAATAATTTTTCTATTCTAGCTCGTTTTGGTTCATTTGCTTCAACTTCTTTGTCTACAAATTTTGAACCTGCCAGTGGAACATTTGGTCAAACCGATTCGGAAGCAAGCAGCAGTGGTTGTAATCGACGCTTATCTTCTATAATAACTCCTCGTTGGGATTTACCAATTGATTATCCTGCACAATTTGCTGTCGACTTTTGGAATGTTCATGTACAAGCAATGAATGATGTTTTTCGCGCCAACAACGTTTTAGTAAGTCATCGATATTTCTTTGAATTTTGCAAGTTTTTGACCTACTCACTATTAAAGGATCGTCTTCGCCATCCAGGATTGCCTGAGTACATTCTTGAATTTACTGAAAATGTTGACACTGAATTGAATAACTTGGTATTAATTGATAAAGAATTTCAAAATAAACGTTTTAGACCCATACAAATTCGAATCGAAAGCCAAACTCAAGGAATATTATTAATTATGCTAATATTCGTGTCATCCTAAATGGAGCGTCATATGAAACAGACGTGGAAATAATGGATATTGTTCATCTGCTCGGATCACAAATGGAACAATTGACAAGAAAACTAGGTCACAATAAAAGAAATACAGACGGAGAAGACGACGAATATTTTGAAATTGCTCTGGAAAATGAAAATTTGATGGAAAATTCAATAGTTGATTTAAAACCTAGTATTTAGTAATTTAAAATATTTTTTTTCGGGATCAACCCAGGAGGTCAAGGCCCGGAAGATCAAATAAAAATTCTGGGCGGATAAAGAAGGATTTGTTGGGATTAAGGGATATAGGACGGAAATACTCTTGTGCACTGTCGGATAATGCAAAGGGAAACTGGCAAAAATATCCCCGAGCATGTTCACCTTTATCCGCCCAAAATTTGTATTTGACCTTCTGGGTCATTTGATCTACTGGGTCTTGCCCTTCTGGGATGGACTTATTTTTTCTATTCAATTTTTATTTTGTACATATTTAGCTTGTCAGATTATTTATTCATTTTTTTATTAAATTATTAATTGTTTGGGTGATTTTCCGCAGTTATGGGATTGCCATTTCGATGTCATTCTCTTTAATATTTTTACACAATTATAAAAAATTTTTTTCTCAAATTTAGCCTAAATTTTTTTTCCTAAAATGTCTGATTCTTCTACAGAAAATTCTATTCCGAGCAATATTGAATGCAGTCGACTTTTTGTCAAAAATTTGTCTGGAGGTGGTAAGAAAAAAGGTTGGAATGAACAAAAATTGCGTCAATTATTTGAAAAATTTGGGGCTATTACCGACATTAAATTGAAACTAAATGACAAAAGTGGAGCTATAAAATTTGCATTTGTTGGGTTTGAGAATTCTTCAAGTTGCCAAACTGCTTTTGAAAAATTGAATGGAACTTTTTTGAGGGGGAAAAAGTTCGAGGTTTTTTTATTGTATCTTCATTAAATCAAAAATTAAATTGACTTGTGAAAAAGACTTGCTTTTTGGCTAATTTTTCTGCGGGGTTTTCCCCCAATTTCCGCCTTTCGCATGTCAAATGAGAAAATTCGTCTCTCAATTATTTTTTTTGATTAACAAAATAGTGTTAAAAAAACAGTGAAAATGTAGCACTAACCTATAACTTTTGTTTTTGGCAGAAAAAATTTTAAGGATTTTTTTACGTCTGAAGAGGTCCGCAAAATGTCCAGAATTCCTTAAGGGACTCAAAAAATTTTTACTTTTAATTCAGATTGATTTATGCAAACCACTCCCTGAGGAACGAAAACAATTAACAAGAGAATTTACTTTACGTAAAATAAGGAAACAATGTGCTGAACAAAGTAATGAAGAAGAAAATTCAAAAGAAGAATCTTCCGTTGATAAATTAATTGAAGAAAAAATTATGGACACTGGACGTTTGTTTATTTTTTTAAATTTTTTTTAAAAATAAAATTAATTTAAGGCCTATTTTTGAGAAATTTACCATTTTCTTGTACTGAAGAAAAATTAAAGGAATTACTTGAACCTTTTGGAACTTTGGCAGAAATTAATTTAATTATAACTAGAGAGGGGCAATGCAAAGGATATGCGCTATGTTCTTTTATGTTTCCTGAACACGCATTGGAAGCCTGGAAAAAATTGGATGGGCAAATTTTTATGGTTAATTTTTTTAGAATATTTTTTTAACTTTTATATCTTAAGATTAGAGACCGGTGCGGGATTTTCTGAGTATCCGCGGGAGTTACGCAAGCATTTTTTAAAGTTACTCCCGCATGCGGGATCCCGCAAATGCGATTTTGCCGGTCTCTATCTCTGTTCCCTTGTATTTTTTTCTCTTGTTTCCAACCCCTGGATTTGCCCTTGGCACCCAGTCTATTTTTATAAGTTATACGAATATTTAAAATGGATTTTGCTCCGATTAGTGATGGGAGACATTCATAGCGAATTAAAATAAAGAGAAAACTTTATTTTTGGAACAAAAATTTTATTTTACCTATCTTGTTTTTTATAGTGTCATTATCCCTTTTAAATCAAGTCCTGGCCCATAACCAGGGGTAGGGGGGTCAAGTCTTTAGATTTTATAATCTCTAACTAATCGAATTTATTTTATTTTAAAGGGAAGAGTGCTTCATATAATTGCTGGTGAAGAAAATACCAAAAAACCAATTCAACTTGGCGAGAAAACTTTGTCAAAATTTCAGACAGAAAGGGAAAGTAACAGAAGAGGAGAAAATGCAGAAAAATTAAAACAGACCTGGAATTCGTTGTTTTTGGGAACAAATGCTGTAGCTGATTTGTTGGCAGAAGATTACCAAGTGACAAAGAGGGAATTGTTGTTGGAAGAGAAAGGAGAGAATAGGTTGGGATTTTAACTTTAATTTGGTTTTTTTTGAGTATAAGTTTGATTATGAGATAGGAGATACTGTCGAACACCTCATCACATATAAGATACACCTCTTCATAATTTGGGTGATAACTTGTTTGGGGCGACCTTAGGCGATGAGAGAGCCGTAATGCCATAAACGCCGAAAAACCAAACCCTAAAAAGCCGCATATATGGGTGTTCCTTACGCCTTTTCATCTGTCATGGTTCACTTTTTGAAGTCTGTTTCGGCACACTCCTGCCGCATACTCTAACCGTTATTCCAAATGCAATTTTCTTCCCAATGGGGTATCCTTAAATGAGAGATTCGACCACGTTTGTAATTTTTCTTTTTTAGTGCTGCTGTACGTCTAGCAATGGCTGAAACTCGTTTGGTTCGTGAAACAAAAAAATTTCTTCTAGATCATGGAGTTAAATTGGATGTATTCTCAAATCCTAATTCAACTGCAAAACGTTCAAAAACAGTTATTTTGGTCAAAAATTTAAATGGGAAGCCTGGAGGAAGTGAGGAATTGAACAAAATATTTTCACGTTACGGGCAAATTAAAAATGTTGTAATGCCCCCAGGTTTCTTTTAATTTTTTATTTTTCTAAAATTTTTTAAAGATCATGGAATCAGTGCATTAGTTGAAATGTCAAGTGAATTGGATGCTAAAAAAGCTTTCGAAACTTTGTCGTATTCAAAACGTTTTCCAATAACCGATGGAAGGCCTTTATATTTGGAGTGGGCGCCTATTGATGTTTTCGACGAAAATCATAAATCGAGACAAGAAAGGTTTTTATTTTTAAATGGTTTTAAAAGAAGTCAAGGAGGGGCCTTTCTAAAACTTGTTTGTTGAACTTTGTGGTCTCCTTTTTCATTTTTGTCCAAAATTTTTTTTCCTGTGGTCAATACTTATTAGAAAGGATTAAAGATTAATCCAGCATGTTTGAAAAAATAAAACACAAAATACTGAAATATTGTTAGTCTTGGGAAGAAAAGTTTGGAAGCATTGAAAAAAGAGGATAATAAAGACTACTTATTTTAAATAAAAAAGTTAAAAAAGATTAGGACTTTATTTAATACTTTTAGAAAGAATGAGTCACGAGCTCAAAGTTTAAAAAAAAAACTAAAATTTTACACAGAACCGTCCTTAACCAAGTTATTCTTCTGTAATTGCTGACTATTTTCATTCAATTTTGAGTCTCTTAAACTTCAATTTTTAATTTTCAGTAATGTTTTGACAAAAATATCTGCTGATTGCGAAAATAACGAAGAAAATGAGGAAGAATCCCCATCAACAACTAACCAAAAGAAAGAGGAAGAAGAAAAGGAAAGAACGAAAATTCTAGTTCGTAACGTTCCCTTTCAGGTTTTTTTTTTAAATTTTAAAAGATTAAATTATTTAAAATTTAATTTTAAGGCTAACCCAAAAGAAATTTCTCAATTATTCTCTGCTTTTGGTGAACTTAAATTTGTTCGGATACCTAAAAAGGTTTTTTTTCTTTTTTAATTTTAACACTGAATAAGTCAAGTCTCATTATATAAGATACTCCTTGAAGTTGAGAAAATTTGACCTTATAATGAGGTTTATCTTAAATAGGAAGGTGTATCGCTTAGGCACCAGGGATTGGGTGTGCGAGGTAACTCAAAACTAGATACCCTAACCTTTTCCGACCCAAAATCCGAAACAAGTTGAAACCACGATACGAAACCCGATCTTTTTTCTCAACCGGCCAATGCTATTGAAACGGCTCCCCAACCCTGTGATCAACCGAGTTTTGAAAAATTTTATCATAAATTGAGATGTGTATCTAGAATAACAAGGGCGTAGCCCCAGGGTTCGATTTAAGGGCTATTATATTATGGCTCATTTCCCTCCCAAAAATTTTCACATTCTCCCATTTCGGGGGGGGGGGGAGGGCTTTGGTATCGTATCCTAATTCTGGAGGGCAGGCCCGTAACCAGGGGGGGTGGGGGGGGGGGGAATTCCCCCCCCCCCCCCGAAATGGGAAAAGGGAAAAAATTTGGGGAAGGGCTGGGGCAAAAAAAGTGAATTTTTTTGGCCTACGGCCTCTGAAATTTAAAAAATTTTCGCCTGCGGCGCTAAAAAAGGAAGAAATCTGGCTCTTTGAGGTCCAAAATTCAAAAAATTTTCGCCTGCGGCGCTGAAAATCAAATTTTTGGCGCCTGCGGCGCCGAAAAAGTGAATTTTTTGGCCTACGGCCTTCAAAAATTCTCAAAATTTTCGCCTGCGGCGCTGAAAATAAAAATTTTCCCCCCTTGGCCCCCCCCCCCCGAAAAAAAATCCTGGTTACGGGCCTGCTGGAGGGGTATCTTATATTTAGTTTTTTGATTAATATTAATTTTTCAATATATTTTTCAAGCCTGGCGGTGAAGGAAGAGGTTTTTGTTTTGTTGAATTTATTTCCCCAGCTGATGCTAAAAGAGCAATGGAAACATTAATGCATTCAACACACTTGTATGGAAGAAGATTAGTTTTGGAATGGGCAAAAATGGAAGAAAATGTTGAGGAATTGAGAGAGAAGGTTAAAAGAAAAAATTTGTTATTAATTAAAGGTAAAAGAAATAAAAGGGAAAAAATGAGATCTTTCGAAAATTGAAAAAGGAAAATATTTTTTCTTTGTTTTTGTTAACTTCTAGGTATTAAAAAAATTTAGAGTTCAAAACGAACCGGATTTTCAGGATCCGGTAGTTCTTATCCGGGTATTTTGATAAAAATCGGGATTTTCATTTTGGTCCGGAAAATCCGGATCGGATAAAAAAAAATTGAAATCCCGAGACGGAATTCGGAAATTTTTCAAATTTCGAACTCTAATAATAATTTATTGGGAGAAAGTCTTCATTTGTACCAAAAACTTGATATTATTTATCCCTCACCGCCATTTGCTTTTCTCTTTTTTTGGATCAACAAATCGGAGTTTCACTTTTAATTCGAATATAATTTATTTATGTCCTTTTGATATGTAATTTGTAAAAAGGAAAAATGAAAAGTAAATGGTGGAGGAGGAGGGTAAGGAAAGATAGGTGGAGGGAGGGGAGATAACAGAAAATATCAAAAAAATTGTTTGTTTATTTTATAAATTTTATTTTGTTATTGTTTACAAAAATATATATTTTATAATAAAATTATTAATTTTAACTTCTTTTTTAATTCTTAGTTTTTATTTACATTTAATATTTTTTTAAATTTTTTTTTGTATCTTTTTAATCTAGTAAAGATAATTCTTTAAAGACAAACTGACAATCTTTAAATCAAAAAGGAATATTTGTTGTATTAATTTATTATGACTGGAAAATTGAAGCAAATATCTTCAAGTTGTTGTTTTGGTGGATATCAAAATGTTATGGAGCATTTTAGGTTTTTTTTAAATAATTTTTCTTCTTTAAAAAATAAGAGGTGTCTTAAATGTGGGGCTTTGTTAAAGCCTTCCACCATTCACTGACTAACCAAAATCTAAAGATATTAGTATAAGGTAAGCCCATAATGTTGTAAAACACATATAGTAATGAATGGGGTATCTTAATGTCGCTTAGGCAACCCCCGCCTTCTAATGACTAACCAAAATCAAAAAAACCTAACTTAAAATGAGGTTATCTTATAGCGGGTACACCCCGATATACCGGAAGCCCGGTATACCGCCGAGCTATAACTGTGTCCAAAATTGTCAAATCCGAGAGGCCCTGGTATAGTTTTTAATTCAGCTTGTCGAGCCACATCGAACCATAACCGTCCGGATTCGACAATTTTGAAGAAGTTATAGCTCGGCGGTATACTGGGCTCGCGGTATATCAGACTGCTCCATCTTATGTGAAGGAGGATTATTTTTAAAACAATTAAATTTTTCAGCGATATTTTAAATTGTAAAATGAAATTTGGAATTTATTTGCCGGATTGTTGTGTTTCCAAAGAGCCAGTTAGTGTTCCTATTCTTTTTTGGCTTTCGGGTATTTTTTATTAAATTTGAGGCAATTTTCCCCATTTTTTTAAAGGTTTGACTTGTACAGAAGAAAATTTTATAATAAAAAGTGGAATGCAGCGGTTAGCCTCAAAATTTAAGGTTATTGTTGTGAATCCAGATACAAGTCCAAGAGGAGAAGATATTCCTGTCGGAATTGATGGTGATCCAACTTTTGGAGTTGCTGCTGGATTGTAAGGGGTTTTTTTTGTTAAATAGTTTTTTTTTGTATTTGCTAGGCCCAAGTGTGCACACCACGTATGGGCCGGATGAGGATAAAATCGGGTCAGATTTCCAAAAGTTTCTAGGATTGGGTTCCATGTCGAAAAAAGTTCGGATTTTGGGTATCCTTGGTGCACATTCAGATCTTTCGCGACTCACTCAGTTAACCACCAGGCATATAACTAAACATAAAACATAAATCTAGCTAATTTTGGAACTATTCAATGATCTCATTAAGCTGTTTCTGGTTTCCTTCGAAATCCCAAAGTTTATCGATTCTTTTCTAATTCTTTCCTTTTTCTTCCAATTTTTATTTTTTAAAGTTATTTGGATGCAACAGAACCAAAATTTGCCAAAAATTACAAAATGTATTCTTATTTGATTAAAGAATTTGTTCCTCTTATTTTTGAGGAATATAAAGAATTAATTATTAAACAGTTTTGCGGGATTTTTGGACATTCAATGGGAGGACATGGTATCTTATAAAAATTTGGCTCTTGTCCAGTTTATACGTTCAATCACACCTTTATAAGTCCAATAAAAGGTGTATACGTCCAAACAAATTTTTTGCGTCCAATGGAAAGTTATGCGTCCAATAATATTTTATGCGTCCAATCGCATATTTTAAGTACTCGGTTCTTCAATTTAGTACCATAAAATCTGGGAATAGAAGGCTCTACTTACCCAGTTTTGATACTCACGGATATTACAGACCATAGGTTTTGACACACAGAACCGAGTACTTAAAAATGTGATTGGACGCATAAAATATTATTGGACGCGTAAACTTTCCATGGACATATAAAAATTTGTTTGGACGCATGAACTTTTCATTGGGCTTATAAAGGTTTATTGGACGTATAAAAGTGCGATTGGACGCTTAAACTGGACAAGGGCCAAAATTTTTTCTTTGAATGTTAAATTTTTTAAAGGAGCCTTAACTATTGGATTAAAACATCCAGAATTATTCAAATCAATTTCTGTTTTTGCCCCAATTTGTAATCCAATGAAGAAAACTCCAAATTTTGGTTATAAACATTTGGAAGCATTTTTGGGTCCTTTAGAAGGCGAAAATATTTTAGAATGGGAAAAGTACGATTCTGTGGCTTTAGCGTCAAAATATCAAGGACCGAAAGTTGAAATACTTTTTGACCAGGTGGTTTTTTAGAAAAAAATTTTTTTGGGTCAATTTAAAAAATGTTTTCTTTGAGTGGGGTTCGAACCAAAATTATCAAAAAATATAAGAGTGGCATTATATCAGAGAGTTCTCGATTTTGTGAATCGTATGACAGGATTCTTAGAACAGAATATTAATCAAAAGGCACATTTTACGATCCCCCTTCTCTCCGATTTTTTTCGATGTCGGAAAAGACTCATTCAATTCCATATCTTATTTTGGTATTTTTACAAATTTTGATATTTTTAAGAAATATTTTCGTTCAGTATAAAAAGAGTAGTATTAATATTTTATCTTCGAATCTTATAAATTTTACACTTTTGGTATCCGTATCGTCATATTTACGGTGGATAGAGACAATATTCGCAGGCATATTGAACTTATTCATGTTCGTATCTGTATCCAATACCAATCCTGATTTTGTATACATATGATTTCCCTCACGGTTCTTAACTCGATGTAAAGACTTGGTCCAATTTCAGTCTTAATTTAATCCGAGATATGATTTTTTATAAAACCGGGATGCATTAAAAGAGTTTCAAAAAATATAAAAAATCTTTTTAAGATTATATTCCAATTTTTCTTTTTAGGGTTCAAAAGATCCATTTTTACAAGATTTATTACCAAATAATTTAATTTCTGTTTCCAATCCGAATATTGTTTGGAATTATAATTTGCGTGAAAATTATGACCACGGATATTATTTTATCTCAACATTTATTGAAGAACATTTTTCTTTCCATACTAAAAATTTTGGGGACAAAAAATAGAAAAAGAAAAAGAAAAATAAATAAAATTTTTAAATACTTTTTATTAAGTTTGAACGTTATTATTTTTATATTTTGCCTTTTTTTATCTGTTTTATCCGCACTTGAAAAAGGAATATGAATGAATAAATGTTAAAAAATTATTCTAAAAAGAGTTTAGCAAAAGTTAGGTCACCGGGCAGGATTCACCTACCACATACAGGAGCTCTACCTCTGAGCATCAACTTTTTCCCTTTTATGTATATCGTTTACCCCCCGCCTAGGCGTTTTAAATACTGCTTTGTGAATTATTACATTCTCTCAAAACAGAAAATTCCTCTGCAATTTGAATTTACTTAGAATAAATTTCAAATTTTTTTTCCTAAATTTAAATTTAAAAATTAATATTAATTTTTTGGGTATAGAATGGGAGAAGCCTGTCAAAACGTTAGTTTCCAGTGTTAGTAGTCCGCAAATATAGTTGCTGACGAGTCAAAATTTGTCTTTTTGATCAGATTAAATTTTATTTTATTTTCTTTCTATCCACAGTGTTAACGATATCCTTAATTACCCTTTAAAATATTTAGGTCAAATCACACGTAAATAAATCCAGTCATCCACTAATTTAGGTCATTCCAAACAATTTTAAACAATCATTAAGAAAATTCCACAATTTTAAATATTATTTTTTAATTAAAATTAAAATGATTCCAAATTTATTTTCTCCTCAACAAATTAACACTCAAAATAATAAAAGTTCTCCTTTAATATCTTCTGAGCCTTCAATTAAAATTGCTTACGGATCTGTGGGTATTAGCCTTTTTTGTCTTGGTGTAATGGCGTTATTGCTTCCTTTGCTTCATTATCGGCTAGAAACTGCCTCTACGGATATTGAACGTCGAATGGATGCTTTTAAAGTAGAAAAATGTTTTCCCCTTTAAAATCCTTCTAAAAATCGTTCTAGTTCGCCTCGAGAAATATTTGGAAAGAATTATTATTTGAAGAATCGGGAAGTCGTGTTCGCCGTCAATCTGGTGGTGATTACGGGGCAGAAGAGCAATGCACAAGTTGTGTTCAATTACAATGCCCTCCTGGGCCTCCAGGTCCGCCTGGAGTTAATGGAGAGGATGGGGTGGATGGACAGCCTGGACGGCCGGGAAAGCCTGGTTTTGATTATCAAAAATCGTTTTTTTTAAATTTTACTTTGAAGGACTTGATGGACTGGACGTGCCTCTTGAACCAGAGCCCAGCTTTCCATGGTTTCTAATCCAGATAATTCAAATTTTAACCATCTCATAGCGTGATCTGTCCAGCAGGACCTCCAGGCAACAGAGGCCCTCAAGGCGAAGCAGGACGGCCTGGGCCACCCGGAGAACCTGGTCATGCAGGTATTGAGTAAATTGAGAATCAATATTCCTCTAAATTTTGTTAAGGTCTACCGGGAAGGCCAGGGAAGCCTGGACGTGTTGGTGATGCCGGATTGCCTGGTGTGAGAGGAGAAACAGGAGAGCCTGGCATGAAAGGTCCTCCTGGAGATGACAGTATCGGCGGAACCGGAATCAAAGGGCCGCCAGGTCCTCCCGGCCCGCGCGGACCGAAAGGACCACCTGGGCCCAATGGCACGCCTTCACAGAATGCCGGACCTCCAGGACCTGTTGGAGAGGTATTTGAGTAAAATGATATCTTTAAAAAAATTTTTTAAATTTTAGCCAGGACCACCTGGTCCACCAGGTAAAAACATTAATTTAGATACTCCCTAAAGTTATTTAAAAAGGTAAAAGAGGAGAGCCAGGACCTCCTGGGCCAATAGGAGCGCCAGGGGATGCTGGAGAATCTGGAGGGCATTGCCCATCCTCATGTGGAATTCAAAATATTATTGCACCCTCAATTGCTGAATTAGATACTGGAGATATTCATCAACCAAAAAGTGGAGGTTATTGAGAAGAAGAGATTATTAAATTAATAAAAAATTAATTGTTAAAAAGTTTCTTATTTTAAAATTTTAATAAAATTTTAAGTTGTCAAAAAAATAAGTCAAAACGACATTCTTAATAGGAAAATATTTAAAATAGGGTAGCACCCCGTCCCCCGAAAAAATTTTTAGCGAAAACTCCGACACGACCCCCAATGAATTTTTTTCTGGCAAAAACCCGACACGAACACTGAAGGTTCTACCCCGGCAAAACCCAAACACGACACTCCACCCCGAAGGCTAGACGTGCTACCCTAATTTAAAATATTAAAGGTAAAATCGACATTTCCTGATTCGGATTAGGTTACTGGGTCGGTGAAAGAACCTGACAGGATCCGGTACGCAAAATATTTCCAGGAAATGATCCAAAGATCAATCATGAAGACCCCGGATTCGTGATCCGAAGGAAGTTCTGGCTCCTGTTTAGCACTTGTCCAGTAATTTAAACTATTAAATACATAACTAGCCCGTCTAGTCACCGACCTCCTTCGTCTGATCTAGTCCTAAATCCACATTCCCCTAGATTGTACTTTCCATTTTGGATAAACTTTAGCGAATTGTTGTGCTTGTCAAATTTGAGACAAATCTCGGATAAACCCTGGACCTCACAATTGGTGTACTTACAACCGTAAAGGACAGAAAATGTGTAGAAATAGGGGGATTACTATCAAAATTTAAATTCCAAATTTAATCCTTTCTCTAGTTTAATAAATGTACTTTGACTATAACATTAATAGTAATACTCTTCATTTTCTGAGTGCATGTACACAACACGAGGAAGGTCATTTTAATGGAGATAAGAAGGGTTTTGTGTTGGGTATGTTTATTGCTTCTGTCCATCAACAAACAAAAATTTTGCCTTTCTTCCATTTTTGCATCATGCAAAAAAAAATTTTTTTCTCTGCTTGACCCATAAAAAGGGAGAAGAAAATGACCATCCACCCTTATCGACGTCAACGAATTCCAATGCCAAAACCTTGTTTTTAAGCAAACTTTCTTTGATATTTTTAAATTTTCTTTTGTCTTTCTCGCCTTTCTAGACGATATTTTTGATTAAATTATTGGCATGGGTGCATTTGAATTATTTCGTTTAAAATCCAGTTTTCCCCCATATCTACACATTATTCTGGGGTACATCCCAACCTACCGCGAGGCCAACCTACCGCCGAGCTATAACTTCGTTCAGAATTGTCGAATCCAGGACACCATGGTATGGTTCGATGCGCCTCGACGAGCTGAATCGAACCATACCACATGTCCCAGATTCGACAATTCTGAACGTAGTTATAGCCTCGGCGGTAGGTTGGCCTCGCGGTAGGTTGGCCTGCTCCCTTTCCCCCTATCTACACATTTTTTCTGTGTACCCTCCCCTTTAACCCATTTTTGTACTCAATTTTTTCTCAGAGTTGCACCCATTATGTACCTAAAAATATTTAATGTACTTGTCCTCCGCCCATTTATCTGATTATTTATATATTTTTTGACCTAGAATGTTCTCCTTCATTTCTTCCAAAACTTAAAGAAAACTGGGTTCATTCCCATTTAACTTAAAGAGGTTTTTATGTTGACTCGGTTCAGTTCCCTCAATATTTCCATAACTCAGATTTGATGCAGTCAAACTCTTCATTGTTGGGTACTTCTCGGGTTCAAAAAGCTCATACCCTATAATGAAGTGTCTCTTAAATAGAGAGTATGTGTTTAGGCAGTTCCATATTAGGGATGTCACGGGTTGAAAAAAATGTTGGGTCGATTTTCTTCGGATCGGGTATCGGGTCGAAAAAAACACCAGGTTTCGATAACCCGTGACATCCCCGCTTCACATCCAATGGATAACCAACTTTCAAAAAATGTTTCTTGTATGTTTCTTGAATTCGACGAGCTGAGTAGAAAGACACCAAAATTTTTCTTTGGAAACCACATTGGGCCGAGTTACATGTCCCCGAAAATTGAAAAATCATTGAGAGGACCATACATATTTTTGGAGGACCAAGCGCATAATTTAGATTTTGAAATTTACAGAAATGACAATTCACAGCTTTACACCTCCAGTTATTCAAGAAATGAACAACACATCCCCTTCTCCTCTTTTGTCTTACAAAGGGGAGAAGCAAAAGCAACAACAATTTTCATTTCCCCCACATAATTTTGTTATTGATATTGTTACTCAACAACAAACTTTACAAAATTCTGGCAAAAAACGTCAGCATAGAAAAATAAACGAATTAATCCCCATTCGATTTGTTATTTTGGCAATTTCTTTGTTTTGTTTGTCAATATTAATTGCCAATCCTTTGGCACTCAATTTTACAGTTATTTGTATGTATAAAGAAGTGCCAATGGTGAATAATGAGGGACTAACTGTAAATTTTTTAATATTAAAATTTAAAGCTGGTAATATTGAACCTAATAGACCCCATTTTCTTCCTCCCCAAAGCTTTTCCTATTTATGTACAGAATGGTCCTTCTATAAAAGAGGCCTTCTATATTTTGCCTACAACAAAACAAAAGAAATTAATTTTTATTCCCCTTTAGATGGAAGTTTGGGGGAAATTTAAGGAAGTCTGACCATTCTGCAATTATATAGAAAGAAACTTCGGGGTTTTTTTAAACTTCGGGTCTGTCTTTGTGTGTGTGGGGAGCCTTAGAGCTTTTTAAGGGGGGGGGGTGTGACTCTTTCAATAGGAGGATTGACTGAAAATTAGCTTTGTGGATTAAATTGTGTTATCATAGTTTTCTCAGACAATCCTAAAATAAGGGGGAATCTTAGTGGAAACAGAGGGTAGTTCAAAGAGGTATACCGTAAATTTTGAAAGAATTACCCTCTCTAATAATTACCCCAGGTTGTCTTTTCCAGACCACTAAATTAAAGCACAGCCACTGAAAAATGTGGAGAAAATAGGTCGAAATCGGTCAAACATAGGGAAATTGCCCTATAAATAGGGTAAAAGACAACTCTACATCAGACCTGCTCATGGACACAGATTTTGCTATCCGTATCCGGATATATCCGTGAGGTCAATATCCGTATCCGTTTGTATCCGTCGAACTTTTTAGGCATATCCATCCGCGGATATCCGCGGATATATCCGTTTTTTCTCAAAATGGTCAGCCTGGCTACAATTTTCAAAATGGTCAAATTAATTTAAATTCAAATAATGGTTAGATAATGAGGTAATAACTGCATGAAGCAAAATGAACCTTGCTTATGAACATCGGTGGTTCGAAAATAGGAATTCCGAACCAAAGTTGCTTATCAGGGATCATACCGACAAAAAATAAAATTTTGAAAATTTTTGAGAATTTTTGAAAAGTTAAATTCCAGGTTTCGGGCCGAAATGAAAATTTCGGTGAAAATTTCGGTTAACTGACCAGTTGATTTTAGCGCCGCGGGCGAAAATTTTGAGAATTTTGGAAGACAAAGAAGCAAAAAATCTTTCATTATCAGCGCCGAAGGCGAAATTTGTGAAAATTTTAGAAGGACGTAGGCCAAAAATTGCCATTTTTTGCCCAATCTCCTCATCAAATTTATCCCTATTCCCCATTTCGAGAGGGGGCGGAGGAATTCCCCTATACCCCTCTGAAAATTTTAGTTTGCTCAGCTAAAAGAGTACGAGCTAATTTTACTCGTACTTACCACTGAATTTGGCCTGAACTTGTAATTTTTATCTTAGGGTAGGCACATTGGAGCGTCGTAGATGAAAATTTATAAAGTGGAAGGCTAAGAAACCAGAGTTCTTAATTCTAGCGCCGCAGGCGAAAATTTGAGAATTTCAATGATTTAAAAGCCATATTTCTCTTTTTTAGCGCCGCAGGCGAAAATTTTAGAAATTTTGAAAGGCCGACAGCGAAAAAATTCACTTTCTTTGCACCGCAGCCTAGAATTTTGAGATGGATATCCGCGGATTTGAAGTATCATATCCGTATCCATCCGTATCCGTCCAATTTTTTAAAAAACACTATCCATATCCATCCGTATCCGCGGATATCCGCGGGTATCCGGATATTATCCGTATCCGTGAGCAGGTCTGCTCTACATTACCCCTAGTTATTTTGAATTATTTCCTAGTTTATTTTTAATTTTGGAAGTTTTTAAGACATAATATCAAAAATAAGTCAATTACACCTCAATTTGATTGAGATCTACCCTAAATCCAGCACATCCTCCCTAATAATTACCCCCTCTAGCGAGAGATTGAAACAATAATTACCCAGAGTAATGCAACAATTACGATATCTAATCATAGTATTGAGAGTAAATTAACAAATTTAATGAATAAATTTAATTATTTTCCCTTCAAAGTTGTCAAAAAATTCAACAGAAAAAATGAACGATGAATTTCTTGAACCTTTATTTACTTCAAACGAGCAAAGTTTGCTTTTCTCAGCTATAGCTATTGGACAATTAATTGGCACTTTACCAATTACTAAAATTTATACTCGATTTGGGTTAAGGTAAATAGAAATAGTTGGTACTTGTGTTATGTATATCCCCGCATTTTCCTTATTTTCCTAATTTGACAGGCTACATATAACTTTTTATAAGCGCCTCGATAAGCGCTATCTTTTTTCTAATTGGAAGGATCAAGTCTGATAACTAGGGCTCGGATTTATATTGAAATAAAATCGCAAAATATTGCCATAAAATATTGAAATAAGTGGGCAAAATATTGACAAAAACTGCCAAAAATTAGTTTGTGGGGAATCTGTGGGGATATAACACAAGAGTACCTCAAATATTTTTTAATAATGAAAAAAAATTTTGAAGAAAATTACTGGCTACTTATGGATTTATCAGTTCATTATCGACACTTTTAATTGTACCGAGTATTTACTTGGGGGGATTTCATACACTTTTGATTTTGCGAATTTTTCAAGGATTTGGATTGGCAGCTATTTGGTTAGCTACTGGTGGGGTTTTGTTGAAATTTTATTTGAAAATTTAAAATTTTTCAAGACATTTGGTGTTGTTAATAACTGGGTTAGCACCTCTTCCACAAACCTGATCCGGCCCCGACTCAACTTTCTTTGGCAAAAACCACGACCGGTACCCCAAAGGCTTTACGCCGAAAAACCCTGATCCCTGACGATCCCGCCCCCCGAAGGCTCAGGGTGCTACCATAGTTTTAACTTGTAGTAACACACAATATACCGTATTTCCTATAATAGTACTCCCGGGAGTACTATTTTTCAACCCTCCTCTAAAGGGGATCAGGGGTAAGCGCAAGAGGCAATTATGAAACCGCAACGCAAGGCCAGAAATCAACGCAATGCGTTCACCCTTGACGGAGGAGTATTAAGGGGGGAGTACTATTTCAGGAAATACGGTTTCCTAAATGATTATTGATATATTTTTTAAGGATCATTTTTGTATTTAAGTTTTAAAAATTATTTTAGGATCAATTAGCGCCCATTGGTCCCCATTATCAAATTCTGGTATTTTCCTCGCTGTTTTAACCTCCAGTTTTCAACTTGGCCCAATAACTGCAATGCCTTTGTCTGCCGAATTTTGCTCGTCAGAAATGTTTGGATGGCCAGCAGTTTATTATTTATTGGGAACAATTTCTTTGTTCCTTTTTACAATTTTTTATTGGATTTATAGAGATTCCCCTAGAGAACACGAGTAAAAAATCGGAAAAATTCAAAAAAAAATTTTTTTTGTTTCTCAAGATTCCTTTCTGCTCAGGAATTGTCAATTATAGAAGAGGGAAAGTCTTTAAAAGATATTTCTGTTGGACGTAGAAGACGTGGAAAGGAGATTAAACAAAAAACCCTTTATATGGCTATTCTTAAAGATTCAGCCTTTTGGGGCGTTTATTTGTGCAGTGCTACAAGTAATCTGGCATTTCAAGTATTTTGGCAATTTGGACCGATTTATTTGAATAAAGTAAAATTAAATAATGGCACTCCTAACGTTTAAGGGGCAGGGCCGCAGTTCTCTGACCATTATGAGCTCAAATATATTTTTTTAATGAATCAAGATTAATCCTTCTTGACTCCATACTAACAATTATTTTTCATAAATATTTCGTGGATCAATGGAAGTTTTGGGGTCAAAAATGGAACTTATGCAGTTTGCCTACACACCCCATTTACCGTATTTACTCGATTAATTCCCCAGTGGAATTATTTTTTCAACCCATCCGTAGCATGGGAATTATTCAAGGAGGGGAATTATTTGAGTTTTGAAATTTGAACGTGTAGTAGGGTATTTGGGGGAGGGGGATTATTGTTTCATCTCATCCGTAGCAGGGGGGATTATTCGAGGGAGGGGAATTAATTGACTCTTGCGAGACGCTGGCTGGTTAACACCGCACGATGCAGGAATTATGCCCAAGCGTTTCCCGAATTCATATGGTTACTTTGACCATTTTTAGCTTGCGAATAAATAGGGAGTGTTCCCAAACTGCATAAGTTCCCCAATAATAAAGGTCAGAAAACTGCGGCTCCCGTATACTGCAGGAGTGCATAAAAATAATTTTTAAAATTAAATTTAAATTTTAAAGGCATTAGGTATGGAAGTAGCCAAAACTGGTATAGCTTCTGCTTTGCCTTTTTTATTGTCTTTAATTGGAAAAAATTTTGCTGGGCAAATAAGTGACCGTCTGACCTCTGTTTCTGAGAAGGCTAAAGTTATATTTTTTGCTAGCATCTCTCAGGTTTTTAAAAGGAGAGGTGTGTATATTTCTTTTAATTTTTTGTAGTATTTAATGGGTGCCTGCTTTTTGGCAATGTCATTATTTCCTAAATTTGGCATTGTTAATGTAACTTTAATGCAATGTATTTACACTGCTGCAACTGTTTTTAGTGGTTTAAATACTGTTGGATTAATTAAGGGGGCACAGCTAGTAAGTTGTGGAATTGAAATTATATACTGTATTTTCTCGAGTAAGAGCGAGGGAAAAGTTTAATATCTCGCTCAGGCCTTGAAGAGGTAAAATTTTCTGCAACCTCCAGGCAGTTATTGCTAGGCGCTTTCGCTCACTTCGTACAGCTGCTGTACTTACTACCGGGACAACTGCTTTCATCGAGCTAGAGCACCTGTACGTGGGCGGTTTCAGCTTCTCATTTAATGGATCTTAAACCCCCTCTTAGTGAACGTTATAAATGCTAGCCACCTCTGAATATTTCATTGCTTTACCTCATCCTCTCGTTGAAATATTAGCTCCACAGGTGAATTAATCGGGAAAATACTTTATTACTAAAAATTTATTTGTTTTAAACACTAATTTAAAAAAAGATGTCAAGTCAATTTTCCCATGTTATATTTTCTTGGACAACAATCCAACTTAGCGTTATTATGTTGTAAGTTTTGAATATAATTAAAAATTAATTGGTACTTACTTTTCTGTTATACGCCCACAAACTGAATCTTATAGTATTTGAAAGCCCTGGATAAGCGATTAGGATAGGTAAGTCTGATCGCTCATTAAGAGGTTATAACACGATAAGTCCAGTTATTTGGAATTTTTCACATCTATCGGGTTATAACACATTAACGAGTGATCAGACTTATCCATTAATTTAAAAAAAAGATAGATTCATCTTATCGAGGGCTTTTGAATGATATAAGATTTATTTGAATTGGATCAGGCATCGAAAATTTAACGCCGATCATATTCAGCTGACACTAATTTTGTGGGCGTATAACCGCTAAGTACCCATTAATTTTTTTTTTCAAAATTTTAGAATTCTCCCAATGATTATTAATTTTTTGACACCGACAAATGCTGTTGAAGAGGTAGAAATAAAAAAAGATTTTTAAAAGATTTAAAAAAATATTTTTAGTGGGCAGATGTTTTTCTACTCGTCACAGCCTGCATTTTCATTGGAACAACGTTTTTCAATTATGTAATTGAAGTTGAGCCTAGAGAATGGACTAAAACAGAAATACAAAGTCCCAAATTAAGTACAACAACAGTTCCTGGAACGACTATAAGTGCTGAAGAAGGGAAAAAGTTGGGATTGGAAGTTTTACAAATTAGTTGAAAATAAAGGAAAGGAGGAAAATTTTTCTGAAAAATGGGGTGAGGGCTAACTCAAGGAACAGACAACTCGAGGAACAGACAATTCAAGGAACGGAAAACTCGAGGAACGACAACTCGGGGACGGACAACTCGAGGAAGGGACAATTCAAGGAACGACAACTCGAGGAACGGACAATTCAAGGAACAGACAACTCGAGGAAAAAAATTAAAAATATTCCATTAGTTGGTCGTCCCATGATTTGTTTTTTCCTTGAATTGTCTGTTCCTTGAGTTAGCCCGACACGGAAAATTGGACTTTGGATCATTTTTTATTTTTTTTGTTTAAATTTTTTGAATTAAATTTTCTTTAAACCGCAATTGCTTTAAATTTCTGAACTATGCTTACTTTTATCCCGAAAAAAAAATCGAAACAAATTTATATGCCCTAAATCCTCTATTATATTACCACACAATTTTACTAAATGTTTTGAAGCCGAGCTTTCAATAAGATACACAATTGGAGTAGAAAACTAGAATAAATAAGAGGTTTAAAGGGTGTATATCACTTAGACAGTTCCCCCTCCCCTTGTAGCTAACTAAATTAAAAAACGTATCGGAAATTTAAATCAAAGGTGAATCGGAAATGACAAAGTTGCCGGAAATTGGAACTGTCGGAAATCGAAAATAACTCAAAAGTCGGAAATCAGCCTAGGAATTACGATTCACCTCTGACTGAAGTGCATCTTTGGGCTATATATAGAGGTTTTTCATGCAAGATGGAAATATAGAACCATCGTGGAAAGAAGCCAGACCAGCCAAAAGTCTGGCTTTTGGGGTGGGGGACTGTCAAAGTGATATACACCCTTTAAACCTCCTATCTATTCTATTTTTCTACTCCAACCAGACAAACTATAATCACAACCCGATGATTGGGATTATTTTTAAAAGTTTGTATACCACTTCTGCAGGTAAACAGACAAAGACTATTATTTGTCTGCTAAATGTGGTACTCTAATAGAGGATTTGTGAATGAGGATAGTGTTCAATAAAAACGATTTTCTCAACTATAATCTTGTAAAAGGATCTTTTCTCTTCAATTCTTTCAACAATTTCTCATTTATCGTAAGATCCTCCTCAATTTCCGTCATTTCCATTTCCTCCTCTCCCTCCATTAATACGGCGACGTCCACCACCGCGATGACCGTTACCACCATTTCCATTCCCTCCACTTCCATTCCCTCCATTGCCATTTCCTCCGTTACGATGGCGACGTCTTCCACTGGCTTGTTGGCTACTTTCACCAACGCTTTCAGATGTTCCAGGTGGAGAGTATTGGATATAAAACTAATGAAAAGAACATTATAAAATTCCAATTTCAAGTTTGAAGTATTTTTTGAAGAAAAAAAATTCCGAGGAAAAAATAAATTTGGAAAAATATTTTGAAGGAATACACTTGTTATAATTAAAGGTACCTTATATTCTGCAGTGACTATAATCGGACTCGTAAATAAAAACACACCTCTCGGATTTGAGGTTGAATTGTCACGCCTTCACGGATTTGCTCTGTTTCCATTAATTCATGGTTATAAACTATAGCTTGAGGATGCATTTGGACAATCAATGGTTGAGTTATATAATGTAGTTGAAGTTTTACTTGAAGATATGGGCGTTCTGTGATATATTCAGAATAGTAGAGGTGGTATAGATTGTAGGTATTATTTGGTCTGCCCTCTCCTTGAATACGAAATGGTTCAAACGCCTCAAATTCTTCCGTAGTTATTCCCGAAGAACTATCGTATACTTAAATTTTATTAAAGATTAAAAACCGTTAAACTTCTCTTATTCCCCTTTGAACCTTTATTTATATGTATTATTATAAGGGAACTTATGCAGTTTGAATACACAACCCATTTATTCGCGAGATAACCCTCATTTATTAGGCAACTTGACTAACCAACCCGTTTATTCGCGAACTAGCAAGAAGCCTATATTACAGCGTACTAAACAAAGCAGCTCTCGACTCTTGCGAGACGCGTGCTGGTTAATGCTGCACGATCCGAGGAATTATGCCCAAACGTTTTTCCGACCTCAATATGGTTACTTCGACCATTTTTAGCTTGCGAACAAATGGGGTGTGTACCCAAACTGCATAAGTTCCATTATAAGTAGAGTCAGGATTTTTAGGCACGATAAAGTTAAAAATAGGCGCCTAGCACTAAAAAAGCAAATTTCTCAAAAAATGCGCAAATTTTAGTAAAAATACATACACTGCTCCACATAATTATAAGTCCACCACTTTTTTCGGGATTTTTTTGACTTCCAGTGATCCAAATTTTCTGAAAATTTAGAAACACACCTTTTAGTGAATAACTAACAAGATGTGAATCGATTTTTGGCAGATTTTTTAATTAAAAAATTTTTAGACCAAAATTTGCATTTTCGGCCTCCACAAAATTATAAGTCCACTTTTCAAAAAAGATATTTCCAAGTTTAGGAAAAATCTACAAAAATTCTAGCAAAGATACATAATAATATTACGAAAATATTTATAGAAAATTCGATTAGAAAGATATGTACGGGTCGTAATTTTTTGATGCAGCAAAAATCGTCTAATTGCCCCATAAAATGCCCTCTAATGACACTTAGAAAGTTTATCGTCTTGTGTCTCTCTATGGAATTTTTCTGAGAAATAAGACTTTTGCTATCTTGTAGCAAATTTCAAGGGCTTTCGAATGAGCCCAAAATCAAAATTGAAAATAATCGATAAGGGGTCGAAAAATTTTTTTAAAGAGTCTTACCCCCGTTTTACGTTGATTTTTGAGGTCTCATGATCTCGGTTCCAGGAAAAGATATGGGTCTAGTTCTTTTTTATTTTTTCGTAATATTGTTATGTATCTTTGCTAGAATTTTTGTAGATTTTTCCTAAACTTGGAAATATCTTTTTTGAAAAGTGGACTTATAATTTTGTGGAGGCCGAAAATGCAAATTTTGGTCTAAAAATTTTTTAATTAAAAAATCTGCCAAAAATCGATTCACATCTTGTTAGTTATTCACTAAAAGGTGTGTTTCTAAATTTTCAGAAAATTTGGATCACTGGAAGTCAAAAAAATCCCGAAAAAAGGGGTGGACTTATAATTATGTGGAGCAGTGTATGTATGCAAAATAGGCTGAAAAAGGCAAAATAGGGGCATTTTGTCAGAAAAAGTTAAAACAGACAATTTTAGCCAACGATAAAGGCAGTTAGAAAATCAAGGCATGCAAGCTTTACTTCCCTAGCTTAGTCAACAAATTAAAAAGTGAAAACCAGAAGCCAAAAAGATCAAAACTATTAGAAACTGTTTAACTTAGGGAATTACTTCTGTATGTGTGTATCATCGGCACGTATTCAGAAGACACAATTGGGTCGTATTGACAATAAACAGGATGTCGTCCATGTGTCGCCAAGTCTAACTCGTCAATTCGAAGATTTCTGAACAAACTGTTGGTGCCTTAAAAAGAAAATTCAAAAACTACAGCTTTTTTAAATCACCATGTAAAGTCCTAAAAGCCTGATTTCTCAACATATCATGCAAATTGTTTGCAGACAATTCATAATAATCGAAAGTAGCTACATATTGAAAAATTGATATTTGTAAGCTAGAATTTGATTAGAATAAATTACTGTATTCCCTGTATTATAGCCCCCATCCGAATTAGAGCCCCCTCCTTAATAAAGCCCCCGTTTCGAGGATGTTTGAAAAATAGAGCCCCCCGTCTGTATTAGAGCCCCCCGTCTGTATTAGAGCCCCCCTCTTAATTAGCCCCCCTCGAATTAACCTTCCCCCTCTCAATTAGCCCCCCTCTAATTAAACTCCCCCCTCTCAATTAGCCCCCCCTCTAATTAACCTCCCCCCTCTCAATTAGCCCCCCTTTAATTAACCTCCCCCCTCTCAATTAGCCCCCCTTTAATTAACCTCCCCCTCTCAATTAGCCCCCTCTTAATTAGCCCCCCCTCTAATTAACCTCCCCCTCTCAATTAGCCCCCCTCTCTTAAACCCCCCTTTTCGGAATAGTTGAAAATTAGAGCCCCATGGGGCTCTAATACAGTAAATACGGTAGGTGTGTGACAAAACTTATTTTAGAATCGGAGTATAGAAAGCGATGGTGAAACTGATTAACACAAGGGTCTAGTGTTAGCTGATAGTTGTAAATCTTCGGAACCCGGATACGCCAACCTTATTCTACTTCAATATTGTTTATGAGACTAAAACTTCATTCAAAACATTACCTATAAGAATTATTGTCCTCATCTTGAAGAATGGGCAAATCATTAAAACGAGTAATGTATGCATTTGAAGTATCTTGGATAAATGACAAAATCAATCTTCTAGCCAAAACAATCAATTTGTAATAAAGATATAAATTCCTCTCTTTCTGTAAAATTAGAACTAATAAGTCTTCAAGTTGTCCAAATTCTTCGCTCTGACTATAAATTAATAAATTAATTTTAATTTATTAATTAATAAATTTTAATTTATTAATTAATAAATTTTAATTTATTTACTCGATTAATTCCCCTCCCTTGAATAATTCCCCATGCTACGGATGGGTTGAAAAAATAATTCCCCAGGCGAATTACGAAATGCGGTATTTGCTTGCTTAGAAAAATAGACACCGTAACACTAAATATAAATTTTACCGAATATCCCATAAAGAAGAAGGAATAATGTTCATATCTCGTCCTTCGTCAAAATCATCTATATCTAAGCCATAATTTCCAATAAATTGATTAAAATCGTCGACAATTTTTCTATAATCCTCGATTCTTTTGTTAATAAAAATCTCCCGTTGGTAATTTTGTTGCGGAAGTTGGTAGTAATTTTGTCGTAATCTTCTTTCATAATTGTTAAGAATTCGCGTAAAATGATCTATCACCTTTAGACGTTTAAATCAGTCATTTTTAATAGAAATTATTGTATGTATATAGTACGATAACATTTTACACTAGGTTAGCACCCCGTCCCTGATCCCCGACACACCCCGACCCCGAAGGCTTGGGTGCTACCCTATTTTACACCAAAATTAGTGTACAGGGTGCGTAAAAAGTTCCCGGAATTTTTAAAATTTCAACTATTGGGTCTAAACATTGATTATTAAAACAAAATTCGTTCACAATCATATTTAGCACTATTTTTGGTTTAGAAAACATTTAGTCTATAAAAAATTTTCAGAGAATAGATGTCAAAAAGTCCTCTCAAAACTCCCCCAAAAATGTCGTTTTATGAAGCACTTGGTCGCAGCTGGTCGTATAGCTTAATTAAATATATAGCTTAATCAAATAAACAGTTTGCATTTTCGACCCCCTCCATTTGGAATGCCCATATGAAAGGGGATTGAAAGATAAGTATTTTCAAAGATCCTGGATCTGGATTTAGGTTAGTAACCTGGACAGTATACTGATCTGGATCCAGAAAAAATCAAGGACGATCAAAAATGCCTGGATCTGGATCCAGGAAAAATCCAGACTGGATCCAGATCCAGACCGATCTCTAATAAGTTATTCCATTTTAACGCAGGGTTTTGATCTCGAATTTTTAAATCCGCAATTTTGAGCGCACAACATTTGCGGATATAAAAATTTATTTAATTCTTTTACTAGTCTTTTTAAATTGCTTAACCACAATTGTTATAATTAGAGTTGTGATTTTGATGTCATTCGACTCAGCTCGTCGAGCTCTTTCGAATGAGCTATGTTTTGAGAAATTCGTCGGGTCCGTAAGTTTCGGTCCGCAAAAGTCGGTCCGCAAGTTTCGGCCTGCCGAAAATAACCTTCCTATGACCACAAAAATCCGCAAATCCGCATTTTTAAAAATAATCCTCATCGACCTATCAAAAAACCAAAATATCCTAACCCTGCTTTAACTTGAGATTTTTTCTTGACGAGGGGTGATGTAAAACAGAGGTCCGACTTATTAAAATATGTAGCTTTAATATACATACCTCTCCTATTTTACGTTGAAAATTAGCAATGGTTGGATCATTTGCAGGCAATCCAATTTCATCTAGAACTTCACCGCCTCTTTGAACGAGTGCGACTTGCATATCATTTAAATAATTAACCTCAAAAATTCGATTATAATCAATTTTGTTCAAAATTTTAATCAGAAAGGACAACTCAGTGAGAGAAAACGTGTTCAGATTGACAGGGGCTTGGCCTTCTCCAGCTCGCATCCTCCCTATTTTTGATAAAATTAGTTGAAAATTTTTTATAAAAACTCTAGAAATTTTACCACGAGGAGGGTGCATTCCTTCGACGAAAAGGGAATCAAATCCAATAAAACAGAAGGCAATAAATGCCTTGAAGAATGTTTTAAAAAACATTCTGGCAAAGAAGTTTACTTGGAAATAATTGAATATAACCTTCTGAAAAAAATTTTTTATTTAAAAATTTGGAAATATGTTCGAATTTTTACCCAAATAAAATTAACATTAGCTATCGACTCCCAAAGCATTCCCCCCAAGCATATAGGGCCCCAAAGCATATAGGGCATTTTTTGGGTAATTCCTTATTAAATGTCATTTTAAAATAAAATGCGTGGGTTGTATTAGCCTTGGCTGTTAGCTTTAGCTAATAAAATCAAGCTTGGGGGCAATGGAAAATAGTATAGAAAAGGTGGAGACAAATTTCTTTATAATATTTAATTTGAATTTAAATAAACATGTGAATAGCTAAAACATCAAAGCTTTTTATTTAGTGAGGGCTCTTTGCAGTTGGGCTTGTTTCGAAATTTTGAATTTTTTTTCCAAAAGTTTCAACGTTCGCAAAATTTCAACCCCTCCCAACAAATTTATAGTATTATTATACCACTGCAGCCGTCCTACATATACCCTTGAAGGAAAAATCGTAGCTTATAATGAGGGTTACCTTAAATACGGAGTACTACTTAGACCCCCTCATTCCCTGCAACTAGCCAAATTAAAAAATGTATCATGTATTGGGTTTATCTTATAGTGAGGTTCTACGGAAAATTCTTGTATGATGGAATCCCCCTTATACCCATATCTCGGTCCGTAGTTGAGTTTGATGTTGTTCACTCAGCTCGGTCCAGATTCGACATATCTGGATCAGAACCGTAAAGTGCAGTTTAGCCCTTTTCTCAAAATTTTTAAGAGGTTAAAGATGGCTTATCTTTCCAATTTAAAGGTAATACTGCGAGGAAGATTTTTTTAAAATACATAAATTAAAATTTGAGAAAATGAAGAAATCCCTCTGTTTTAAGGAGGAGCTAGATAGCATTTTTAAAACATTTTAGAAAATAAGTTTACCTAGAAATTTTTTAATAAAACCTTCTTAAAAAATTTTTTACTTAAAAATTTTGAAATAGCTATTTATGGCAATCAAGTAGAGAAGACTGATTTTCAAATTTTTACCCAAATAAAATTAACATTAGCTATCGCGACTCCCAAAGCTTCTCTTAATAGGGCATTTTTTGGGTAATTCCTTATTAAATGTCACTAATAAATAAAATGCGTGGGTTGTATTAGCCTTGGCTGTTAGCTTTAGCTAATAAAATCAAGCTGGGGGCATTGGAAAATAGTATAGAAAAGGTGGAGACAATTTTTATAATATTTAATTTGAATTTAAATAAACATGTAAATAGCTAAAACATCAAAGCGTTTTATTTAGTGAGAGCTCTTTGCAGTTGGGCTTGTTTCGAAAGTTTGAGTTATTTTTCCTAAAGTTTCAACGGTCGCAAAATTTCAACTCCTCCCAATGTTCAAAAAAGCACTGTCTAAAAATTTAAAGAATTCCAGTATGAAAGTTTCACGTAAAAATTTTTCTGAGAAATATTTAGGATAGTAGACAGGACTGTATACTTTATAAAAAGTGGCAGAATCCGATCAGAAAACACCAGATCAGAAAATCAGAAAACACCTCCAATCAGAAAACACCTCAAACTCAGTCTTCATACCAGTGGTCCAGCAAAGAAGTATGCTGGATCACTGGAAGAATGCTGGGCCATATAATGGTTACATCACGTGGACGCCGAATCAAGAAAATGTTTGTGCATTACTAAAAATCTTGTGGAAGAACCACCGCGCCTTGGTGCCGAACAAATGGAAGTTGAAGCCTTTGGAGGCTTAATGAACAACCCACTCAAATTTTACTCGCCGATGTACGACTCAAGTTACAAGGTTCAGATGTAACATGGGAAAAATGTGTGCTCAATCGCGTCCAAGAAATAACCAAACCATTCAATACAGTTCAGCCAGATGACAATGAATTCTTGCATGGAGCTAACATTGAAGATGCTGTTACAATTTCACACGAGGCACACTTTTGGAAGTATTTCACCAGTTGTAAATCAATATCAAATGGACTCTACCTTACTGATACTATCTTTGGCAAAATGCGTGGAGGAGAATCAACTTTTCGACTCCATAGCTCAAACAAATCAGTTGCAGTGATATGTGCTGACCAAAGAAAACGATGAGTGATAATGCTGACCAAAGAAAACGATGAGTAGCCCAGCTTCAATGGAAGTGTATCCTAAAATCCCTATCCTTGTTATTGTTCTATATCTATCAATTACTTCTAAATACTCTGTATCCCTTAATCGAGTTTATTTTCCAGCGCCGCAGCGAAAATTTTGAGCATTTTGTAGACACAACAAGCTAGATTTCTGCCCAATTTTTTACCGCAGGCGCTAAAATTTTCTGATTTTAGTGTGTCAGAAGGCGAAAATTCACGTTTTAAGCTAATAATTCTAGGAAAAAATTTACGAATTAAACGCCGTTTGGAAAAACCGTATACTGTTTATGCCGTTAATTTGAGACCCGTATTCCGTATCGTTTAATTTTACCAAAAAACCCGTTTACCGTTTAGTTAAACGGTTTTGTGCAACCCTAATTTAAAGAATAATATTCTTAGCGCCGCTTAAATCATTGCATTGTTGAATCCCTATATTTTATTAAAATTATTATAAAAAAGACTAAAAGGGATACCTGAGGAATAGGAGGGGTTAAAGTGAATATCAAGGGATAGTTGCATAGAATCGATGGATCAAGAGGTATATAGCAGGGATGTCGTCATATCATATGTGGCCGTCATATCATATGTATGTGGCCGCCACGTGTCATATGCGGCATATGATATTATAAATATGATATCGTATCGTAAATATCTACAATTTGAACAGCTATATTTGACATGACATAAATATGACACATCATATGAGAAATATGATGTAATTTGAATAGGCCCCATAAGTTGATACGAATCTATTAAGCGATGAAGATGATTATGATGATTAAATTTATTTATTTTATTTATTAACAGAAAATCTTCTCGAAATCACTTAATTCGACAACAATGTCGTAGAGTGGCGCATATAAAAAAGCATAAAAAGTCTCAAATAATTTAAAAAATACCTATATATATGTATGTATAATATATAAATGTACATATTCTAATTAATTTATCTGTTCAATAAGTATTCTCCATATCGACTATATTTTTAATTTATAATATGTATTATAAATAAAAAAGTGTAAACGTATGTCATTAAATTTTGTTTAATTGAAATTTTGTCAAAATTTAAAGAATTAATTTCTTCTACAATTTTGATGTGTTTTTCATTGTTTGTAATATTTGCTGCAAAATTTAAAGGAGAAAATTCAAAAGAATTGCGCTTAGACATTGTTTAGTCCAAAATATTACCAACTGTTTTTAAATTTTCCAAAGTTTCCTCAAAAAAATGAAAATTGTTAATACTCTGGTTCTGGATCTTTCAGCAGGAGTTAGCCACAGGCCAACATTTAAGAGCTCACACACCACATTGTATTTTTTAAGCATTTTTATTTAAAAAAATATTAAAATTGAGATTAAGCTTTTAAAAAAATTTTTAAAAATTAATTTTTAACATTTCTTTTTTTCAGTTATTTTTTTAAAGAAAAATTACTCATTATTTTTCTTTTAAAAATTCCCTAATTTCCGTTTGTCTTTAGGGAATTTAAAATAATTAAATACATAGATTTTTATGTTTTTTTGACCTTTAATTTAAACAGAAAAAGGGGGCACCCAAACAAGACTATTTTTAAATATTTTATTTTTTTCATTAAATTTAATTTAAATTAGAAAAGGATTAAAAAAAGTTTATTTTCTTTGGTAATAGTGTCGTTTCCCAGCCCCCTTTTTTTCCTCCCAATTTTCTACCCTATGTTTGTACGGAATGGTCAAATTTTCCCCTTTCTTTCATCAAATTTGCCTTTCCATATTTTGCCTAAAAACAATCAAAAAAGATTAATTTGTGATATTTAAATAAGTATTAGAATAATGAGAAGAATCATTTTCCCAATTAATAAAAATGGAAGAACTAAAGAATTTCAAACCTATTGATTTATATGAAAAATTACGTTTGAGTGATAATGATTTCGATGCATGGCTTGAGAAGCTTGGACTTCTTCATGGAAAGAGAACTTGCTGCAAATGTGGGGGTCGAACAACAATAAGTGTTAAGAAAGACGAAAGATATGGATGTTGGCGGTCAACTTATAAACGAAAATTCAGACATCAAGCTGGCAACAACACTGAAACCTATAAAAGTTATCTCCCGGAATTTATGTGGCGAAAACGATTTGGCAATATTGAAAATGTTTTTTATAATTTTTGGCATCATGTCTCACTTTTTTATCCTTGTGAAAGAAATGAATAAAAAATTAATCTTTTTTGATTGTTTTTAGGCAAAATATGGAAAGGCAAATTTGTGAAAGAAAGGGGAAAATTTGACCATTCCGTACAAACATAGGGCAGAAAATTGGGAGGAAAAAAAGGGGCTGGGAAACGACACTATTACCTTTTCTTTTTTTATTTTGACGTGTACGCCCACATACCTATTAGTTAATATTTATAGAGCTTTTTTAGAGTGCTTACATAAATTGTCTATTTTTAGAAAGGGGGGAAATGTCCATTTCAATTTAGCTTTTCCGGCATTTTTTGTTTAGTAAATAAACTTTTTATTTAACTATTTAATATTATGTATATACAAGGTGCGTAAAAAGTCCTTGCCTTCTTTTTTGAATAAAAATTTAATCAAGTGGAATTTTTCCAAATAAATTTACAAATATAATCACAAGAATGTGTGTTATTAGTTTGTAAATTTATTTGGAAAAATTCAACTTGATTAGATTTTTATTCAAAAAAGAGTGTCGGCAAGGACTTTTTACGTACCCTGAAGTACATATATAAAATTTTTTTATGTATGACTTATAAACTAAAAATTAAACAACCAAAAAAAATTTTTCTGGACAAAAAATAAATAATTTTGGTAATACCTATTAGTGTCGTTCGACTCGGGGATGTTGTAGTGGACAGGAAAGGGGTGGAGCGGCACTTCCTTAACCTCACAAAAAATCGGGTGGTGGTCACTGTTTAAGAAAAAAGGTTGTGTCGGGTTTTCAAAATTTTCTTCGGATCGGTCTCGGATTGAATAAAAGTCTGGATTTCGGACAGCCCCTGACACCCTTGGTTCGCCCCCTGATTCTTTCCGTTTATTATTTGAATTTTTGGTACTTTTGGGGTCCTATGGAAAGAAGATTCGAAATATCCCTTATTTTATTAACGCTCTTTTTAGGTTTACCAAAAGTCTTTAAAAATACACAGCCAGGTCATGTGTTACTAGAAATTATAAACCGGACTTTTTTCTTAACCCGTAACATCCCTCCTACACAATAAAACCAAAAAACAAGGCTATTTTTAAATTTCAATTTCACCTTTTTCCCCCTTTTAGATGATTAATGCTTATTTTTAAATAAAAATAGACACATTAAGCACTTAATTTAAAATGTATTTATGAATGATGTTTTTTAAATATTCATATTTGGCTTCTTTTTTTGTTTGGCACTTTTATGGAAAGCGAGAGCTTTTTGCTTATTTATAAAAAAAATAAATATACCTGTCTAAAAGAATTTTTTGAAAATGCCTTTTTTCTTCTATTAAATTGACCCTCCATTAGACTTAACCCCTAGGATCTCATTCAAGAAAATACGCTAAATAACTGATTATTCTATTAATATTTACATAAAGGGTCGGGGTTTTCGAGTCGGGCCGACCGTGTCTTTTTCGGGTCAAAATTCGATGGCCGACTCGATCTTTCGGACCGGACCCGGCCCACAACCCTATATACATAGGTAGGTTTTGGTCCTGAAACCGGTAAACTTTATTAAGGATTTCTGTTATTGGATCAGTCTTGATCTCGATCTTAAAAAAATTTAATTGCATACTTTCTAGCATATGCCTATTAGGTATATTTTTTGTTAAAAATTTAGGCGTCGTTTTTTTTCTTTTTTGTAAAATCCATTTTTGGATAATTTTTGAATTAATTAAATTTGTGCTTATTTTTAGAGGTTAAATTAATAAATAAAAATATTTCTTGGAATTCCTTGAAACTGAAAAATTTTTTTGCTATTTAAATTTCTTTCCTCTCTTTTATTAATTTAATTTAACCCCACAAAATAAATTATAAATCAAAATTTAGAAAAATAATAATTAAATAAACATTACCTTCAATTAGGATTTTTTTCCAAAAAAATTTTAGTCTTTAAATGTTTTTCCAGTAATTCAAAATTTACTTCCTTTTTATTTTATTTTTATTAAATTTAAAAATACTAGATTATAGACTAATTTTATAGAAACTCAAATTTTAAAGAAATTATTCAAAAATTCTATAGTGGAATCTCTCTATTACGTCACACCCCCTCGAACCGAATTTTGCCCATAGGAGGAGATGTGACTTTGGAAAATTGAAAAAAATTTCTGAAAATTAAGGAGACGATGTTAAAGAGTTCTTCCATTATTTTTTTAATAAAAAAAAGTTCCTGATTTTAGGACCTCAGTTGTGTATATGCCCCTCTTGGTAGAAATAATGGTAGTATAATAAAATAAGGTTACACAATAAAGTTGGGGCACCTTGTGAACTTTCGGATATCCGGATCTGATATCCGAACCAAAAATGATGGATATCTGGTCTTTTTCGGATCGGATATCAAGAACTTAATACACATTCTAAGATCCGGATATGATTCGCTCAGTACTCTCATACTTACGTAATAATTCCACATTAAAAACGCCCACTAAAATGGGGGAGTAAATAAGGACCGGTGAATTAAATATAATTTAACTAGTTGGATAATGACTAAAATTTTTTTTTGTATTTTATTTCGTCAAAGAAAATTTTTTTATTTTTTTCGTAATATTAAAAAACAAAAAAAAAATATTTTTTAAAAATTGTGTCTTGTAAAACATTAATTTTTATATTTTTACAGTAAAAATATATTATTTATTTTAGTTGAATCCAAGCGTGTCATTTTGATTATTTTTTAACAAAAAATAACAAAAAAATTTTTCCAATATTTAAATTAGCATTTAAAAAACTAATTTATTTTTTTATATTTTTTTAAAGTTTACCAAAACTATAAAAAAATTTTATTTATTAGAGAAAAGGGTTGGAAAAGCAAAAAATTTTTATTTTAAATTTTTGTTAAAAATTTATTTAACAAGAACCAAACAGGGTTAAGTGTTATCCGAACTCCGAACCGCAGACTTTTTTCGATCTGAAACCCGATACAAAGAAAAAATTTGGGAAACCCGATCCGACTTTTCTCGATCCGTGGCATCCCTGAAATAAGCTTCATTATAAACACAATCGGATTTTGGTTTTACTTATACAATTTCTATTTTTGTTGGCTAATGTGGTGGAAGTGTGGTGGAAGTTTGTTGGCTAATGTGGCCACAAAAGGTTGGCTGATAGTTGGAAATTTTTGAATATCAGGCCTATTTTCGGATCCAGATATCCGGATCCATCAACCTTACTTTCGAATACCATTTCTTCAACTCTAAGAACTTTTCTCGTTCTTAGAGTTTTTCGTAAACCAAACCGTCACAGAAATTATCGGTTTTCGATTCGGTTTGGTGACCCCCCCCCCCCCCCACTACACGTTCCTAAAGAAGTGACTTGTTGTGGGTGCAAAAGCGTATGTAAAATTATGAGTTGGCTGTATAATTTTTTCGCCCTACGAGAATTATAAAAAAGTGAAGTTTGGCGACTTTTTTAAAGACACTTAAGAAAAGTCGACTAGAATAAAAATTGTTTATTTAAATTAATTTTAAAAAATGTACTTTATTATTAAATTATATTTTAAAATAAACAAGAAAGAGAACTTTGGTTAGATAATTTTATTTACCCTCAAAGAAGACCACAAATGTATTTTTTATTAAATTCCGTCACAAATTAAATTTTCTTTTAATTTCTTTAAAAAAATACCAACCCTTTTTTTCTTAAGCTTTCAAGTGCTAAAGTAGCGTTTAGGTGTGTTGCTTTTATTTAAACTTTGTCTGACAAAAAATTTTTGGTAAAAATAATGTTCCTCGCCATAAGATACATATGTATGTATACTATCCAATACTATTGCAAGGAAGAAGGGATATCCAGCTTAAAATACTTACGAGACGGGAGTTTAAGATCGTGAAGCTCACATCAATCTAGGGAGGAAAACGTCAGCACATCTCACAAGGAACCATCGTTTACTGTGACTGCGAATTTGATATATTTTTTGGTACCATTCGATAGAGGACCCTCGACTTAGTATTGTGGCGCTATCCGTTTTCTTGCAAAATTAGTTTGGGCCGAGTTATGGCCGTTCAAAGTTAGTCGCTAGAGTCTTGAGTTATAGGGTAAATAAACAACCTCTCTTATGTTTCATCCTCAAAGAACCAAGCCACGCCTCTTCTCTTTGTTTATTGTGTCTAACATTTTTCTCCCTTCTTTTTTTCCTCGCGCCTCTTGCATTCTTTTTTCCTCTTTGTAAGACAATGTGTAGAAAGCAGAGAGAGTGGAAAAAAGTAACAGCGCGCCTCTTTTAGCTTTTTTCAGTATACTCAACCACTCCCAAGGACTTAAACTTTGAACGGCCATAACTCGGCCCAAACTAATTTTGCAAGAAAACGGATAGCGCCACAATACTAATTCGATTGTGCTCTATCGAATGGTACCAAAAAATATATCAAATTCGCAGTCACAGTAAACGATGGTTCCTTGTCAGGACTGTCGGGACATCTCAGGATCCTACCAGCCCTGGTCTATTACACAAATCTATTTAAAATATGTTTCTTAAAACCTAAACCTCCATTTAAAGTATCCCTCATTATAAGACAAAAAATTCAATTCCAAGGGGTATCTTATAATTTAAAATTGCATGTTTCTGGTTTTATTTATCCTCCCACAATTTTTAAAGTAGTCTGGGTCACTCAACCAATACCTCCTCTTCACATATAGATACTTAATGGCAATATCTCGTATATTTATTTATTTACAATTTTTAAAAAAATTTCTTCTCAATTTTTGTTTAATCAAATTTAATTTCCATTGACGACATTTCTCTAAAGGGCAAGAAAACAAAGAAAAAATTTTCCCACTTAAAAAATCTTTTCTCATTTTATATAAAGTTTTCATAAACAGGTGAAAGCTTTTTAATCAACAAAAAAAGTTTTTATTTCCTTCTTTTAAAATTCTTTATTACAAAAAAATTTTATACAATCACATCTCGTTATAGAGTAAACTGTACGCTCTCGAGACTAAAAATCGTACACTAAACTGAGGTGTATTTAAAGGATGGAACGGGTTACTGGAAACTAAGGTTGTCGGACATTTGGTAATCTTCGGATATTCTGATCCGGTATCCGAACCGAAAATTTCCGGGTATTCAGCTTTTTATGGATCCGTATATCCGGATCCGGCAACCTTACTGGAAACTCGGTACACAACACTCAGGTTTTTTGACCCGAACCCAATGGAACTATTTTCTCACCCCGTTTCCTCACCCCGAAAAAAGTCCTTAGTGACATACACCGGGGGTTATTTTTTCGATCGACTTCTAGAGGGGGGGGGGCAATTTTAGAAGGGGGGGGGGGGTATTTTAGAGAAAATACTGTATATTAGTGGGAGCATCCGACGAATATTCCTGTTCTCAACGATTTTCTACCCTTTCTTTACTTATTCAAAAATTACGCCTAATATTAAAATTTAATTTTTAGTGTTCAAAAAAGGGTTTATCTCTCTTTATTCCAATGATTGACTTTAATTTTATTAGACAAGAAAAAAGTCAAAAAAAGTTTTTTACTTCCTTTCATAGAAAGCTTGTAAATTAGGTTATAAAAGACATTCTTGACTTTTTGAGAGTATATATTGACTAGAAAATCTTAGTTGAGGGATATTTATAAATTTTATTAATATAGTTGGACCTCAATCTTAAGATACCCTCAAGTTGAAACTTCTACATATTTAATAATGAGGTTTACCTTAAATAAAGGGGTTATCATTTACTCAGCTTCCCACATCCAATAGCCAACATACCCTTAAAGAAATTATCCTAAATAGAGGTATACCTAGTATTGGATGTCTCTTATCTAACTTGGTAATGGACACAGTTATCCGTATCCAGATATTTACGGCGGATACAGACTGATATCCGCAGGCACTTTGAACTTATCTGTATGCATATCCGTATACATTACCAAGCCTGTCTCTTATAATGAATCCTCAACAGAGCTTTGTTTCGAAATTTCGAGATTCGCGGATTTCTCGAAGATTTTTCGATTTAAAAGATTTTTGAACTTTTTCCGATCTTCGATTTTTAAAGCTTTTTTTTATTTCGAAACAGCATTTGCCTTCACTGAACTTTTGAGTAATTCATTTCAAAAATACTCCCATAAAGAACACAAAACATTACCATAATTGCACCATTTGAGAGACATTTAAAAAAGTTTTTATTTCCCCCCAATTTCCTCAGTTTCGCCCTCAAAACCAATTTCCATCTGTGGCACGTTTTTCCTCTTCAACCCCTTTTTCTTAGTATATCCAATTCATATTATATTCTAAAAACATTTGGGCATCAATAGGCAATTTGAATGGGTAATTGAAAAAAGGAACCCTTCAAAAAAATTTTTTTTAAATAAAATAACCAATTCCAAATGTAAAAAAGAGGGGGATGCCGAAAAAGGCCTTTCAAAAATTATTTTTTAAAAATTATTTATTATATTACGCAAAATATTTTTAGAAAATTTTATCTTAAAAAACATCATTTTTATTAAATAAAGACGTCACAAATATTTATTTTTATTTATTAATTATTAAAGAAAAAAATTTTTTTCGAAAACTCCTCCCTCCCCTTACCTTTTTAAAAAGTACTTATACTATAATTAATTCTCTTAAGTAGGGTTGTTGGCGACCGGTTATTAACCGGTACCCCCGGTTTTCGGTTAATCTAAATTTTAGAAACCCGGTTTTCGGTTTTGAGTTCTAGGCAAATACCGGTTTATTCTTGGGGGAATTTTTAATAAAATCACTCATTTTCACAAATTTCCGGTTTTCGGTTTTTATAATTTTCTAAAAGCGGTTAATTTTTCGCAAAAAATTTCAAAAATTCCGGTTTTAAAACCGGTCGCCAACAACCCTACTCTTAAGTTTATATACTATTTAATACATCTGCTTTTTCAAGTTTATTTAATTATTAACCAAGACTTTAAAAAAGTTCTCTTAAGTTTATACACTATTTCCATATGCCCTTCATTTTTTTAAGCACAACCTTAAAAACTTAAGTTTTATCTTAAAACTTGACGGAAATTAAAAATCTTAATTAAAAGTAAGCTAAACTTTATCTAAAAGAATATAAGGGTCTTTTATATTAAAAATTTTCACCTGCTTCTTTTCTATTAAAAAAGTTCCCTTTTCTATATTTAAATGATCATTTTAAATAAATTTTAATTTTATTTTCTCGCCTAAAATTAAATTCGAACTTCAGGATAACCCAAATCTTTTTTTTTTAATTTTGATTGTCCACTGGGTGTGGGAAGCTCTTATAGTAATACCTTCTATTTTAAGCAAAACTCATTCGATATCTTCAACTTTGTGGGTATTTACAAGTTCGAGTATTTAAAAAATAATTTTTTAGAGTTAATAAAAACTAGAAAATAATTTCTCTTCAATATCCTTCTTGTATATCCATTAACTAAACTACCAAAAAAGAAAAATGTCAAAAATCGTTAGCCAATCAACATCGACATCTCCTACATTTTCTTCTCCATCAAAGACTACTAGTAACCCTTCAATCAACAAATTTAATTTTTACCACCCTTCAACATTACTTTTTTGTTTCCTTTTTATCTTCACATTTTCAATCTCTTCTACTCAAGCATATCCTGCCTTTTATATGCAGGCAATCCCCCGAAAATCACAATTTAATATGGAAGCTCCTTTATTGCACCATGCTGCTCAGAAGAGAGCTTTTGATCGGTTGGATGTTTCTCCATTCGATTTTGATGCAATGACTAAACGATTTAATGATGATGAACTTTCATCCTTACCGGTTAGTTATGAAAAAATTTTTTTCAAAAAAAATTTTCTAATACAGTAAAACCTCTATATATGATACCCCCAATATAAGGTACACTTCTATTTAAGTAACGCTTTCTTAAAAATTTTGGTTGGCCGATGGGTGGCAAAAAACTCTTTTCTCTTCTAAAGAAGAGAACATTCGATATAAGGCACCTCTCATTATAAGGCACGATATTTTTCAGTCTTAGGGTGTAGCCTAAAGTGAGGTGTGACTGTATTTTAGTTGACCTTCTAACAATTTTTAAATTTAATTTTTTCTATTTTTTCAGTTCAATTTTGAATACTTTCCATCATTGGATACACACAAACGAGCTTTTGACCGACTTGAAGATAGTGGATTTTTTGGTCTAAGGAAGAGAGCATTCGACCGACTTGATAATTCATTTATGCTTTTAAAGAAATCTTCAGCTTGAAAAAAATTTATTTAAATTTACAATTTAGTTTTTAGTAACTGAAATTATTTTTTTGATACAGAAACAAACACACATTATTCTATTTAGTTAAACAAATTATGGTTAAACCTTGCTATAAGATACACCCAATATTAAACACATTCTTCTTGTAATGGGAGAACTAGCTAGGCGATACTAACTAAGATATATCTCAGTAAATTTTCAGCCCTAAAGGAGTATATGTATGTACTTCTGACTGACTTGAAGATAGAGGATTTTTTGGTTTAAGGTTCGACCATAATTTATTCAGTTACTAAAGGATTCTTTTAAATATTCCTTTAAAACATATTATATATATTTTAAAAAAGATCTCAAGAAACACAAGTTATAAATATTAAAATTTAATTTTAAACATTTTTATTGTCAAATTTTTAAATGTTCAAAATCAAAAAAATTTTTTAAAATTTTTTAAAAGTATGTTTATCCATGTTCCATATTTTACCAATCCTTCTACCAATAAGGCTAAAACCCTACGTTTTGCCAACACAATTTTATCGGCAAAACGTGAATTTTAGTCTTATTGGTAGATATGGGTTTGGCATAATATGAGGAGTCATAATAGGGTAGCACCCCGTCCTCCGACGAATTTTTAGTCAAAAACCCCGACTGAACCCCGAAGGCTCTACCTACCCCGGCAAACCCCGATTCCCGACGATCCCGCCCCCGAAGACTCGGGGTGCTACCCCAAATTATATTATCAGTAGAGATCGGAATTTTGTTCCGTACCGTATTCCGTACCGTAATACCGAAAAATACCGATACCGAAAAATACCGATGAAATTCAAAATGTTGCCGTACCGTATTCCGTACCGTATTACCGACTGTAATACCGATAAATACCGATGTTTTTCATCGGTACCGTATTCCGTACCGTATTTTTTTTCAAAATTTTTCCGTACCGTACTAGCGATACGGAATACCGATAAATACCGAAAAATACGGCCGTAGTACGGTACGGTCCGATCTCTAATTATCAGTTAATATTTTTTAAGGAAAGAAGTGAGAATGAAAGGATACAATTTTTTTTATTTTTTAGAGAGAAAAAAAGTCAAATTAAAATAAAAAAAATATATTTTGCGTTTTTATCTGTTTTTAACTCGGGAATGTCTGCACAATGAATAAAAATTAATTAATACGTTCCCGTAAGGAGATATCACGGCAATTTTAATTTTACTCAAAAAATAAAGGGTTATTTTGTTGATTGACAAATAATTTCTGTTAGATTCTTCAGCGATTTAATTAAAAAAAATAACCCCAATAAACATTTCAAAGCATTTTTGAAATTTCCAATTCTCGTTGTGCTTTATCTTCTTCTTCATCAACTAAGGCTTCAGCTAAGGTTGTTGGAATGTTGTTTTCAATCCATTGAAGGTCATCCTATAAAATTTATGAAAAATAACAAATAGAAAAGGAAGTAATGAGATAATATGCAAGGAAAATAATATCTAGGTAGCTAGTGTTTAAAATGTTTAAGGGGTGTTTAAGTGTTTAATGGGGGGTCTAGAATACATATGTAAGAGTTCGAGGAAAACCCATCTACTATTATCTGATGTTACGCAAGACTCTTAATAATAATTATTGAGATCACAGGTCGATAGAGACATAACTTACAGATTGACTATGTGCCTGGACTAGATGGCTACTCGACAGCCTTACTAATTCTTGATTTAAATATTTTAGAGTAGAGTAGCAACCCGACCCCTGAAAACCCGTCAGATTTTTTAGCAAAAACCCCGACCCGACATGGCTTCCCCGGCAAACCCCGATCCCCGACACATCCGCCCTCAAAGTGTCGGTTGCTACCCTAATCTAGAGTATTCCCAACCAGACATGCACGAAACTCCAAAATTTTTTCAGACGAAACGAAACGAAACAAAATTTTTTAAAAATCGTTTCGTTAACGAAACGAAACAGTAGAAATTTAGCGAAACGAAACGAAACATTGTAATTTTCAAAAAAAATTAAGAAAAACGGTTTTATTTTCTTAATTATTCGTTTTCAAACACGTTAATAGGCCAGCTATGACCTAAATATGATTACATAGCTTTGTGGGACCTTAAATTTTGGTCCCAAGCTTCAAAATTTTCGCGTGTTCCCTCCTAATCCACTATACCAGCCTTAGTTCCGCCAACTCAGCTCCAATCGAATTATATGTTGAGCAACTGTGTATATCGAGGACAGTGCTGTTATGGCTCTGGGAGCTAGCGTCGGAGTCGGGCTACGGCGGAGCTAAGATTTAGAAAACCTCAGAGCTGGAGCCGGAGCCAAGAAATTGAAATGCCAGGAGCCGGAGCAAATGTTTGCGAAAGGTCGGAGCCGGATCTGGAGCCAACAAATGCCAAGACATAGCACTGATCTCCCACCGACCCGAATCCTGATTCCCTAAAACCGGGAATTAATTTTATCGGAAATTACTATTCTCAAAACCTGTTCTTGATTCTCGTCATTTTTTAAATTTAATTTTTTAAACACTCCAAATCCACCGATATCGCGTTTACTCTCTCCTAATTTCCTATACCCCCATTGCAACCCTATTCATGATCATTCTCTCTTGCGCCCGCCCCGGATTGGCATTAAGAGGTAGACCCATTCTATAGGCCTAATCTGGAATAGATTCGAACTTTGCGTATTAAAAACATAAAATCAAACGGGAAATTCAAAAAAAAGATAGTAAATTATGCGCCGTAGGCGCTTAAAATTCAGATTTCAGTGCCGCAGGCAAAAATTTTTTGAATTTTCATCACCTACCGGGAAATTTTCAGTTTTTGGGTAATATTTTGGTCTAGAAAATAGGTAATGTTTCGTTAACGAAACACAGGTGTTTCGTTAACAAAACAAAACGAAACAAATTAAAAACTGTTTCGTCACGAAACGAGACGAAACAGGAAAAAACATAACGAAACTAACGAAACGAAACGTTTCGTGCATGTCTGTTCCCAACTTCCTAGTCTTCAAAATGATTTTGGGTCGAATTATGAGCATTTAACGTTCCAGCTTTTTGGGACAATTTGAGTGTTATAGCAATAATAAGAAGCATTATAAAAATTTGAAATTCTACCTCTAATTTGCTATTCTTGTTTTCTCCATCCTTTCCAGCAACATTTCCATTACTCTGTCCATTTTCTTGTTTTTTATCTCTTTTAGATACAACTTCATATACAGCTGGGCGTTGCCCTCCACTTTTTGTAAATAATTCATCTTCTTCAATATCTTCCTCATTTTCATCTTCACTATTATCCAATAAAGGAGTAAAAGCATAACGTTGATTATTTTGTGAAGGACGCCAGAGAAACATTATGACAACAAGAATTGTACAGAAAAAGATGTGCCAAAAGGCTGTATCTACCCATCTTTAATTTAAAAAATTTGTTATTAAATTTTATTAAGGGATTTCTAAAAAATAATTCAAATCAATTTAAAAGGTTAAAATTGATATCCTATATGATCATCCACAAGGCTTCTTATTATTCTATATCCCAAACTTTTTTAAAAAAGTGGAAATCCAAGAATGGAAATACACTCCCCGATCCATCAATTAAATAGAAAACTCTTTTTAAACTTTCATTTAACAAATAAATTTATTAAAAGGGAGAGAAAACTGACCAACTTAGGTCGATGTTAAAAAACGGGCGATTGAATAAATGATTGCATTTTGCCCGATTCTCTCTCGCCTTTTATGAGGCGCTAAAAATGGGATAATTACCTATGACATTTCTATTTTCCTTTAAAAACTAAAAATGGACAGGGGAACATAATGACAAGTCAAACATTCATAGAGATATCTTTTAACATTTTATGCCCTTGACCACTTGTAATTCTTATGAGAAAAAAGAAAAGGAAATCGAGAATGGATGTCTTCAAAAAATTTAAAAAAATACAACTAACAATTCCTTCCAATCTTTCATGCAGTATTGAAACAAATGCATCCACAAAGACCAAAACATGTAGAGAACAGAAATAAAAAGTCCCATGCCCAAAACATTGGTAAAATGTAAATATAAAGATAGTTTTACCTACAAAATAAATTTATTTTATAAAATTCAAAGATTAATTAAGTCTCAATGCTACCGAATTGGGCAGTAAATTAGTCCTTATGTTATGTGTATCTTAAATAAGGTACGCTTATGCAATTCACAAACACAATGACTAATCACATTTTAAAAAAGGTTTCTTATGTCTCCTCAAAATATTTGTATCAGACAGGAATGTCTCGAGCTACCTAAAACACGACATAATCAGGACTTTTTTTGACCCGAACCTCGATCGCAAAAGAATTTTGAAACCTTGACCTGACTGTTTTTCTCAAAACATCCCTGGTCTCAAATATGGGGTATATCCTATAATTAGCCATCTTTAGAATAAAGAAAACCTCATTCCGCCTTAATCGAAGTGCTCTCATCGTCGAAATTAAGGAAGAGAAGACCCACCAAGCAATACAAATTTCCAAGAGGGCTAAAGGCATTTTAGCAATCTGTTTTTCTTTCACAGCTTCTGTTGTTTGCTTAAAAATTAAAATTTTAAGAATCTCCCCAAAAACATTTTTAAAAAAACCTTCGAAACCCTTGTAAGTCCTTCAATAGCACAAAAAATAAAATATAACATTCCAACAGCAATTACTTGATTTAAAGTCGATCCAAGTCTAGGCTTAACTACTCCAAAACCAACAGAGACAATAATTACTAAAACATGAGCCATTGTTCGTTTTAAACAAGAAGTCAATTCGGCAAGCTTAAAGAAGGGTTTTTTAATTTAAAAAAAAATTAAAAAAAACCTCCAATAATCCTTCAACAGACTTTCCCGTTTGATTCATATTTGAATATTCAGCATAAAAAACAGCCTTTTCAATCATTCCAATCATTATAACTGCACCTAAAATTAGAAAAAATTTATTTACATAAAAAATATGTTGGGATAAAGATAAATGTCCAAAACGCTGTCTATATGTTAGCTAAAGACATTCAGCAGTTAAAAATAACTTTTGCAGAATGTCTTTTTCGGATATATAGACAAAGGAGCTGGACAATTAACAGATTTATGAAGACAGCCCGTGTTTATTGCAGATGCTAACTACAGCCATTTTTCGAATGCTAGGTGGCCGAGGGATTGAGGTAGAAAAGCGTAAAAATATGTTACAATGGAACATTTCGAACTGTCTAAATGCAAGGGCGTAGCAAGGGGCAACCAAGCAGAAATTATCCCTCTGGCTACACCAATGTCTAAATGTACTATCGAAAAAATATAAAAACCCCAAAAAATCCCTGCTCATTATAATCTAAATAAGTATCAAAATCCACTAAACTAACCTATCCAAAATTGAACACGTAAGAGGTCTTTCCAATGTTTAAGACAAACAATTAACCAAGCCAAAGCCATCAAAGTATAAAAAATACACATAAACCCATAAAAATGTAAAAGAGGATAGTCAATTGCAGACAAATATCCATAAGGACCACGCCATTGAACTTCGGCTTCGATTGTGTGATTTTTGGTGTCATCAGCAGAGAATTTAGTTATTGTAATTCTCAAAATGAGTAAATAAATAGCGTCAACAGGCAATGTTTGGATTGGATGCCAAGAACTAGAAAATTAATTTTTTAAGAAATGAAATGGACGTAAACTAGAAAAGGAGGTCCTTAATGTTAATTAAAGATTTCTTAAACAAAAGATGATCCGGGACAATTACATAATAGTGTTCGGAACGGATTCAGGAAGATTTTCATGGATGCGATTTTTTTCATAATCTCCGGAATTATTTCCGGACCATAATATTCTCTCAGGACCCGGAATCGAAAGAACCGGATTTGTGGCCCGGAAAATCCATTTATAATAGAGTTGTTCGCTTCTAGTTAATTTTCGACCGTGACGGCTCATGGCTTAAAATCCCACCATTTGAGTCGCCATAAGCGACAATTAACCGGCCGTGGTCAACCCCGAATTTTAAGATCAGGACCATTGTATTCTCCTCCTGACTCGGAATTCAAAAAAGGATTTTGGGTCCGAAAAATCAACTAATAATAGGGTTGTTCAATACTGGTTAATTTACGTCTGTGACGGCTACCGACCTTAAAATCCACCCATTTGAGCCGCCATAAGCAAAAATTAACCAGCCGTGAAAACCCCCGAATTTTAACATCAAAGTATAAAATTTGGGGTAAACCATAAAAAATATTTAAATTAAAAAATTTTACAAACGTCAAAGAATCTTTTGCACCTCCGTCAATAGATTGTCCATTAATTCCAGGAAATTGGTCATTTGCCCTCCTGCTTCTAGGCTCTAGACTTGGTAACTATTTTTAAATTAAAAAATTAACAAGAATTCAAAAAAGAAAATTAACCTGGTTAAAAGGAGTAACATTATAAACTTTCATCCCAAATTTTGGTATTTGTTCAAGAAAATGATCCCCAACAGAATTTAAACAAGAAAATCTTTGAGGCTTTGATCGATAATAAAGAATTTTGTCATAATCATATCCCGGAGGAATTTTGTTGTCATTTTCAAAGTAAAATTGCTGTAAAAATTAGGGGGAATTAATAAGTGGGTAAAACTCGATTCGCAGCAAGTCAAATTTTTAGTATTATTCGACAGCGCTCAGTGAGACGTCGAATCATACCAAAAATGGGATTCGACCATTATAGGGCTTGTTAAATTAAATTGCGGTAAATTCGACTTGCGACGGCCGTCTATCAAGAAAAGACAATTTTGGATTTTTAATGGTTTTCCTATGACTTAAACGAGGAAACGTAAAAGCTTTAGGTGTATAATGTCGATGTTCTGACTACTTATTAGTGATCGAGCTGGGTCTGAACCAAAGCCTGGGGTTTTCCTGTACCCAGAGTTCAGGCCCAGGCATTTTTTGACCATCCTGGGCCTGGGTTTTTCTTAGACTACAGGCCCAAAATTCTGACCAGGTCAATAAATCAAACCAAGAACCCAGGAACAGGCCCAGGCTTTTCAAAGATCACTACTACTTATATCCACTAAAAAATCTAGCTTAAACTCGAACTACCTTCTGTCAAAAAATAATGAACACCTCCCGTTTTAAATGCTTTATTTAAAAGCTAGAAAGGCTTATCATTTTCTCACAGCGTATAAACACTAGAATAACCCCTAACGTTAAACAAATTAATTAAAAAGCAAACCAGTAGATTGCTAACTTGTGAAAAGCGCATTTTATCCACAATAAATTCTTTTGCACACGGAGAACTTCTTATAACAACTTCAGCCTCAAATTCAATGTCCACATTTTCTAAGCATTTTAAACGGACTTCAACTTCTGTTTTGTTTAGAGAAGATTGAAGAAAGCCCAAATATTCTTGCTAAAATCAGTTCAAATTTCAAAAGAAGTTTTGGTAATAGTTTGGAAGTCGCCCCCCTTTTTCCCTTAGCTTCTTAATTTTGATAAGAATCATCAGATCTAGCCAATCTTGGTATCTTTCGAACAAGCTCGAAGAGCTCTTTCGAAAGATATATAGTAATAAATTATATCAAATAAAAAAAGCTCAAAATGGTCAGGGAAGGGAGCAGCCAACCTACCGCCGAGGCTATAACTCCGTTCAGAATTGTCGAATCCGGGACGCCCTGGTATGGTTAGATGCACCTCGACGTGCTGAATCGAACCATACCAGGGCGTCCCGGATTCGACAACTTAAAACGAAGTTATAGCCTCGGCGGTAGGTTGGGGTGTACCCGTCAGAAACTGGAAAAAAGGAGAGGAGGGCGACTTCCAAACTATTACAGAAATTTAACAAGAAATTACCGATTTTGGCATTAAATCAACTTTTTCGGTCATAATTCCAGGAATAAGTAAATTAGTCGTTGTTAGCCTCAATAATTGTAAAATTAAAACAAAAAAGAAAATAATATTTAGTTGCATAATTTAAATTTAAGCTGAAGAAAAATTTTATTTTTTGGGCCTAAAATTGGGTTTAAAGTTTTTTGGAGAAAGCAAAAAATAAAAATGCTTAATCATTGAAAGAGTAAACATTCAAAAAAGGCTAGAAAATATCCACGTGAATTTGATGGATTAATTATTCGATAATAGAAATGAAAAGTCAATGAATGAATTTTGAAGTTAGGTAAAAAAGAAAAATATCCACATTTCGGGGCACGCCCAAAACGGCGCAGGGCCATAACGGCGCAAAGCCATAACTTGCTTCAAGATTTCTTAATCCTACCAGATTTGGTATAAAACGATTCCTCTCATTGAGTTAAGGAGATGGTACCAAAATTGACAAGGGCAAAAAATTTTCCAGCAAGTTATGGCTTTGCGCCGTTATGGCCACGCGCCATTTAGGGTTGTACCCTCCAAATTTTGAGAGTTTTTGTGAAATAAAAAATAAAAGATTTAAAGAAAATTTAAAAAGAAAGGCTGTCATTCCTGAACAAAAATGTAAAAATAGTGTTTAAGATGCAAAAACATAAAAGGATTTGACGTGTTTAACAAGTTGGCAAAATTCAAAGAAAATTTAAGAGTATTTATCGAAACGATTTCTTTTTAAAAGATTTTTTAAAAAAGGGACGTTTGAGTAGGGAACAGCCCAAAACGGCGCGCGGCCATACGGCGCAAAGCCCTAACTTTGTGGAAAATGTCTGTCTCTTATCAATTTTGGTAACAATCTCTTTAGCTCGATGAGAGTAATCGTTTAAGACTAAATTTGTTAAGATTAGGAAATCTTGAAGCAGGTTATGACTTTGCGCCGTTATGGCCGCGCGCCGTTTTGGGTGTGTCCCGTTTGAGTATCATTGTTTGTTTGCGTTGTCGGCCACGTCCCATTGTTCATCGAAATGTGCTAGCAGCAACTTGCTAATTAATTTTCGTGTTTTACCTAGTCGTCTTTAATTATCTGGTCAATTATGCTGTTTCCACATTCTTGCTCTTCTTTACCAACTCAATCAACCCATCAAAGACATCAACTTAGTGACTTTAATCAACAAATTCTGAAAGGAATGACGGCTGGTATTTTGGCTGCAGCTATTTCAAAAAGTGCAGTGGCACCAATGGACAGAGTTAAATTGGTTTTGCAGGTTTTATTTAATTGTTTTTCGCTTATTTTAATTACTGAGAAGTTGAGATTGAGGGTTTTATTTTGGGAGTTCTGGTAGAAGGTAGAGATCGAGCTGGGCCTGGACCAAGGCCTGGGTTTTTCCTGTGCCTAGAGTCCAGGCCCAGGCATTTTTTGACCTTTCTGTGTTTCCTGGGCCTGGGTTTTTCCTGGACTACCGGCCCAGGATCCGGCCCAGATCAATAAATCAAACCCAGGAATAGGCCCGGGCTGTTCAAAAATTTCGATCTCTAGTAGAAAGGACTTAATTTTAAAATCTACTGACCCTTGGCGGGTCTTTTTTGGCATTAAACAATAAGGAAAGGGATCCTTGCCCATCATGAATCTCGAAAATTTTTCGCAATAAGTCTGTAGAGATAACCGCGTTTTTTGGATTTCCCATGACTAGTTTGACCCTATCCCAAAAGAAGGGTCGAATCGTTTTTTTCCTTACTTTTTATTACTTTATAAAAATGGACAATTTTCCTTAAAGTTGATGTATGTTGATGTTTGCCTTAAGGAAGAATGGAGAAGGACAGACAATGACGTAATAACACGGACGGGCAAACAAAACTCGGACGAACACGGACAGACAAAACACGGACGTACACAGACAGACAACAGACGCACGGACTCGGCAGACATAACACGGACGAACACGGACAGACGTACAGACCCGGACAGACAATCAGTGTTTTGTGTACGTCAGTGTTTCTGTCATTGTCTGTCCTCCATTCTTCCTTAAGGCAAACATCAAAATACATCAACTTTAAGGAAAATTGTCCATTTTTATAAAGTAATAAAAAGTAAGGAAAAAAACGATTCGACCCTTCTTTTGGGATAGGGCCACTAGTTTTTCTTTCAACTTTTGATTCATTTTAGCTCCAAACAATCACATCTCGTGCCGAAATTGCTATTTGCCATCGACAGCCTTATCAAGGAATTTATGACTGTTTTCGACGTTTATGTGCCGAGCAAGGCTTTCGTTCTTTATGGCGTGGAAATTCTGCTACAGTGATTCGCTGTATCCCAAATCAAGCACTCAATATGTTGTTTAGAGACAAATTTCGGATTACTTTATTAGATGGAATTGATTGGAGGGATAGACCTTTTAGATTTGTTTTAGGTATTTTTACTATTTATTTCTTGCTAGAGCTCCTGGGCCTTGATTCTGGGATTGATTCCGTATCCTTGATTTGTAGTAGATTTGTTGGATCAGGCTCCGAAAAAGGCCGGTTTAGATATTTCGGTACAATTTCGGTTCGGATATCGGATCCTCCGGGGATTACCCAGTATCCGCCAACCTTAGTTTGAAGTCCAGGAAAGAAATCCAATAAGCTCAAAAAATGCTTGGGTTCTGGGTCTTGCTTAAAGTGTAACTTCGACCTTGGCTCACAATTAGAACCACCTCAATCTCTATTATGTTGAATTTTAGGAAATCTAGCAGCAGGCGGTGCCGGTGGTGCATTAACTTTACTAGTCGTTTATCCTCTCGATTTGGCACGGACTCGTCTAGCGGTTGAAAGAGTTGACTCAGTCCGAAATATTTCACAATGCTTTTCTTTGGTTTCTGCAAATGAAGGGTTGCCTGGACTTTATCGAGGATTTTGTGCTTCGCTTGTTTTTACTGTTGTTTCAAGGGCTGTATTCTTTGGAATTTTTGATTCTATTCGTCTTTCCATGGATGAGCAAAGAAGACGACGACTAAGCTTTTTTACTACTTGGTCGTTGGCACAGGTTTTTTTTAAATTAAATTAGTAGAGATCGGAAATTTTAAAAACCTTGATTTTACTTGAGGCTTTGACCGGATTTTTAACCTTGAATCAAGGAAAAATTAAGGTCTGTATTAGGGTTGGGGTTTCGATTCAGGCCGGCGTTCGAGTCATCTTTTCGGGCCTTTCTTATAGGGCGGGCCCGACCCCAATCTTTTTCGGGCAAAATTTGATGTTCGATTCGATCTTTCGGACTGGACCGGGCCCCCCAACCCTAGTCTGGATCCAGATACAGGCCGATCTTTATAAATCAACTAAAGTTTTCAAAATTTCAATAATTACTTTTGAGGCATCTCTTATTGTTTCTTCATTGCTCTGTTATCCTTTGGACACTGTTAGACGTCATTTAATGATGGAAGCTGGCCAAAGCAAAAAACTTTACAAAAATCAATTTGAGTGTTGGAAGGGTATTTTATACAATGAAGGGCCAAAAGCTTTGTACAAGGGAGCACTCACTAATTCGTTAAGATGTACAAGTGGTGCACTTATTTTGGCTGTATATTATGAGGTATTGAAATATTTATAGAGGATTGGGACGCAGTTTTATGTTGAACTTTGACTCGTTTGATTTGTTTTTTGGTAGATTTTATGTTAGCAGGGGCTTATCCAGAGAAAGTTTTAGAAAGGAAGGGGGGGGGGGGGGGGAGGGAACGATAAAAAATTTCTAATTTTTCCTCTGTCCAATACTTTTTTTCATTTTTTGCCCCTTATCTTTCTTCTGGATAACCCTATGGAATTTATTATTTATTAAACTGTTCTTTCCGGTTATCAAAAATTAAAAAAAATTTTGAAAGCAGAAGAAAGATTTATTTCTTGTAACCCAAAGAACGCTGCTTAAAATAATTACCTATTACCTTTTTTCATTTGTCCTTTTCAATTAAAAATACAAAAAATATTTACGTGCCTTTTTTTAAAGATTTTATGGATATACTTTAGCCGGTGGCCCACTCAGAAACCCCTCAATATATATACCATTCGATTTGTCTCGGCGAGCTGAGTCGAATGGTACCATTCTTTTTTTGCGGAAACGCCTACAAGCCGAGATATAGGTACCTGAAAATCGAAAAACCATAGGGGGGAGTAAGCTCAATTTTAGGGTGAAAAATTCGATTTTTCGAATGATAGCTCATTCGAAAGAGCTCCTCGAGCTGAGTCGAATGACACCAAAATCAACGAAATCCGACTTGATTGGACCGAGATATAGACCCCTAAAAACCGAAGATCCAAAGGGGCGATTATTGGAATTAAAAATTTTTTAACCATATTATAGCTCTTTCGAAAGAGCTCGACGAGCTGAGTCGAATGACACCAAGATCAAAGTGATTGAACAAATTTAGACAAAGTTACCACACAAAATACAAGCAACATAAACCTATGGGGCGTCGGCAAGGCGCGTGCCGCAAAACTTCGCGCTTCGCGCGAAGTTTTGCGGCACGCGCCTTGCGGGGAGTCTACGGGCGCTGGGTCTGGGCTCGTAACATAAACTTATGCCTATTTTAGCTGCGGTCGGCATGTCTGGCTTCCTCCCCAGTAAGAAAAACCTGCACGTAGACCAAAGGTAAGGAGCTAAAACAAATGCTCATAACTTTGTCAAATCAAGTCGGATTTCGTTGTTTTTGGTGTCAATCGACTCAGCTCGACGAGCTCTTTCGAATGAGCTATTATTTGCATATTCGAATTTTTCACCCCAAAATTGTGCTTGGTCCCCCCTATGGTTTTTCGGTTTTTAAAGACCTATATCTCGGCTCGCAGGGATTTCCGCAAAAAAAGAGTGGTACCATTCGACTCAGCTCGCCGAGACGAATCGAATGGTATTTAATTTGACCCGTTTCTGAGTGGGCCACCGGCTAAAGTACAGCCGATTTTATTTTTTTAAATACCGTATTTCTTCTAATAGTGCGACCGGTCGGGTTTTTCAACCTTCCTCTATAGGGACGGTATATAGGCAGCGATAAAAGAGTTTAAAAGCAGATTTCTTGAAAATAACACCAGATTTGGTCGTTTCACCGTCAGGCCTATCTAGGAAAAATCAGGCATTTTGCCTAAAATCCTACCTGCAGTTATGATCAAAAGTTTGATATCTTGGGTTACATATTTCAATTTTGGTTTATAACTAACAAGGAACCATATCGAACTGTCAGGAAAAATTTTCAAATAAAAATTATACCATCGTGTAGAGCATTGAAAAAAACTTCATACTATTTTTTCTTTTTTGGCCCTAACCCCCATTTCGAAAAGTTATAGGGCTTCAAAGTTTTCGAATTTTGGAGCGGTTGAGTCGCCCTCACTTTTCTTATTATTTGCTTCCCAAGGAGAGAAATGAGACTCCTCTTCTCAATTTTTCCTTTCCTTTTTTTTCACATGTTTGTTAAAGAAAGAGAAAAGAAGGAAAGAGAAAAGAAAGGAAAAGGCTACTCTGCCTTTCTTCCATTGCGGATTAAAAACGAAAGAGGAGACGACAGAGTAGCATTTCCTTTTCTTTTCTCTCTCCTCCTTTTCTCTTTCTTTAACAAACATGGGAAAAGAAAAGGAAAGGAGAAAAGGAAGATGGGAGTCTTATTTTTCTCCTTAATAAAAAAAAATTTTCTTTATGGGGGCGACTCAACCACTCCAAAATTTGAAAACTTTGAAGCCCTATAACTTTTCGAAATGGGGGTTAGGGCCAAAAAAGAAAAATACGTATAAAGTTTTTTTCAATGCTCTACACGATGGTATAATTTTTATTTGAAAATTTTTCCTGACAGTTCGATATGGTTCCTTGTAAGATGAGTGGTCTAAAATACGCTTGTTTATTATAATATTCATAATTATGAACAAAATTAAGTGATAAGAGTGTTAGTTATACAAAAATAGGTCTATTTAAAATTTTGCTTCATTCGTACTCGCGGTTTTCGCTCAACTTGCCATGACTTTTTCGGTTATAACTTATTCTAAAATCCTAGTTGGGAGGATGTCACATGCCATTCGAAAGCTAATAAATGGGCCTTCAAAACGAACTATAAATTGGTAAGTTAAAAAATTTTTATGTGCCAAAAATATTAGGTGCTGAAATTTTGGACCCTTTATTCTGAAAATTTTTGATGATTCGATTTTTTGATTTTAGACATTTTTCTGACATAATTCTGATAATTGGTATCAAATCATATTATCAAAACTATTAATCATATCGTTAGTAAGTTTAACGAAATGATAATCTTTATCTAATTGATAGATTTTGATTGATGGATTAAAAATATAAGCTTTGGCCGAATTTCTATGAAAATTAAAATTTTGCGTTGGACAGATATTATTAATTTTTGTTTTTGGATAAAAGGCTATATCAACCAGAAAATTAAAAAATATTTATATAACTTATAGTTTTAAAATAAAATTTTATTAATTTTCACTATCTTAAATAAAGTTCAATTATTGAAAGATAATACTTTGTATCATGTAAAAAACATTTCTATATTTGAATAATTAGATCATATTTTAGAAATTACTCTTATTTCGATAATATCACATTTTGAATTAAATAAAAAAATCATTTTCAGAAGTAAAGTCCGTTCCAAAAAACCTCGACACCCTCGAATTTTTCGAAAAATCGACTTTCGGGTTTTTACTTTTTTATAATTTTTTTATATCTTAATTCAGCAGCAAAAACTACCTGATTTTACAAAAAATTTTAGCAAAATGATAATTTTATCAAAAGTTATGATAAATTTTCAAAAAATCATGCGTTCCAAATATCCTCATACAGTTTGTAAAAATACCGAAAATTATGGAAAGAAGGCAGCTAAAATTTAACAAAAATTTCTATGAACATAACTATTAATAAGGATACAAAATAGGAAAAAAACAAAGTCGAAAACTTCTTTCTTCATCGAGATCTAAAATCTCGAAAATCAACGGAAATAAGGGTTACAGTACTTTAAAAAATATTTTAGCCAATTTAAAAAATATATTAAAAATTTTCTTTAGGCCTATCTGAAAGCTCATAAAATTTGCTACAAGATACAAAAGGGCTCATCTTTCTAAAAAATTTATCTGTGACGGCATTCAAGCTTAAATAACGAGCAAGCAAAAAATGGCCTAAAATTGCACTATTATCGGGTAGCGGTTATTCTAGCGTGGGCATTTACACGGATAAATTTTTTAGAAGGATGAGCTCTTTTGTATCTTGTAGCAAATTTTATGGGCTTTCAGATAGGCCCAAAGAAAATTTTTAATATTTGCCTTAAAGGTGTCAAAATATTTTTTAAAGTACTGTAACCCTTATTTCCGTTGATTTTTGAGATTTTAGATCTCGATGAAGAAAGAAGTTTTCGACTTTGTTTTTTTCCTATTTTGTATCCTTATTAATAGTTATGTTCATAGAAATTTTTGTTAAATTTTAGCTGCCTTCTTTCCATAATTTTCGGTATTTTTACAAACTGTATGAGGATATTTGGAACGCATGATTTTTTGAAAATTTATCATAACTTTTGATAAAATTATCATTTTGCTAAAATTTTTTGTAAAATCAGGTAGTTTTTGCTGCTGAATTAAGATATAAAAAAATTATAAAAAAGTAAAAACCCGAAAGTCGATTTTTCGAAAAATTCGAGGGTGTCGAGGTTTTTTGGAACGGACTTTATTTTTATCCTATACATTATTCCATTTATTATCTTTGCTTAATCTTGCTTGCAAAATGTCTGGAGAAATACAATATTCATTTCTGATACATAGATACTAATATAGATAAAAATGGGAAAGTTTTGTATTTAATTTATAAAATTTTTTTTATAAAATTCGTTTGTTAAATTTTCGTTTTAATTCTTAAAAAATAATTTTTTGATTAAGCTCAAAACAAGCTTTTCTAGTTGCGCTTTATATCTATTTTTCGCGATGTGACGCATCCGCGTTAATAATTCTTCATTTTCTTTATTATTAACGCGAATGTAAAAACAAGTAATTCTCTTTATTTGTAAATAAATTTTGGGTGCGCCGCAGGCAGCCTGAATTCCTTTCCTTTCATTCCTAAAAAATGGGTGCCCGAGGCGCACCAAACCAAAAATTCTTTATTTGATTAGAATTTAGAATAAAGAGGCAATCAGTGATCAAGTTAGACCCCTGAAGTTCGAAAAAGAGAAGGAGTAAGCTCATTTTGGGGTGAAAAGTTCAAATATGCAAATAATAGCTCTTTCGAAACCGCTCGTCGAGCTGAGTCGAATGACACCAAAATCAGCTCTATTGAACAAAGTTAAGACACAAAAATTTTTAGTTTTCATTTTTAGTGGCGAAAATGATTAACGGTGTGCAACAATGTAATAAAAACTCTGTTGTAGGAACAAATAGTGAGTTTATTTAATTTTTTGTTTTAAAAATAAAAAGGCCTTTTCCTTAATTGAAATATATCGAGGGATTAGAGGCTTTCGGTGAATATTTAGGAATTAATATTCAGATATCCTCTGATATCCGCTCATATATCCCGTGGTATCCGTCCATATCTATAAAATAATGTCCATACCCTCCAAATCCGCTTATATCTATAGATATACACTTCAATCACTTCAAATATCCTTTACTCACTCCAAAGTCCCTTATATCGCTTTAATCCCTCGTCATCCTCTATATTTTTGCATAAATGAACGAAAATTATAAATCGGAATAAAGTCAACCCTTCATCATTTAAAAAATGTTTTTTTACAAAAACAAAAAACTTTTTTGTAAAAATTCTTTTATTTATATATAAAAAAGAATTCATTTGATTGGAATTTGATTGG